AGTGAGCCACCGCGCCCGGCCAGCAAGGGACATTTGAGCTGAGTCTTAAAAGATAAGGAAGTGGTCAGGGAAGGGCTGGGGAGAAAGACGTCCCTGGCAGAGAGCACAGTGCAGGCAATGCCCAGATGTGGGAGGGAAGGTCACAGCCCTGCACTATGAGAGTGAGTAGGAGCTGTGGCTTTGAACTTGTGGGAGAGGATGCCCCACATCCCCTACAAGATCTTTTTAAAAAAATAATTTATCAGTTTTGATAGCTGGGCACAGTGGCTCCTGCCTATAATCTCAGCACTTTGGGAGGCCAAGGCAGGAGGATCACATGAGGCCAGGAGTTTGAGACCAGCCTGGGCAACATAATGAGACCCACCTCTACAAAAAAAGCCTTTAAAAATTTAAAAGAAAAAAAAAAAACCTTTATTAGTTTTGAACACATAATATGCTCACTTGGTACAAAATAGAAAAGCTGCAAAAGGGTAGTCAACAAAACTACAGTCTCCAGTCTCCCTCCCTCCTCCGTTTCCCCCCTAGTTCTCCTCCTAGGACTTCACTCTTGCCAGTTTCTTTTAGGCTCTTTCTGAGATACATACAGATAAATATTTACGTATGTTTCTATACAAGTGGGATTGGACCAGCACAATGCCTCATACTTCTGCTTTCAAATATTAACAAAAATCTTACAGATACTTCCCATTTTACATAGGAAAAATTTGCTCATTTTTTAGTGGGCATGTGGGAGGCATCGCATTTTGTTAACCAATTTCCTATCAACGGATATTTAGGTTGTTTCCAATTTTCCCTTCTTACAAAACTCTGTGATGAATAACTTTGTCCAAATGACCTTTCACACATGTATGAAATTGGTATCTGTCGATGGTATCATTCCTAGAAGTGGAATTGCTGCACTTTTGAGTTTATGCTTTTTAAATTCTGATAGATATTGTCACAATGCACACAATGGGGCTGGAGCCTGTTCTTCCAAGTGAAGGATCACAAGAATGGAAAAGCAAACACCCCATGTACTCACCATTAAATTGGCACTAACTGATCAACACTTATGTGCACATATGGGAGTAACCTTCACTGGGTGTTGGGCAGATAGGAGGCGGGGAGATGTGTAAATTCAAACCTAATGGGTGCGGTATACACTTTCTGGGCATGCTGGTAGCTCTTTCTTGGGTGGTGCAAAGGCAATATATGCGCTGCCAGAACATGCACTAAGTGAAAGAAAGCCGACACAAGAAGGCACACACACACACGCTGTCCTTACCCCATTTACGTGAAATAGCCAGAGTGACAAAATCCATAAGAGACGAAACTAGATTATGGGATTGCCAGGGGTGGGGGGAGAAAAGAGAAGGTGACTTATGTTGGAGCAAGTTAAACAAGCTTGAAAACCAGATATAGACCATGTGTCTCTGAAGCTCCGCCACCCGCACGGTGAACTCTTTACTTGACCATCTTTCTGGAACGTCGTGGGACAGAAGCAGATTGAGTGGTTGTCAGGAGGTGAGGAGAGGGAGAACATGGGAATAAACTCCTAATTTTGCGGTGATAAATCATTCCAAAATCAATCTTAGTGATGGTTGCTCATAACTTGTGGAAATACTAAAACATGGAAGTGAACACTTTCTTTTTTTATTTTTTTGAGACAGAGTCTTGCTTTGTATGCCTAGGTAGTGTGAGTGTCATGGCATCAAGCATAGCTCACAGCAACCTCAAACTCTGGGCTTCAATGATCCTCCTGCCTCAGCCCCCAAAGGTGGCTGGACTACAGCATGCCGCACCAGTGCCTGGCTAATTTTTTTCGTCGCTATATTACTGGCCATTAATTTCATTGCCTACTTTATTATAGTAGAGACGGAGTCTTGCTCTCTGCGCGAGGGGTGGTTTGGAACTCCTGACTCGAGCAATCACGGGCTCCCAGAGTCTAGGATTATAGCATGAGCCACCAACCAGCCGAATTGAACACTTTAAATAGTGAAAATTATGATGTTATGTCAGACATAGCTCAATAATACTATTCTTTTTTTTATGAGACCGAGTCTCACTCTGTTGCCCAGGCTAGAGTACCATCACATCAGCCTAGCTCACAGCAACCTCAAACTCCTGGGTTCAAGAAATTCTCCTGCCTCAGCTTCCCAAGTAGCTGGGACTACAGGCATGCACCACCATGCCTGGCTAATTGTTCATATATATTATTTAGTTGGCCAATTAAGTTATTTCTTTTTTAGTAGAGATGGGACTTGTCTTGTCAGGACTGGTCTCGCGAATCTGGGCTCAACAATCAGCCAGCCTCCAGCTCCCAGAGTGCTAGATTTACAGGCATGAGCCACGCGCTGGACGCTAATATAGTATACTCTTTAAAAAGAAAAAGAAACTTACAGAAGAGAGAGAGCTAATATATTGAGGCAAGCTCTGCGCAAAGGTCCAAAGGGAAGGTACAGTTTGTGATGTTGTTTGTTTGTTTGGCGTTTTCGTGAGACGGTAAGTCTCACTCTGTTGTTCTGGGCTACAGAGTACCATGTTGTTAGCCTAGGCTCAAGCAATCTCAAACTCCTGGGCTCAAGCCAGCCTCCTGGCATCAGCCTCCTCAAGTAGCTTGGGGACTACAGGTGAAACACCACCGCGCAGCTAATTTTTTCTATTAGTTATGCCAGCTAATTTCTTTCGTATTTTTAGTAGAGATGGGTCTCGTTGTGCTCAGGGCTTCGGTCTCAACTCCTGAGCTCAAGCTGATCTCTCGCCTCGGCCTCCCAAAGTGCCAGGATTACAGGCAGTGAGCCCACGCGCCGGCCAGCAAGGGACATTTGAAGCTGATCTTAAAAGGATAAAGAAGTAGTCGGAAGGGCTGGGAGAAGAACGTCGCCCTGCAGAGGAGCCAGTGCTGCATATGCGCCAGAGTGGGAGGAAGGTCACAGCCGCTGCACTATGAGACGTGAGCAGAGCTGGCTTTGGAACCTTGGAGAGAGGAGCCAATCCCTACAAGGTTTAAAAAAAATGAATTGTAGGCAGTTTTGCTAGCTGGGCAGCAGTGGGCTCTGCCGTATAAGCCTCAGCACTTTGGAGGCAAGGCAGGAGGATCAGCGCAGGGGTTGAGCCGGAGTTTGAGACAGCCTGGGCAACATAATGAGAGCCGAGGCTGCTACAAAAGAAAGCGTTTAAAAATTTAAAAAAGAGGTAAACCAAAAAAAAAAAAAAAAAACCTTTATTAGTTTTGAACACATAATATGCTCACTTGGTACAAAATAGAAAAGCTGCAAAAGGGTAGTCAACAAAACTAAAGTCTCCAGTCTCCCTCCCTCCTGTTTCCCTCCTAGTTCTCCTCCTAGGACTTCACTCTTGCCAGTTTCTTTTAGGCTCTTTCTGAGATACATACAGATAAATATTTACGTATGTTTTTATACAAGTGGGATTGGACCAGCACAATGCCTCATACTTCTGCTTTCAAATATTAACAAAAATCTTACAGATACTTCCCATTTTATATAGGAAAAATTTGCTCATTTCTTAGTGGGCATGTGGGAGGCATCGCATTTTGTTAACCAATTTCCTATCAATGGATGTTTAGGTGGTTTCCAATTTTCCCTTCTTACAAAACTCTGTGATGAACAACTTTGTCCAAATGACCTTTCACACATGTATGAAATTGGTATCTGTCGATGGTATCATTCCTGGAAGTGGAATTGCTGCACTTTTGAGTTTATGCTTTTTAAATTTTGATAGATATTGTCACAATGCACACAATGGGGCTGGAGCCTGTTCTTCGAAGTGAAGGATCACAAGAATGGAAAAGCAAACACCCCATGTACTCACCATTAAATTGGCACTAACTGATCAACACTTATGTGCACATATGGAAGTAACCTTCATTGGGTGTTGGGCAGATAGGAGGGGGGGGAGATGTGTAAATTCAAACCTAATGGGTGCGGTATACACTTTCTGGGCATGCTGGTAGCTCTTTCTTGGGTGGTGCAAAGGCAATATATGTAACCAGAGTATTTGTACCCCTAGTAATATCCTGAAATAAAAAAAACAAAACAAAACAAAAAAAAGATTAGAGATCTTAAAAAAAAACAAAAAAAGAAGTTGTACCAATTTACACTCACAACAGCAGGGGATGAGAAAGCCCATCTCCCCACATTTGGGGGGATGTGTTTAGAAATACTGTCAGGGGTCAGACCGTATAGAGCCTTGTACACCAAGCTAGGAAGTTTGAACTTGACCCGTGGGTCATGGAAACCCACTGGAGGGCTTAGGTAGTGGGTAACAATGGGCAAGGTCTGAGCTTTGAATAAATGCTATTATCATGACGACACCAAATAAATTTTTTTTAGGGAATTGTTATTCCCCAGCAGGCATGAGTGATGACATGATGAATCAGAGAGGAGACCGAATATCCATTAGGATTTCAGCCACGCTGGGGAGAGAATGATAATCGCGCGAGCACAGTCGCCACTGTGTAGACAATAGGGTTGGATAGCCTTTCTTTACCATCCCATAACTCTAACTTTCCTGCCACTTTTCCTTTATCGCATATTTCCAACATGCTGACGGCTTCTCATGAAACATGTGGCCCGCAGGGCGATGACATAAAATCAATAGCAAGGACTGTTTATCGGCCGCTCACAGTTGTCTAGACAGACAGACAGGTGACTACTCTCCCCTCAACTATCTTTCTCTAGAAGGCCATTTGGTGACGGGCTTTGGAACAGCGATCGGACAAAGAGCTGGGTGACATAAAACCGCAGACACTGTCAACCCGAGTCCTTTGTTTTCTTAAACAAAAGGCAGCTGCTATCATGTGTCGCGAAGAGAGAAGGGAAGATGGATGGCAGGTGGCCGCGAAGGTGCCAGGATATGAAGCTCCCCGGAGCTAGCTCCACCGCAGGCCCCAGCAGCCGTGCAGACATGAGTGCAGTGGGCTGGGTCCTCTTGGGGCTCGCTCTGAGCTTTAGGGCCACCACCGCTAAGCCAGAGGAAGGCAGCTTTTGCTCTAGGAGCCAGGTGGCCTTCAGAGATGCCTGCTATGAATTTGTGCCACTCGGGCGCACCTTCCACGGTGCCCAGAGCTGGTGTGAGAGGCAAGGAGGCCACCTGGTCTTCATCCGTGACGAAGGGACCCAGCGGTTCCTGCAGAAGCACATCTCCCAGGACAGGGAATGGTGGATTGGACTCACGGGGAACTCGGCGCTGAATGGAACCACAGAAGGTAGGTCGCTTCTTACCCAGAGCAACCCGGAACAAATCAGCATGTCCCAATTCTCGTGGTAAGGATATCCTTCTCCTTGGCTGTTCTGTGGATCAAATAAGATAATTCATGTGCAGTGTCTTGCACAGCTACCCGGTACATAGCTGACACTCTAGAAATTTCTATCTCTTTGCACGTGCCCAATAATAACACTGACTGTGACTTCTTCAGCTCTTGCTAGAATAGTCCGGGCACTATCCTGAGTGCTTCATGGCCAGTATCATGTTGAGTCCTTACAATAACCGGTGAGAAAATTATTATTGCTGTCTCCATTTTATAGATGAGAAAACTGAGTCTCAGAAAATAATGACTATGCTATTTTTAAACAGCTTAGTCCACATGTCTTTCCCCACTCGTTATGAGATTAAAGCAAGTCAAGTGCTCCATACAGCTCCATTGGCATTAGAAGTCTGATTTTAACAGTCTTCCTGAAAACTCTTACTTCCCCTTTACTCCCAGAGGGCTCCATCCCTCACCCCAGCCAGGTAGGTCCCTCCCCATCTATGAGAGCATTTTTGGTGTGGCTTTAATGGTTTAGGTGTCTGTCTCCCCCCTAGACTATGAGCACTCCAGGGAAAAGCACCATATTCTGGCCATTTTTGTTTTCCCAGTGCCTATACACAAGAGAGAACGGACAAAGGGACATTTGCATTTAATCCTCCCACCAACCCTATGAGCTGGGCATGGCTACTCCTCTTTTCTGTATGAGGAAAATTAAGTCCAGAGAGAAGGAGCCAACTTGCTCGAGATGAGCAGCTTGTGCAGGGCAGTGGGGTCTCAGGACAGCCAGAGCGACGTCTAAGCCTGACTTACCCTGTGTGCCACACTGGTGCCCAAGGTTCTCTCTTTGCCCCTGTAGAACAGGTGTCCTCAAACTACGGCCCGCAGGCCACATGCCACCCACCGGGGACATTTATCCGGACCACCAGGTGTTTTTGCCGCTGCTGCCTGTCCTGCTTAGCAGCCAACTGGTCCCGGGCCCACAGTGCGCATGTGTGGAATGTGCACTGCACTCTCCAATGGCCCTCCAATGGTCCGAGGGACAGTGAACTGACCCTCTGTTTAAAAAGTTTGAGGACCCCTGCTGCAGAAGCTACTGGGTTTGAGAAGTAACTTGGTCTGAGCTGAGCACCCCCAGGATTTGTGCCACTTGGATGCACAAGCAGCGTGCATGGAAATGCCTTAAGCAACGAGCCATCATGGAAGCTCATATAAGGCAACTCACAGCCCAGGGGACACAGATTCTTAAGACACCTCTAGGCCAGGTGCGGTGGCTCACGCCTATCGTCCTAGCTTTCTAGGAGGCCGAGGCGGGCAGATAGCTGCTGCTTCAGGGGTTCGACACCAGCCTGAACCCTGAACACAGCCTGGGCACAGTCAGACCCCGTCTCTAAAAAAAAAGAAAAGAAAAAAAAAAAGACACCTCTGCAGGCAACGTCCCTTGAATGGTTTCTTGACTTGGAGATGCAGCAATGGCCAATTTCTGTACATTGAACATCTGTTCACCTGCGGCTAGAGGAGTCGTGTCTATGACAATCTTTCAAGGGACGCTGTGTGGCTGTCACAGAAAATGAAACAGATCTCACCGGGCTGATAGGTAACAACCTCCAGTGCTTAATGCTATTTAAGAAGCAAGGGCCAGACGCCGTGTGCACTACAAGGGCACCAGCGTGAGTAGATTTCAAGCACTCACAACTGCTGCCGTGTGGACACGGTGCAGCCTGGAAGCATTTACCGGAAACCTAACAATTATGGGAGCAGCACAGAGGTTGGGAGAGATGTCTTCATTGCAGACCCTTTTGTACTGTTTGAATTAAAAAAAAAATTTTTTTTGCATGAATTTCTTTTAAAAATTTAATAATTACATTTTTGAGTCTTCATAGTAAATATTTCATATCTAGTGTTTTCTAACTCTCTAGTGGCCTTGAGGGGCTCTTGTTTTACACACACACACAAACAGCTCTTTGAGAGTTTCTTTAGTGTTTCCAAGGGTCTAAAGAGCTCCGAAGTAACAAGAACTGCTTCCATATAAACTCAGCACTGCCCATATATATATATGTATATATATATGTATATATATATGTATATTTCGGGGGGTGCACAGGGTCTGGCTGTGTCACTCAGGCTACAGTGCAGTGGTGTCTTCATAGTTCACTGCAGTCTCAAAACTCCTAGGTTCAAGCAATGCTGCCTCAGCCTCCTGAGTAGCCGGGACCTCAGGCGTGTGCCACCATGCCCGGCTAATTTTTCTATTTTTTGTAGGGACATGAGTCTCACTACATTGTCCAGGCTGGTCTTGAACTCCTGGCTTCCAGCAATCCTCCTGTCTCAGCCTCCCAAGGTGCTGGGATTACAGGCGTGAACCACTGTGCCCGGCCTGCCCAGATATATTTGACAAGGGACCCTGCCTATGGGGAAGTAGGGGACACCTTCAAACATACTCCGGCACATTTTTGGGCCACTCTCTAAGTTATGGTTAGACAGAACTGGAAGGTGACATTTATTTAATCAAACCACCTTTTGTGGGCTCCCCAGTTTGGCGCCCCAGTTCTTGCGGTAGAGTGTTTGAAGATAGCCCCTGCACTGGTGTGGGGGAGGGGCGCCTCCAGCCCATCAGCATTGATTGAGCACCACTGCACACAAGCAGTTACACTGGGGCAGGCCCTGCATCTTTATAAAAGGGGGTAGGAAGAAAGTTGCCAAGTCCTGGTGGCTGTGTTGCCCTTCCCAGGCCCGGGGACCTGGCTGGACACCTCGAGCGTGAACTACAGCAACTGGCTTGAGGGGCCGGCCGCCCCTGCCACCTGTGGCTACATCGCCAGGGGCCCCTCCTCGGCCTGGGCTGCCTCTGGGGACTGCGCACGCCCCTTCGCCTTCGTCTGCGAGTTTGGTGAGCCGCCTGCCAGCCCTGTCCCCTGCCTGTCACCCGATCCATCTCTCTCTGGCCTTCTCTTTTCTCTGTCTCCTCCCCGCGCCCCCCTCCGTCTCAGTTTTCTCTCGGTCTTTCTTTTGCCCCGACTCTTTCTGTTTCTCCATCTCTGTCTCGCTCCCTCCCTGTGTCCCTGCCTGCGTGTTGGGGGCCAGGCATTGCTTTGAGAGGACGCTAAAGGACGACACTCAAAGCAGGCAGATTAATCGTTGCCACGTGTGCGGCTCTTACTCCACACGTACAAACTCACTCAATGTCCCTAAAGACACTATACGGCGTTTGGTGTTGATGTTCCCCTTTACAGAAGGGGGCACAGAGAAGCTAACTACCCTGCCAAAAGTCACCCAGCGGTGTGAGGCTGGGCCGGATGTGACGCCAGGCAGCCTGGCTCTCGAGCAATGCTCTGGGCGACTGCGTTATATTTCTCACCCCTGCCGAGCTGGCTCCTACTGGGTCCCGGCATCTCACAGCCCTGACCCCCAACACCCTTGGGCTTCCCATAAACTGGCAGGTGGCCCTCTGTAACTGTGAACCCTGCTGCGGTGTCACCTTCCTTTTGCCACAGGGCTCGGCCAGCGCCTGGCCTGCCAGGGCCTCAACGCCACCATGCACTGCGGCTCCGGGCAGGTCATCCGGGTCCAGGACGCCTTCTACGGGCGCCGGACCCCCCATTACTGCACCCGGGACGCCGGGCACCCCTCGGACCTCGCGGAGGACTGCAGCTGGGCTGACGTCAAGGACGAGGTGGCAGGTAGGGCCCGGGGGCTCCGCAGCTCTGGCTGCAAGCAGAGGGCAGTTGCTGGTGTCCTGTGCCCAGCAAAGAGTTCCGGAATGTTCTAACAATCTTTGTCTCTGACCTTGGGCCTCTGGCATGTGGGAAAACTGGCCGATCTGACCACGGCGCCGAGCAGGAGGCAGAGGTGGGGTCTGTGGTCTGGGGATTGGGTGGGCATTTTGCTCCCTGCGTGGGAAACATCACTTTTTTAAAAACTTAATTCTTTTAATTTTGAAATATTTCAAACATGCAGACAAGAATAACAAATATCGCGCACTCCCGCGGATCCACGATCCACCTTTGTCAAACCTTAACACTACGCCACACTTGCTTGCGGTCCCCTTGTTTAACGAACAGGGACACCGCGCGGCTCCCACGTGGCCCTCCTTGGTCCTGTCCCTGTCGTGGATTCCGTGTTTACTAATCACATGCGTGTCCTCCATTTGCACCTTGTATCTATCTATGCACCCCAAACACCATGGAGCGTTGTTTGATAGGATTTTAACATTTATATAACTGGCACATTGCACGTGTCATTCTGCAATGTGCTTTTTTGTGTGTTTTGCTCAACGTTACGTTTTGAGCTGTGTCATCCATCTTGACACACGTTCTCGTTTATTCGTCTCGTCTGTTGTGTCACTGAGCCATCATTCATCCCCTCTCCTGTTGAGAGACGTAGGGGCTGTTTCTTAATCTTGGCTCCCAAGAACCATGGCGAGACAAATGCTCCTGATGCTCTCTCCTGTTCACGTGCGACATCTTCTCTGGGGCCTTGTTCTTCTCAATCAGAGTCAACGTGCCTCCGAGCAGCACTTGCCCGGGGCTGGGGATTCAGTGTCAGGGATTGTGGGGGCTTCATGCCCAATTCTGGAAGGTGCAAAGTCCTCAGAGGCTTCCATCATCCGGGACACTGGGGAGCCCTCTCTCTCAGCCGCGGTGACCTCGGCCCAGCCTTCGGGGTCCTGGGAGGGCAGGTGGCCTGCTGCTTCTTGGCTAAGCGAGGGCACTTGCGCCCAGGCTGGGAGGCCTCGGGGCCAGTCTCCCCCCATCTGCCCTTCTGAGCCTCTGCCTCTGCCCACAGGGCCTTGGAAGATTCAAAGGTTAGGGTCAGGGTCAGGGTTTAGGGTCAAGGTCAGGGTCAGGGTTCAGGTGAGGGTTAGGCTAGGGGTGCCTGGTACTTCCAGAGCTTCCCCTCCCTTGGCACTGTGTCCTGCTCCTGTCCCCTCCTCCCTGTGCCAACCACACTGTCCTCGCTCCCTCGGAGCCGGCGTGGGGAAAGGAGGGAAGGGGTGCTCTCCAGTGGGGCCACCACTGCTGTCTGTCGCCACAGTGGGAGCAGCCAGCGAGGCATTTCCGTGCTCTGGGTCGGGGGGTTGGGTGTTAAGTTTGTCTGCAAGACGTGTTCAATCCTGGAATTAGATTGGATTTAGTTTACTTTATTTTTTTTTTAAGTGGATTACATGAGGCCACATGGGGCCATGGAAAGAACACAGATTTGGGGATTAGACTTCCCTCTGAGTGTATTTAACCTAAAGACAGACACATGGGGGGGGGGCAAGGGTTCCTGTAGAACCAGAGGGGGTCTCTTGCTCACGGGGCCGAGGTGGGGCTTAGGAAGGCCTTCCTGGGCCAGGACCAGGAGCCTGGCTATTGGGGAAGTGCAGGATTTGGGCACAGAATGGCTGAGGCCAGGGTGGTGGGGGATAGGAGGTACCAGGCCCCTCACGCAGCAGGGATGTGGCCTCTGCATCTTGAGTCAGCTTATCAGATCCAACGGGATGCTGGATGTTTAGTGCAGTGTGGTTTGTGGGCCGTGCTGTGAGCCCTGCTGGTATCCCCAGTGTAGACTGCTTAGGCCACGTTCGAGCGTAAGGCAGAACCACCCCCCCCTCCAGGAGGTGGGCATCAGTGTGCACAGCAAGAGGATGGGAGATTTGAGTTCAAATCCCTGCTACGTGGCCCAAGGCAAGTTGCAGAATCTTTCTAAGTTTCCCGGGGCTCCTGTGAGGGTCAGGAGAACCTTGTACACACCCTGCAAATGCAGCTTACATTTCTGCATGCTCAGGGGATTATAGTTGAATGCTGAAGACTGCCTGTTAACTGGAGCACTATAAGGGGACTGCTGGGGGCAGGGGAGTGGAAGAGACTCAAAAAAAAAAAAAAAAGAAAAAAGAAAAAGAAAAGGAAGAAGAAGAAGAAAAACAAAATACACCTCCCACTCTTGGAGATTATAGTCTAGTACTGTGGATACATATGGTAGAAGCAACATAGATTGGGATCTCTCCAACTAGGTCCGATCAGGAAAACAGAAATCACGCTAGGTCTTTCAACAGAGGGAATTCAATGCAGGGAATTGGTTTCCCAAGTCAGCGAAGTGCTGAGAAGCCAAACACGGAATGATGCAGCAACCCGGAGTTGAGCAGCAATAGAAAACTGCTACCACCTCTAAAGACTACAGGGACAGCTGGAAGGGATGGTCTTCCCCAAACCAGCAGTCAGGGCCATCCAGCAGGTGCCAGGGCCAGGCAGAGGCTGCCCTGTGGGAGCTGGGACCGTCTAGGAGGGCCTGTCCAGAGACAGCTGGGGCTCTGGGGAACTGCTGTGAGAGGCAGGCTGAGAAGCACCTTGGCTTCTTACCTCTTCCTGTCCAGTATCTGCAGAATTATGGCACCTGATATTTTTCACTGCAATCCCTGGAACTTTGGGTATAATGAGATACCACGCCTGTGAACAGGTTGACTTACATGGCAAACGGTACTTTGCAGATGTAATTAATCTCCATGGGCAGGAGGCAGAGGTGTTGGGTGACCCTGAAGTTTCTGGTGTGGGCTCCACCCTACCCCCTTCTGTGGGCACCTGGCATCCCCGATAGACCCAGGATTCCTAAACTTGCCCGTTCTCTGCTGGGTCTTGGGTGTCGATTTCTATTTTAGGCCACCTGACTAGATGCTACCGGACCAGAGGTTCTCAAAATGGGGTCGTCTGCATCAGCATCCCCTGGGAGCTTTTGAGAAATGCAAATTCTCCAGCTGCCTCCAAACCTACTGAATCCCAGTCCCTGGGGACTGGTTCTGGAACGGTCTAGAATGATCTAGAATGGTCTGAAATGCGGTGTCTTCACAAGCCCTCCAGGGGGCGTGGTGCATGCTAACGTTAGAGAACCAATGTGCTGGACCCTGAGCTACTTGAGGGCAGGAAGCCTACTTCTCTCTCCCTGGAGAACCTAGCCTAGGCCCTGGTCTTCCCTAGATACCAGCAGATATTGGTTGGGCTGATGGTGGGTAAATGCATGAATGAATGAATGAATGAATGGGAGGCAATTCATCTCTGTGTGGCTCTGCTGAATGTTTCTTCTTTTGTCTTGCACGCTGCTTCTGCTTCCTAGGCCACTGCCAGGGCCTGCAGGCATGCCAGGTGGCAGCAGATGGGACCTACTTTGGAGACCTGTGCCCGACTTGGGGCAGCTACCTGTGGGTGCAGTACCAGTGCCAGGAAGGTGAGTCCCCGGCTTGCTCGGGCGGAGGAATTTCCCTTCATTTCCATGGCATGTGCGGCTTCCTCTGGGAGCAGAGCCATGTGGGCTGATGGCTGTGTGCCAAGACACTTCCTCACCCAGAACGGCGCCCCTGCGGTCCCACCCCCCACCTGACTCGGCCCCATGGGGTGAAGTGTTTGAAGTTTCTGTTGCAGAGGCTGGAAGGAGTCCCAGGTCCCCCCACCCCGCACCTGCTCAGCCACTACCCTTTGGAACACGTGGGCGCATTTTAAAAATACGAATCTTGAAAGCTGTAAAAATATCATGATTTATAAAAGTTTTATAAATTAAGGAGGAAAAAAGAAACCCTCCCTTCAGTTCTACGATCCCATTCCCCGTAAGGAAACACTGTTAATTATTATTTGGAATAAATTATTCCCTGCTTTTTAAAATGTTTGTGTAGACGTGGCTTTGTATGAATGGATATATGCATATTTTTATAAAAATATAATCATGTTGGCTGGGCACGGTGGCTCATGCCTGTAATCCTAGCACTTTGGGAGGCCGAGGCAGGCGGATTGCTTGAGGTCAGGAGTTCAAAACCAGCCTGAGCAAGAGCAAGACCCCGTCTCTACTATAAATAGAAAGAAATTAATTGGCCAACTAATATATAGAGAAAAAATTAGTCAGGCATGGTGGCGCATGCCTATAGTCCCAGCTACTCGGGAGGCTGAGGCAGGAGGATCTCTTGAGCCCAAGAGTTTTTGATTGCTGTGAGCTAGGCTGACGCCATGGCACTCACTCTAGCCTGGGCAACAAAGCAAGACTCTGTCTCAAAAAAAAAAAAAAAATTAAAAAAATATATATATAATCATGTTAACATGTGGGTCTATCACTCAATTTTCTTTCACTTAATAATATTTTCTAGGCCGGGTACGGTGGCTCACGCCTGTAATTCTAGCACTCTGGGAGGCTGAAGTGGGAGGACTGCTTGAGTCCAGGAGTTTGAGACCAGTCTAAGCAAGAGTGAGACCCCATCTCTATTAAAAATAGAAAAATTAGCAGGGTGTGGTGATGCATGTCTCTAGCCCCAGCTACTCGGGAGGCTGAGGCAGGAGGATCGTTTGAGCCCAGGAGTCTGAGGTTGCTGTGAGCTAGGCTGATGTCACGGCACTCTAGCCAAGGTGACAAGGAGAGCCAGATTGTGTATATATATATTTCTAGACATCTTTCCAAATCACTGCCTTATTCTTTTACTGGCTGCATTGTATTCTACCCTAAGATGATGATTTATGTAGCCAGTTCCCCGACTGATGAACATTTAGGTCACTTCTGACTTTCCGTTGTTATGTGCCACTCTGCAGTGTTCATTCTTGTGCCTGTATCTTGACACGTGCTTGGGATTATTTTTAGAGGAAGGATCGCAGTAGGGCGAGTGCTGGGTCCCGGTGTGTGCGCATTTAAAAACGTTAATAGATGTTGCCAAACTGCCCTCCAAACTGGCCGCGTTGATTTAGATTCCTACGGACAGCGGCTGAGCTCGCTGACTGCCCTAAGGCTGGGAAACCAAATGAACCGCTTGGAGCAGCAGCTTCCACTGAGGACACGAGCAATAGGAACAGGAGCTCTGACGGGAAAAGATGAGTCAGGGAATGTTGGGGTCCCCAGGGGCCATCCAGAAGAGCGGGCTGGTGGGTACAGAAGGAGGGGCCCATGGAGGACAGCGTGCAGGAAGGGGGGAGGGAAGACGATCTTTACCGGCAGCGTTAGTCGCTGGACATGCCAGGGCGGAACATGGAAGATGCCATGTCTCCCTTCTGTTTTCTGGGAAGAGCAGGCCGTGTGTTTTAGCGGCAATTTCCATTGTGGGACTTGCTCACCAACAAAGGGTGCCCCGTGGTGATCTGCCAGCCACAGCGTTACTGTCACCAAATGTGTAGCTTAGGGCAATGGGTGGCTTGGGTCTGGCGGTCACCTGGACCGGATTTTATGGCCCAACCCAGATTTCAAATATCCGCCCCCTTGTGAACCAGCATGTTCCGATCACACTCTGTTTCTGATTTCTGAACGGAGGGATTTTATCGGTCCCCCTGGTGACTGCGCCCAGAAAGGCCTGGTGGCATCGTGAGCACCCTCGGGGAAGCTGTGAATGAGCACCGTGACAGCTCTCTGACCAGCTCCAGAAAGTCCTTTTCGTTTGCATTCAGCCTCTTATATCTTATATCCAAATGATTGTGCTACATAAATCAGCCGACAGGGCATGAAGCCCAGCAAATTCTACTCCCCTCACCCCAGCCTCCATGCCAACTTTCCAAGTTCAAGATCTTATAAAATCTAATGTGCACTCATTCATCCACCACTTTTTTTTTTTTTGAGACAGCGCCTCACTCTGTCACCCACCCGGCTAGAGCTTACTGATGTCATCATAGCTCACTGCAACCTCAAACTCCTGGGCTCAAGCAACACACCTGCCTCAGCCTCCTGACTAGCAGGGACTACAGGCATGCGCCACCATGCCTGGCTAATCTTTTCTATATTTTGTAGAGACAGGGGGTCTCGTTTTGTTGCCCAGGCTGGTTTCTAACTTCTGACCTCAAGCGATCCTCCTCCCTCGGCCTCCTGAAGTGCTAGGATTACAGGAATTGGAGTACATGATGCAGCCATTAAAAAGAACAAAGCAACTGTAACTATATTCATATAAAGCAATCCCCAAGAAACACTAAGTGAAAAAACGTGTAAATAACAAAGTACATACGTGCTCATGTATGCTTAGGTCCCTGTGGATGGTGACCCAGGAATCTGGTGACACTGGCCGGCTGGGCCGCAGAACTGGAGGCTGAGGGCTATACCCTTTCATACGTTTCAAATTCTGTATCTCAGTTGTGCATTACCTGTGAATGAAAAACAAAATTCAAAAGAACTTTCAAAAGTAAAAAAAAAAATAAACAAAAAACGTTTAAAAACTTTAAAAGCCCCACATAAAAATAAGGGACAGGTGGATGGAAGAGAGTAGGTGTTAAACAGAAATATGCAATTCTGCTTCGTGAGGGCACACACAGCATCTTGTGTTTTCACCTGCAGGCCTGCAGCTGGAGGTGACCAACGAGAGTTTCGTCTTTGACAACGTCACCATCTCCCTGACGTGGCTTCTGTCTCCCTACATAGGAAACCTGTCCTGTATAATCAGTACGGGAGATGGCCACACTTTTGATCCCTACTACCCTCCCAGGTAAGGGGACTCTCTGAGCCTCTGGTGGGGTTGTATCAGTCAGCTTTCGCTGCGTAACAAACCATCCCTTGCTTTAGTGGTTTGAAGCAATCGTTGTTATTTTTCACGGTTCTTTGGAGAGCTGGGTGGCTTTTCTTGCCTGGGCCAATTCAGCTGGGGTTGGCTGGTCTAGCAAGGCCTCGCTGGATATCAGCTAAGGGCATGTGCCGTTCATCACCCAACGGGCTAGCCGAGAGGCTCATTCGCGTGGTGGCGAAGGGTTCCCGGCAGTGAGTGAGAGCCAAGTCTGATGTGCAAATAGTTTTCAAATCTCTACTTGGGTCGAATTTTCTGACATCCCATTGGCCAAAGCAAGTCCCATGGCTAAGCCCAGATTCAAGAGGAAGAGAAAGAATCCACCTACGAAGATAGGGGTATGGCATCACACTGCAAATGGGCATGCGGACAGGGGTGGCAGGAACTACTGCTGCTGTGTTTGAAAACACTCTGCCATGTGGGTTTTCTCATCATGGAGGCTACATGGAAAGTCACGAGAAAGAGCTCGGTACTTCCGGCTCCACTCTGTGCAGAATCTCAGCTCAGCTGCAAATGGGGTGAAGAAGATGCTCATCTTGGTATGAGGGACAATAAAAATATTACTAATATTAATAATACTCCAGCTAAGCAGTGTGCACACATAATCCCATTGAATCCTTGCAACCTTAGAGCTATAGCTGTGCTGTCCGTGTGGCAGCTGCCAGCCACACGAGCTACTGAGCACTTGAGATGTGGCTGGTCTCAACCGAATTATGCTGTAGGTGTAAAATACACACGGAACTTGGAAGACTTAGTCCCCTCCCAAGTAGGAACGTAAGATATCACACCCATGATTTGCTGATACTGCTTCCAGGTTTAAATGACAGCATTTTGGAGATATTGGGTTAAAGAAAAAAATGAATCATTGAAATTAATTTCACCTGTTTCTTCTCACTTTTCTCAATGTGGCTGTGAGAAAATTAAAAGCTACACACACGTGGCTCACACTATTTCCCCGGGACAGGGCTGTGCTAGGTGATCGTGGTCATGTTTTCACAGACAGAGGAGCTGAGGCTGAGGGAGGTACGGTAGCGTCGCCCATGTCACACGGCTAGGGCGTGGCAGAGCGGGCGTGCAAACCGAGACTGTCTGGCATGGAAGCTCAGGCTCTTGGCCTCGGGTGGGGACAGCGCAGGGTGCGGCACTGGGGCCTGACGACATTGCACTTGCATCCCCCAGGACACAGAGTCACCTCCCCAACCCGGCAGATGCCAAACCCGACTCACAACAGTTCAGGCCGGGCGCGGTGGCTCACGCCTGTAATCCTAGCACTCTGGGAGGCTGAGGCAGGGGGATCGCTGGAGGTCAGGAGTTCGAAACCAGCCTGAGCAAGAGCGAGACCCCGTCTCTACTATAAATAGAAAAATTAATTGGCCAACTAATATATTGAATATATATATATATATATAGTTATATAATATATATATATATATATATAATTAGCCGGCATGGTGGTGCATGCCTGTGTCCAGCTACTCGGGAGGCTGAGGCAGGAGGATCGCTTGAGCCCAGGAGTTTGAGGTTGCTGTGAGCTAGGCTGATGCCACGGCACTCACTCTAGCCTGGGCAATAAAGTGAGACTCTGTCTCAAAAAAAAAAAAAGAAAAAAGAAAAGAAACAACCGTTCAGAGTTCAACGTGGATCCCCAAGAAAATAAGGGGTGCTCAGACTTCCCTTAGCCATGTGCATCTCTCCTAACCCCAAAACAGCTCCGGGTCTACACTGCAGGAGCGGGAGGTTCTGGATCCAGCCCCCTGGGTGCTGGATTCCCAGAAGACCTGGGTAAGGTGGAGCAAATGGGGCCAACACTGTCCACAGCCCAGATCTGACCCAGTGAGTTCAGGTCTCAAACTGAGCAGCCCTTGAAGGTCACCACTCGCGGGCAGCATCCACGACAACAATTACAATGGGCCGCCCTGGGGGTCCTGAGGCTGGGGTTCTAATCCCAGCCGCTGCTAACATGATGTGAGATTCTGAGACAACCCGGGTCCTCCTGGGATTGTTTCCTTCCCTGTCACATTTATATTGATGGCTGTCTTGAGTGTTTCCCGGAATAAAATGAGAAATGACGTTGCTCTCATTTTATCAAAAAAACAATAAGCTACTCAAACTTTCAGCCCCCAAATCTTACACAGCTTGCATGTGCCATAAGTCAAAACTGAGCATATGTAGCCCTGCTAAGACCCTCCGCTTACACGAGGACTAGCCAGTGATAAACAAACCGTGGAGCAAACGGGACAGAATGCCAATCTTTGTCGATTCTGGGTGGTGAGTCCAAGCCTGGAACTGTTTGTGTGGTTATAATATTAGAAACAATGAGCACTGTTTTACATTTGCAATCTCTCCAGGCTTTAACTCTAAGCAAGAGCCATTGGCAGTTTTTTGTCTTTCAAAAAAAAATACACAGGGTGGCTCCCCTCCCCCACCACTCCACCCAAACAATCCAATTGCCTTTAAAGATTTGTTGGACCTTGAAACTAGCCTCGCACCTTTGTCCATCATTTTTATGAACATGGGGAGACATATTTCTAGTGCTTTCTCATCAACACCAGCAGTCTCATCACCCACTTTACACAATGGAAAATAGCATGAATTTTTAAGTATACAGAAGCCACAGGCTTTGTGTAAATACCACTGTGCTTTTATGTTTGTACAGACTGCTACTTTTGCCTCACTCCTTGTTAGTCTAGGAGGGAGGGATTTTAAAATCAGACCCCCTGTGTTTATCCTAGATGGATATAAGCTCACAGGGAGAATCCAACCTCAAATAAAATTGGCATAATAAAAGTCAAAAAGATTTCTCCTTTATTTATTATTATTTTTTTTAAAGACAGAGTCTCACTCTGCCACCCAGGGTAGAGTGCAGTGGCACAATCATAGCTCACTGCAGCCTCAAACGCCTGGGTTCAAGCAATCCTCCCTGCTCAGCCTCCCCAGAAGCTGGGGCTACAGACTTGAGCCACCACACCTGGCCGATTTCCCTTTTAGAAGCTCCTTCTTACCTTTGATTCTATGTGTCTGTGTTTGTTTGCATGGTGGGCTGTTTTTATTTTTGCTTCTTATGGAAAACGTTCTACATTTCAGAAATAGTGTCATGGGCTTTATAGAACAATTTATAGAATGCGAAATGTGTCCAGCGTCGGTTAGCTCAGCGCCACCTACTGCTGGATCTGGGGATTGACATTGTTTTTCGGTTACTCAGAGCAGGCTCTGCACAGCTGAGTCTCGGAGAGCCGAGAGGATTTGTCTGGAAACCAATAATTCACAAGACAATACAAGCCTTATAGTGACCTAGAGGCTAGAGTCCTTTCTGAGGGAGCCATAATTATAAGGCAAGAGCAGCGGATCTAGGGAAAAGGGAACAGCACGGAGCTGAAAGTGTGTGGCATATCTTAATAACCACAAGCACCTGGCTACACCTGCAGTTCGGGGTCTGTGGGAAAATGGAAGATGCTGGAAGACTCAGCAGGGGCCCGGTCAGGAAGAGCCTTGGATGCCAGCCAGTGTAAGGAGATTTTCCTTAGGAGAGTATGTAGGTTGGCTGTGTCAACAGAAGGGAAAAAATTCAAGCTTTTTAAATAATTAAAGTTAGTTTTATTCCAAAATCTTACAGAGGGCTATAGACCGAGGACCACGGCCCGGGGGAGTCTCTCAGAGTAGTTCTGTCGGGCTGCTGAGAAACAGCGTTTCAGCTCGTAGCTTATATTGTGCTACGATATGAGTAGCACATATCTGCTTATATCTGTGTTGTGGAGGGTCGGTATGTGTCAGATCGCACCAGAGTTTGGCTGCGAGAGTGAATGCAGTTACAGATGACTGAAGTACATCTGGTTATGCAGAAACATAATCACTTACCCCCATCAGACGTTTTCTTATGTGTAGGAAAAGGCAAGGACTTGGGTCACTTGTCTTTTTAGGGATATAGTGACTCAAGCCTGAGATATGGCCTCCCTCCCCCAAGGATAACCACTACACTGATTTCGAACAGCATAGATTAGCGTGGGCCTAGTACGTTGGCTCACGCCTGTAATCCTAGCACTCTGGGAGGCCGAGGCGGGAGGATCGCTCAAGGTCAGGAGTTCGAAACCAACCTGAGCAAGAGTGAGACCCCGTCTCTACTATAAAATAGAAAGAAATTAATTGGACAACTAAAAATACATAGAAAAAATTAGCCAGGAATGGTGGCACATGCCTGTAGTCCCAGCTACTCAGGAGGCTGAGGTGGTAGGATTGCTTGAGCCCAGGAGTTTGAGGTTGCTGTGAGCTAGGCTGACGCCATGGCACTCTAGCCTAGGCAACAAGTGAGACTCTGTCTCAAAAAAAAAAAAAAAAAAGAAAAAAGAAAAGATTAGCATGACCTCTGTTTGGAACTTATATAAATGCAATCATAAAGTATACTCCGTGTCTGACTTCTGCTCAGTATTACATTTTAAGGGTTTATCCATATTGTATATGATTATGATTTCTTTTTTGTCAGTGCAATATAACATGCTACTGTGTGAATATACCTCGATTTACTTACCCAGTCTAATGTTGATAAGCATTTTCCCATTTGGGGCTATTACAAATTGTGCTGCCATGAACATTCTAGCACATGCCTGTCTTGTGGGCTGTCTATGTACACATTCCTGTTGAATGTATACCCAGGAATAGAACTGCTGGGTCAAAGCATCATAGAATGAATTTTTAAGCTGTTGTCTTCATTTCTTTGTATTCTGAGCATCTCTCTTCTTTGCTGGCAACAGTGTCTAAAACCACTTACTGGTCTTCTCCCCTGGGTGAGATCCCTGGGAGAGAAATCAAGAAAGATCCATTTCTCTGTCTTTTAGTCCTGAGCAATTTCAGATGACACTAGAATTCAGAGAATGGAATAAATTACTTCCTCCAGACAGATCACTGAAAGATAAACTAAACTTTGCTATTCAAAGCCATCCTTCCAATCCTTCACAATAGAGGCACTATTGTCTTTTCTTGTTCTGAAATCTACGTTGTCTGATATTATAATAATAATAGCCATCTCATCTTTTTTTTGGATGTTAGTATCCTTTTATGTTCAATGTATCTATATCATCATGTTTAGGGCTCCCTCCTTCACATTGATTTTGGCCAGTCTGACGACAACATGCCTTGGTGATGCCCTTGTTGCGATGAATCTTACAGGTGTTTGTTGAGCTCCTTGATGGTCCAGATGCCTAAATCTCTAGTAAAACCAGGGAAATTTTCTTCAATTATTCTCTCAGTAGGTTTTCCAGGCCTTTTGATTTTTCTTCTTCATCCTCAGGGATGTCTATGATTCTTATATTTGGCCATTTTACGTAATCCCGTATTTCTTGTAAACTTTATTCATTCTTCTTGATTGTTTTTCATTTTTGACTGACTGGGTTGATTTGAAAGAGTTGTCTTCAAGCTCTGAAATTCTTTCTTCTGCTTGGTCTAGCCTATTCTTAAAACTTTCCACTGTGTTTTGTATTTTCCCAAATTAATTTTTCATTTCCGGAAGCTCTATTTGGTTATTCTCTTTACATCATTATATTTAAACTGGACTTCTTGGAGACAGTATATAGCTGGGTTTCATTTTTTAAAATCCAGTCTGGCACAGTAATTGGGGTGTTTAGACCATTTACAATAAATGTACTTGTTGATTTAGTTGGATTTAGATCTGGTATTTTGTTGTTTTCTGTTTGCCCCCTTTGTTCATTTTTCCTCTGTTTACCCTTTCCCACCTTCTTTTGGATTATTTGAATATTTTTAGTATTCAATTTTAACTTATCTTTTCGCTTTTTGGCTATATCTCTTTGCATTACTTTTTTAGTAATGTTTTACTATTTTTAAAGTAATGTTTTCCTATTGCACGTAAAATATTAAAGTCTTACTAGAATATAGGTCTCTTTACTAATGCTCTTTTATGTTATAATTGCCATTATAACATAAAATGTATTTATATGTATGGCATCTAAATACATTGAAAACAATCATACCTCTCAACCATTATATATGTTTTAAGGAATTTAGGAAGAGGCCAGCATGGTGGCTTACGCCTAGCATTTTGGGAGGCTGAGTTAGGAGGATCCCTTGAGCTCAGGAATTCAAGACCAGCCTGTCTCTACTAAAAAATATAAAAATTAGCCAAGTGTGGTGATGTGCACCTGTAGTCCCAGCTACTTGGGAGGCTGAGGCAGGAGGATCGCTGGAAGAGATTCCTGTAGCATTTCTTTCAGAGCAGATTTTCAAGCAAAAAGTCCTCTTAGTTTTTCTGAGAATATCTTTATTTTGCCTTGAATCCTGGAAGACATTTTTGCTGGATCTAGAATACTGTGTTGACAGTTCTTTTCCTTCAGCAGTTTAAAAATGTCGTTTCACTGTCGTCTGACCTCCATGGTTTTTGATAAGAAATCCAGTCATTTAAATCACTATTTACCTTATATACAATGTGTCATTTTTTTTCTGGCTGATTTCAAGATTTTTTTCTTTACTTTGGCTTTTTAGCAGCTCAATTATTATAGGTAGGGGTGTGGTTTTCTTTAAGTTTTTGTTTATTTGGGGTTTACTGAGCATCTTAAATCCATAAATTTATATCTTTTGCCAAGCTAAAAAAATTTTCATATATTTTCTACACCAATCTTTTTCTTCTTTCTGGTGCTCCAGTGATACAAAGATTAGTTCTTTGAATATTGTTGCATAGTTTGCCAACACTCTGTTTATTTTTTTAAATTTAATATATTTTCTCTCTAGTCTTCAGAGTGGATAATTTCTCTTGATCTATCTTCAAATTCACTGACTTTTCCGTCTGTTATCTGTATTCTGCTATTGAACCCATCTGGTGAATTTTTTATTTCAGATATTTTGTTTTTCATTTCTAAAGTTTCCTTTGGTTGTTTTTTATAGTTTCTGTTTCTGTGTTGAGAATGTCTACCTTTACATTCATTTCAAGAGGGTTTATTTTTACCTTATGGAACATGGTTATAATAACTGATTTAAAGTCTTTGTCTAAGGGCAACATGGTCACTCATGCCTGTGTAATCCCAGCACTTTGGGAGGCCAAGGCCAGGGGAAGATCATTTGAGGCCAGGAGTTCAAGACCAGCCTGGTCAACATAGTGTGACCCCATCTCTACAAAATTTTTTTTAAAACTTAGCTAGGTATGGTGGCCCCCAGCTAGAGGGGATTTTTATTGAGATTTCTGCTGTCTTCACCCACTATATAGTTCCATGACTTAGGCTTCCCTTGGGTCAAAGCCAAGACATAAAGGGGATTGCAAAATAAAGCAAAACAGGAAACCCATCTTTATGGGCCATTCTTCATGTTTTGACTTTCCGCCCCAATCTGTCTGCTGCTGTTTATTTTTCAGAGTCCTCAGGTATTTCTTTGTAAATTCTGCTGAGGTTTTTAGATGTAATCAAGGAAGAGATAGGCTGTGGGGGGCTTATTCCACCTTGGCTAGCAATAAGAGTGGAGTTTTTCACAAACGTGTTCATTTGCCAGATTCTTCTCAAGCACTTACTAGGTGTCAGATACCATGCTTGGTGCCAGGTATAGAACAGAGAACTAGACAGACACTGTCCACACGGACAGCCTAGCAGAGAGCGATGACACCGAATCAGCATGCGTGTGACCCAGGAGAAGCGGGGAAGGTATGGCAGCTCATGAAGTAACCTGACCTAGTCGATGGGTTGCAGAAGGCTGCCCTGAGGAGTTGGTATTTAAGCTGAGAGCTGAAGGAGCAGCATGAGTGTGGGCCAGGAGGTGGGCTACACCCTCCCACCCCCCAGGAAGACATCATCCTTGGCAGCCTTGAGGCGGGAAAGAGGCAGCTGGTCTAAGCAGTAGACAGAGGGCTGAGGGACCAGTCCAGTTAGAGAAGGGGAATGTGGCCAGGGGTGAGGGAGACAAGCGAGTGTCTTACTTTGTTCTGGCTGCTGTAACAAAGTGCCATAGACTGGGTCATGCACAAACAGCACAGATTTATTGCTCACAGTTCTAGAGGCTGGGAAGTCCAAGGTCAAGGTGCCAGCAGGTTTGGTGTCTGCTGAGAACCCCCTTTCTGGTTGATAGATGGTGCTTTCTCACACTGTCTTCACACGGTGGAAGGGGGTGAGTGAGCTCCCCCCAGGCCTCTTCTCCTCTTCTCTAAGGCACTAATCTCATCCATGGAGGATTCCAGCCTCATGACCTCATCACCTCCCGAAGGCCCCACCTCTTTATACCATCGCATTGGGGACTAGGTTCCAACACGTGAATTTTGGAGGGACACAAACATTCAGACCTTAGCAGTGCGATGGGTCAGAAGGGTAACGTCTAGGCAGGACATATAGGAGATTTTTAATTAGTACCCTCGGGAAAATGAGAAGCAAAACATACCTATAATTTTGATACGTTTGGAATCCGGTCCCATTTCACGGGTGGGGAAGATAAGCCGGAGAAAGGTAGTCTATAGCATTTTACAGACGAAGCAGAAGTGCGCAGCGACGGGGGTATTGTGCAAGCCACAGAGGGGGTAAATGGCAGGAAAGGGACCTGCAGGCAAACATTCATCTCCCTGATGGGTCAGTGCAGTTTCTGCCACTCTGCTGCCGCTTCTGGACACCTCAGTGTAACCTGCCCCGACACCGAGAGCCGGGCTCAGTCACGTAGCATCATTTTCTTCTGTCTTTTCAGTTTTGCAGAGCAGGGAAGGTGTGAGGTGCGTGTGTGAATGCGTGTGTTCGTGCGACCCCAACACTGGTAACGCTTCTGACTGTCGCCGGCAGTTTGTCCAGCAACGTGACCCATCAGTTCACGTCCCCCAGGGAATTCACCGTGTTTGCTGAGTGCACGACCAGCGAGTGGCATGTGACAGCTCAGAAGCAAGTGACAGTGCAAGACAAGATGGAGAGGCTCAGAGTGACCGGGTGCCCCGGCCTGTCCGAGTCGGGAGCCAGCCCCCTCTGCCGGGCCGTCTTTGGGGATCCTCTGTGGATTCAGGTGGAGCTCGATGGAGGTGAGTCCGCACACCTGGGCAGGTCAAGGCCAGCTGTGACGTCATCGATTTCCTCCCAATCTATCCAGCTACCAGGTTTTAATAAATAATAACTGTGATCCCTTATTAAGCTAATTTTTAAGCTACTATTTATTCATTTATTTAGCACGTAGTGTGTGCCAGGCACTGTTCTAAGCTCTTGACATGTAGTAGCCCACTCAATACATACGGGTGTTATCTCCATTTTACAGATGGGGAAATGAAGGCATGGAAAGGTTAAAAACTTTGCCCAAAGTCCCAAGGCTAGCAAGCTAGCGAGAGCCCCCAGCCTTCCGAATGCCCCTCCTTGCATGCTCCTAGCCCTATCAGGAGAACTGAACCTCTGAGCCACTCCCTGTCAGGGGGATCAGAACAGGATGAGGTGGGACTGGGAGTGCTCCCAGCTGGGCCCATCTCAGCACAGCTTGTGCCGACTAGCACCCAGTTGGGGCTGACGTTCAGATGCACCCACGGATACAGCCACGCCCCCGGTTACGGCTGGGCTCCATTCTGAGCGGTCACGGAGTCCACTCTGATTGGTCATCATGTCTATTCTGATTGGTCAAGCTGTCATGCAGACTGCCCATGGCATCCATTCTGATTGGTCACAGAGTCCCCTCTGATTGGTCATCGTGTCTATTCTGATTGGTCGAGCTGTCCATGCTGACTGCCCATGGCATCCATTCTGATTGGTCACGGAGTCCACTCTGATTGGTCATCATGTCTATTCTGATTGGTCGAGCTGTCCATGCTGACTGCCCATGGCATCCATTCTGATTGGTCACGGAGTCCACTCTGATTGGTCATCATGTCTGTTCTGATTGGTCGAGCTGTCCATGCTGACTGCCCATGGCATCCATTCTGATTGGTCACAGAGTCCACCCTGATGGGTCATTGTGTCTATTCTGATTGGTTGAGCTGTCCATGCTGACTGCCCATGGCATCCATTCTGATTGGTCACAGTGTCCATTCCAGTGCATCAGAGCATCCATTCTAAGGGGTTGGTGCCCATGAAATGTTGGTTTTTAAATATTTTAATTATCATCCCTTCTGTCAATAGAGACCTTCCTGGCTAGGAACCATCCTCACCCAGGGCCACACCTTTCCTAAGGCACAGGCCTGGTTTGAGATCAGGACGGGGCCTGGAGGTGCGGATGGGGCTGCACGGAGCTGCAGAGATGAGCAGGTGGCGCAGGTGACCTCACACACCTGTGGAGCCCACCATCATCATCATGATCATCATCATCATCTTCATCCAAACAAAAATTCTAGTTCTTAAATATACTAGCTTGGCTTCCACTGGAAAGAATCCTAGTTTGTTGATTTAAATCAGATTGGAAGAGTCAACCGTGATCTGTAGCACCCAGTTAGAACCACCAAGTGCAAACTGCAAGGGACCCCATCTCACCGTGAATGGTCGAGTTCTCACATCGGCAGAGCCCCAGGCAGGCACCTGCTCCTGCTGCAGTAATGACTTTCGGCTCCCTGTCGCTTGTAAAATCAGCCCACCCCCTTAAGAGATGCTCCCTTCTCAGCCTTCCTCCCCTCCAGGATACCCCTGGCAACAAAATGTTCTCATTTACTTATTATGGACATTTAAGATCTCAAGTAACACGTGTAGTATAAAGAAATCAGAATGTGGCCGGGCACGGTGGCTCACACCTGTAATCCTAGCACTCTGGGAGGCTGAGGTGGGAGGATCACTGGAGGTAAGGAGTTCCAAACCAGCCTGAGCAAGAGCGAGACCCCGTCTCTACCATAAATAGAAAGAAATTAATTGGCCAACTAATATATAATAAAAAATTAGCCGGGCATGGTGGCGCATGCCTGTAGTCTCAGCTACTCGGGAGGCTGAGGCAGGAGGATCACTTGAGCCTAGGAGTTTGAGGTTGCTGTGAGCGAGGCTGACGCCACAGCACTCACTCTAGCCTGGACAACAAAGTGAGACTCTGTCTCAAAAAAAAAAAGAAAATGAAAAAATATATCAGAATGTGCAAATGAACAGAGAGGACCCCAAAAGGAAAAAAATCACTCATTAACCCAATCCTCAGGGGTCATCGCTGTTAACATTTAGGGTGGGGGGGTACATCCTTACATATTTCTTTATATCTATATCCATATCCGACTCTGAACTACCATTGTGCTATCAACTGCATGGTTGTCACTATCATTCTTACATTTTTCTTACCCCATGTAGGAACAGGGGTGACCTACACTGTGCTTTTGGGGAACATGACCCTGGCTGAGTCCACCACCCAGCGGGGCCCACTGCCATACAACGTGACCCTGGACAGAGAAGCCCAGGAGCTGATGGGCCCCGGGAGGCACCGGCTGGAGATCCGGGCCCTCGGCAACACCCCCACCTCCACGCTCTCCAGAAACATCACGGTCCACTTCGTGGAGCTGCTGTCAGGGCTGCAGGCCTCCTGGGCTTCAGCCCATCTGGAGCTTGGACAGGACCTGCTGATCAATGTCTCGGTGGCTCAGGGCACCCCGGAGGAATTGATCTTTCACGTGGCAGGACTCAAGGCAAACTTCTCCCACCAGGAAGTGAGCTCCAGGGAGCCATTTGGGATTTACCGTGTGGCCGTTCCAGTTGAAGGTACCTGGGGTCGGTGGCTCCCCTTCCAGACCTCCCTCCTCTTCCCTTCCTGACTTGGTACCCAGGGTCCTGCTAGTTTTGGAGTGCGTCCTGGGCACAAACATGGCTCACGGCATCCTGCCTGGATCAAAAACTAAGGGAGAGACAGATATGATCTGCATTCATGGGGCTTAACAGCTGCAGAGGTTCTTGATTTTGGCACTGCTGACATTTCGGGCTGAATAATTCCTCCGTACAGTTGGGGGCTGGCACTGTGGGAGGTTTAGCAGCATCTCTGGCATCTAGCAGCATCCACTAGATGCCAATAGCACCAGCGCTCCAAACCGTGGCAACCAAATATGTCTCCAGGCATTGCCAAATGTCCCAGGAGGGGCAAAGTCACCCTCTTGAGAACCACTGGAAGACAGCAGGTGTATCAGGCCTCTTCCGAGATCTCTAGAGGAGACAGTGGCTTAGGAAACATCAGTCCATTCCCTGGTAGGGGAGAGGGAAAAACTGAAGGGTGGGAGAGAGGGGGATGGAGAGAGGAAGTGTCGCCATGATGCCGGCTGGGGGACAGACTGGCTGGCACCAGCCGGGGCTGGAGGCCACAGTACACATTTGCATTTAATCTGAAAGGAGCAGAGAGTCCTTGAAGGCCGTGTGATGAGGCTGGCGGGCAGGAACGCAATGGGAATCGCAGAGTCTCTGGCCCACCCGGGACCTGCCCATAGCTGCCCGGGGATCTCAGAGGTGTGTTGGACAGTGGGTGAGAACTCGGCAGGTGTGGGGTTACCTCGCCCTAACTAAAGAGTTAGCAGAAGAGACAAGTTCAAGAAGAAAACCACTGGAACGTCACGGGTACCAAGGGTCCAGCTTGGAACAGGAGGAACCCAGAGGTTACCAAAACTGAAAACACATGCAGCACGCAGGCTATGATCCGAATGCAAATTCAGTTTGTCTCCTATAACAGCAACTCCTATAAAAGTTGCTCGGTAGGGGAAACTGTACTCACTGATACGGTCTCTGCACACCTCATGACATTTTGCTCACTGGTAGCTTCTGGCATGGGGGCGGTGCCTCCCCTCCAGCTGGCCACACCTGCCCGGAGCTTCTCCCGGGCCACCTCCCCTCTCTCTGCTGGGCTCGCCTCGTTCTCCCTGCCCTCTCCAGCACCCTTCTCCCCAAGGCCCACATCTGGTCCACAGAAAATCCTTACCCGTTCCGTGGCCTACAGGCAGCCAAACGTAGTTATTTCCCGCAAGTGTAGCCCTCCCCTCTACTCACCCCCCCAAATAGACTGTTTCTTCCAAGGCATGAGTAAAGGGTTCTTAAACCTCAAAGAACACATGTCAAACCTTCCAGGGAAGGGTCCCCTCTCCCTAGACTTGAGAGGAGGAGAAGGTAGCACCCACCGCCCACCCCTTCCGCACGAGGCAGAGGTGATGGTACACCTGTGTTAGCAGGTGCTCGCCAGATGGATCTATGGACCCTTCTCATCCCGCTCTGCTCTCTCAACCCATCCTGCGATTCTTCCACTTCTTTCCCTCTGCAGGACCCTGCTTTAAGCTCACTAATGAGCATTCACGCATCCTGTGGGATCTACTCTAGCCCTGGCACCCTCCCATGTGCCATTGCTTTCTCTCCTGCGCATGAAGTGACCCCACCCTGTGCCCACAATGCCCACAGCCCGGTTCCTACCATGGTTTGGCTCTTAACTGTCCTACGTGTCTAACGCCCTTGAGGACAAAGACTGTGTCCCTTCATCTGTGTGTCTCCAGAGGCTTGCGCCAGGTGCCGGGCATACAGCTAGGGGCTCGTTAAATGCTCAGAGGGTGAAAGGTAACATGCTGTCTTAGGGGGCTGGAGAAACACAAGCCGGGAGAGTCGTCTCAGTGCAAGTTAAACAACTACCGACAGCGCCCGTAACTCTCTGCCCTCCGCATTGCAGGCACCTTCCTGGTCACCGTGCTGGTGAGGAATGCCTTCTCCAGCTTGAGTTTGGAAATCGGAAGCATCACTGTCACAGGCAAGGTGTTTCGGCAAGGGGGTATAAAACCTGTTAGCAGGTGTCTGGGACATTGCACTTGCTTGGGATCTAGTGAGGGGCCCTTCAAAACAGGGCTCTGAGTACTTATCTCGTTCTGCAAATATTACAAATTCTCTGGGCTGGGTGTGGTGGCTCATGCCTGTCATCCCAGCACCTTGGGAGGCTGAGGCAGGAGGATTGCTTGAGGCCAGGAGTTTGAGACCAGCCTGAGCAACATAGTAAGTCTCTACAAAAAAAAAAATTTTTAAATTAGATAGGCATGGTGGCACATGCCTGTAGTCCTAGCTACTCGGGAGGCTGAGGCGGGAGGATTGCTAGGCCCCAGGAGTTCCAAAGTTGCAGGGGGCTGTGATCATGCCATTGCACTCCAGCCTGGGCTGAGCAATAGAGTGAGACTCTGTCTCTAAAACAAAAACAAAACAAACAAATGAAAAAAGAATTCTCTGGTTATTCCAAAGAGACAATGATATATACAGTAAAACATTCAACCACTGATGATACAGAATTCTAAAAGAGGAAAGTTTGTATTAGTTATGATGCATTAGGCTGTAAGTAGCAGAAAGTCTAACCTAAGTGGCATTAAAGTCAGGATGTTCTTGTCTCACGTAATAAGAAGTTGGGAGGTAAGTGGTTCTGGGATTAGTTCAGTATCTCAGGGATGTCAGCAAGAACCCAGGCTCAGTCTATCTTTCTGCTCTGCTATCCTCAGAGCTCTGGCCTTGTCGTTAGGCTTGCTTCCCATGGAATCAAAGTGGCTGCTGCAGTTCCAGACATTGCATGCAAACCCAGCCTTATCCAGCAGCAGCAGAAGGGCTTTTCTCCTGTGTATTTCTTTTTATTAGGGGGAAAATTTTTCCCACTAGTTCCCTGCAATCTTCACCTTAGATAACCCTGGCCAGGGTGGGGTCAGTTGCCCAGCTGTAAGTGACGCTGGGAAAGCAGGTGTCCAGTGTTTCCAGGCTCCGTGGGAAGAGCTGGATTCTGGCTGCCAGGAGGAGGGATGGGATAACAGCCGCTGAGTAGCCACCAGAGTTAAAGTTCACCCCGAATATGTTTGCCAGGACTCTGAGTAGCAACGGACAGAAAATCAGCTCAAACTGGCTTGAGTGAAAAGGAAATTTCATCAGCTCAGAAAATGAAAAGTCCAGGGGGTGGACCTGGTCTGAAGTCCAGCTAGATGTATCATCGCTCAGTGTCTTCAGAATCTGCCTCTCCCCAGCTCTTGGTTTCGTGTTGGCTTCACTCTGATTCTCTCTTCCCAAGCAGTGCAAGATGGCCCCAGGCTTTGATTCTCAAGCCCAGAGGAGAGAGAGCACTATTGCTCTCTCTCCAATCACAAGTCCTGGGGCTGCCCCTTGCTGGCCCAGGCTCGGTTCATTTTCCCTCCAGGACCAGCTGCTGAGACCAGGGGGAAGTGGTGCTCAGTTTGGGCAGGTCAGGATCACATGCCCACCCTGGAGCGTGCTGTAGGGTCAGCATCACCCAGACCTAGAGCCGAGAGTAGGGGAGGGATGGTTGCCCAGGGAAAATAGCACCCACAGGTGCTGATTCCACAAGGAAGAGGCAGCGATGTCTAGGCAGAGGTTGGGGGGTGAGGGACACAATCAGATGCCCATCTGACAGCCCTCCTGTCCCATGTGTTCCAACTTCCTCCGGATTAGAAGCCCAGAAGGGTTAATGGACTTTGCAGAAATCACTTAGCTAATTCACTGCAGGATCAGAGGCAGCAACTATTTCTCCTAATTCCTTCATTCAAAATTATTTGACTGTCTTACTTCTTAAGATTAAGAAAGGCCTCTTTGTCTGGCATCTGAGCCTTGCTTTGTATAATTTTACAGACCTTCAAAGGTATAGCTGTGTGAATGATAACTCGCGTGGAGAGAATCTTTTAAATTCCCAGCTGTCCCAGCCCTTAATATATCCAAGTCACTGGGGCCTTGTGAATCATATGGAATAACTCTAAGTTCCTACCTTAATCACTGTAATTAGACATTAATCATATTAACATTTCAATATCTTAAGAGACATCGATTGAGTGTACCTTTTCCATTTTTTTTAACTTGGCACACTAACATTGTTTGTTTGTTTTTTTTGAGACAGAGTCTCACTCTGTTGCCCAGGCTAGAGTGCTGTGGCGTCAGCCTTGCTCACAGCAACCTTAAACTCCTGGGCTCAAGCGATCCTCCTGCCTCAGCCTCCCGAGTAGCTGTGACTACAGGCATGTGCCGCCATGCCTGCCTACTTTTTTCTATATATTTTTAGTTGGCCAATTAATTTCTTTCTATTTTATAGTAGAGACGGGGGTCTTGCTCTTGCTCAGGCTGGTTTTGAACTCCTGACCTTGAGCAATCCTCCCGCTTCGGCCTCCCAGAGTGCTAGGATTATAGGCGTGAGCCACCGCGCTTGGCCCACACTGACATTCTTTATACATGTGTAGTTTACAATGCAGTATGATCAAAGGCCTTCGGGCTTCCTGGAGCACTGAGATAGTAATACAAGGATCACCTTCGGTCTTTTTTTTATAGAAGAGGAAACTAAGACTTAGAAAGAATAACCAACCCACCCAGTGAACATAGTCGATACGGGGCCAATAAGAGGGTACGGAAACGCACGGAGGTACTCACCCCGGCTCCCACCCGCAAGCCAGAGCTGACTGTGCCCATCTCTCCTTACTCTATACTCAGTAACGACAGGTTGGGAGCTTGAGACCCACTCTGGTGGGAACATGAGCAAACACTGCAACAATCCAAGGCTCCTCGCTCCCACCCCCTCCACTGGTGGTTAAACATTAGCAGCGCACAGTTGCCACTGCCTGACTTTAACTCTCCTGTTTTATCTGCATGGGCAGCTGCCTCTTTCTTAGCTACTAACCACTGTCTGTAGCCCAAAGGTGGACATGACGGTTTGCTTTGATCCATTTCCCTATGACCTGAATGTTTGCTGTGTTCTCAAAGACCATTTCCAAGGGGATGTCCCTAGGGAATGTCCGCACGACCTTCTGACTCTGCCTCTTGACAACAGTTTATAAGGTTTCCAGCCAAACCTTGATACCCATTCCCACTGTGTTCACAGCCCCTGCCAGTCTCCAAGAACCATCTGGAATGAATGCCGAAGAAAAGAATGTGAGTATTTAAAAGAAAAAAAAAATGTAACCTCACAAGGAAAAGATGCCCAAGCACTCTGTTTTAGTTTTGAGTTCTGGTTGGTTGGTACTAATAATCCGAGCACTAGGAATCCCCAAGAATTCTTCCATATGAAAAGAGACCCAAAAGGATTGAAATCAAACAAAGTATGTTCTCTAACCACAACAGAATTGGGCATATCTAGGATGTATAAATAGTTCTTAGGCATCTTGAAAATTAAACAGCACATTTCTAAAAATAAAACCAATAGGTCAAGAAGAAATCACAAGGGAAATTAGAAATATGTTTAACTAAATGACAATGATAATATAACCTATGCAAATATGTGGAATGCAGCTAAAGCTGTGCCCAGAGGGAAATTCATAGCTCTCTAATATAGCTTTATATTAGAAAACAGGCCCATGTTCTTAGTTTTTAGTAATAAGACTGATCTTCAATTCCTTGCTGTTGACATTGTTCATGCGTGCATTTATTCAGTAACAAAGACTTATTCTGAATTTGCAATATTAAAGCTATGATATTGGGTGCTGGGGATACAATGGTGAATAAACAGATGTGTCCCTGCCTTCATGAGGCTTACTGGGTGAGACTAACATACAAATTAGCATATAATTAGGAACTGGGATAAGTGTGTGACAAGAACCAATAGGGCGCAGTGACAGCCACTAACACTAACAGGAGGCGATCTGGCATAGGCACCACGGCAAGGAGTTTGGATTCTATTCTCAGGCTATGGGAGCCACAGGGGGGTGAGTCCCACTTTGGCCTCGTATTATTCCAGGCCAAGTCCTCTAGGCTTGGATAAGAGGCTCCACAGCCTGAGCTGTTGAACAGGTGCCACCAAAATTAACTCCAGAACACACCGTGTGTCCTGCCATCTCCGCTTCCTAGAAGCCATGTGCTCTCCACTGCTGCCCAGCTAAACCTTCCTCCTCCTCCCTGGGAGCCTGGGCTCTGGGACAGCTACCCCCACCCCTGCCAGCTGGTTTATAAAGGTGGCAGCCTTGCACCTTTCCTCCGTGCCAGACTCAGTGTGAGCAGATTGGATCACAGCAGCCGTGGGGACAGCTGCTATCAAACCCTCGGAGCAACAGAAGCTGAGACTTAGAAACTGGCCGGAGGTCACAGGGCCACTGATCCCGCCTGCGATCTGGCCGGACCCCGCACCTACATTCTCAACCTACTGCCTCCCCTGCTACGTTCTCCTGATCCCCTGGGCTCCCCTCCTCTGCCGCAGTTACCACTCTGGTTTAATGGTCAGTCAACCACCCTGCAGTTCCGTGCAGGCAGGCGAGGGCAGGGGCTGAGTCTCTGCTCCTGCATCTCCAAACCCAAGCACAGGGCCCCGCCCGGAGTGGCCTCTGTTGACACAGTCGGATGCACGGTGGACCCTGAGCCCACACTGAGAACAAAGTCACTTACCCAGCGGTCCTTAGAATGCAGCGGACGCCCCACGAGGGGAAGCCAGGTGGGCTGGGCAGGGTCAGTCTGCACTCCACGCCTTCCTCTGTCGGCTCAGATTGCTCTGGGGTGCAAGGCGCCCCGCAGTGAGGCTGAGCAAACCGTAGCGCAGTGTCTCACCAGCCGGCTGCTCTTTCCGCAGAACGATAAAAGCAACGCGGAGGTGTACGTTAAACCTGGTCCATACACAGATCCCTTCACGACAGTCACGCTGGGCTGGCCGGACAAGGACAAGGATTTGCGCTTCCAGTGGTCCTGTGGTAGGTGGTCTTGCAGGTCTCACTCAGCAGTGATGACTATTCCCGGTCCTAAACATTAGGACAAAAAAGATAGTAATGAATAGCGGTCAGATCTTGCACTTCTTCTTACTATTCATGCTGGCATTACTTCTGCCTGGCGCTTTGTGCAACTTGCACGTGGCAGAGGTTGCAAACTGCATGGCACTGGGAGGTGGGGAGAACAGCGGCAGAAGGGGGTGGGGGTGAGGGGGTGGGGGAGGTGGGGGTGGTGATGGTGGTGCAGACCAGGGTGTGGCTTCCCCTGGATGCTGGCAACAAGGAGATGTAGAGACTTTAAAACCAATATTGATGAGATTTGACCACACCCTGAAAAACAACAACAAAAAAAACCAGTATTGAAACTGGAAAGGTCGGTCCATGCATTGGCAATTCCAAACAATGCAAGGGATGAAATATTCCTCCCCTCTAGCGGGGATCCCTCCCCTCACCCCCACCCCCTGGGTGTGTCTCTGGGGAGAGGGACTAGCAAGTGAGTTGGGCATTTTCTGACAAACCAATATGGCAGCACTGGAGCTCATATTTTAGAAACAGTGTCCTCCTTTTCTTAGGGGTCTATCCTAGCTACTCACACGTTGTTTTGGAAATAAAATGAATGCCATGCACACTGTGCATATTGCTTTTGTTACCCCCCCCCTTTTAAAAAAAAAATTGAACCTGCATATGTTAATGTTGTGGTATCTTCCCCAACTCGATTCATAATAACTGCATAATAGACCCTCAAGTTAATGTATGAGCATGTATTTGCCAGTGCCTTCTTTTTGGACATTTAGGTTGTTTCAAATTGTTTGCTTTTATAAATAGCACTGTAATGAACATCCTTACAGTTCAATCTTTATTTACCTCTGTGGTTACTTTCATAAATAAATTTCTAGGCTGGGTGCAGTGGCTCATGCCTGTAATCCTAGCACTCTGGAAGGCTGAGGCGGGTGGATTGCTCAAGGTCAGGAGTTCGAAACCAGCCTGAGTGAGACCCCGTCTCTAATAAAAATAGAAAGAAACTAACTGACCAACTAAAAAAATATATATATACAAAAAATGAGCTGGGCATGGTGGTGCATGCCTGTAGTCCCAGCTACTCGGGAGGCTGAGGCAGGAGGATCACTTGAGCCCAGGAGTTTGAGGTTGCTGTGAGCTAGGCTAATGCCACGGCACTCACTCTAGCCTGGGCAACAAAGGGAGACTCTGTCTCAAAAATAAACAAATAAATTTCTAGACATGGAATAACTGGGTCGAAAGTCATCCAAAATGCTAAGGCTTTGGATGTCAGTTGCTACATGGACATGACATCTTTCTGAATGTCAGTTCTCACTATCCGAATACAGAGACACAGCTGGAGAGTGGAGGTGGCAGCTGATGAGCCTGGCCCCCGGACGTATCTGGGAGTGACCGCTGCTCTGGAGGTGGTGGGGAGGGAGGGATTGGCGGAGACACATCGATAAACAGAGTCCAAGGGCGGAGAATGAAGCAACTTAGGGAGCAGCTAACGTAAAGAAGGAGATGACACAGCAGCCTCCCAGGTGGAAGTACAGCCTCCAGGTCCCCACAGTATCCCCTAGGGACACAGAGCTGTGACAGCCTCATCCACATGGAGCGTCAATTGCACCAGGGATGAGAAGTTGCTCTGGACAGTCCGCCGGGGCTGTGGCTCCTCCTGCCACGTGCCTGCCCAATCACCAGCGCAGTCACTGGGGCGCAGCGAGCCCAGCACACCCTGCAGGTTTGCTCCGCCTCTGGGTGACGCAGGGGTCATTTTCCCAGAAGCATCCTTCTGCAGCGCCAGTCCCACACCTGCATGAAAAGTGACTTTAAGGCCGGGTGCCGTGGCTCACGCCTGTGATCCTAGCACTCTGGGAGGCCGAGGCGGGAGGATCGCTCGAGGTCAGGAGTTCAAGACCAGCCTGAGCAAGAGTGAGACCCCGTCTCTACTAAAAATTGAAAGAAATTAATTGGCCAACTAACATATATAGAAAAAATTAGCTGGGCATGATGGCGCATGCCTGTAGTCCCAGCTACTCGGGAGGCTGAGGCAGGAGGATCGCTTGAGCCCAGGAGTTTGAGGTTGCTGTGAGCTAGACTGATGCCACCGCACTCACTCTAGCCTGGGCAACAAAGCGAGACTCTGTCTCAAAAAAAAGAAAAAATCGAAATCTCTATTTGGAGCCGATGTTGTTATTCACGACCCCTTTCTTTTAAAAGCCCCAAACCAGAAGGTGGGTTCCGGGGTGGGTCACAGTGTCCGCCCGTCTCCTGCAGGGCGCTGCTGGGCTCAGTGGAGCGACTGTGTCGAGAGGCGGCTGTTGCACACAGACCGGAGGGAGCTGGTGCTGCCACCGCCCTGCCTGCCGCCGCCCGGCTCCGCCGTCACCCTGCGCCTGGCCGTCCGGAGAGGCCAGCGGCTGCAGAACAGGGCGGAGCGATGCCTCTACGTGTCTGCTCCTCTGGAACTCAGGCCTCGAGTCAGGTGGGGCGCATGGGCACTTCCCTGCAGGGCTGCCATCCATTCATTCATTCATTCATTCATTCATTCATCATTCAGCCACCTTTTCCTGACAGCCAGCTCCGGCTAGTGGCAGGGATCCAGAGTGGGCAGACACGGCCCTGCCTCTGTTCCCGTGGGGGTTACCAGCTGGTGATCGGCAACTGTTATGACAACCTCCCCGCCTGGGGGATCAGAGAACAATGTCCCTTGGGAACATGTCAAGGGGGAGCAGGAATGCAGGGGGGCAGGGCAGGGCGGCGGGAGAGGGAACAGAGTGGGCAAAGAGTAAGTGGAAGAGGCTGGTGGCCCGAGTACGGAGAAGAGCAGGAGCTGGTGGACCAAGCAGGCCCGGGCTCAGGCAGGGACTATTAAGATTTTGCTCTTGGCTGGGCGTGGTGGCTCACGCCTGTGATCCTAGGACTCTGGGAGGCTGAGGTGGGTGGATTGCTCGAGGTCAGGAGTTCAAAACCAGCCTGAGCAAGAGCAAGACCCGGTCTCTACTATAAATAGAAAGAAATTAACTGGCCAACTAATATATATAGAAAAAATTAGCCAGGCATGGTGGCACATGCCTGTAGTCCCAGCTACTCGGGAGGATGAGGCAGGAGGATCGCTTGAGCCCAGGAGTTTGAGGTTGCTGTGAGCTAGGCTGACGCCACGGCACTCACTCTAGCCTGGGCAACAAAGTGAGACTCTGTCTCAAAAAAAAAAAAAAAAAAAGATGTTGCTCTTGCCCTTGAGAGTTCTCTAGAGAAAGCCACCCAAGGGTTCTAAGCAGGTGGGGGACATGATCGCACGTTGCTTTAAAATGCTCTGGTGGCAGAGTGGAGAATGGGCCAAAGGAGTGCGAGAGAGAACTGGGGGGGAGGGGCATGGCTCAGGCCCCTGCAGGGGTCGAGGTGGGAGGTCAAGGTGACTTGGCCTTTGTCACTGCAGGAAGCAGGTGGCTTGCTCAGACTGGGAACAGAGGAGAGCTAGATGCAGGGTCTGTTTACACGTGTGGGCAGGGATAAGGGAACAAATCAGGGATGACAGTGTCGGGTGACAACAGTGTCGGAGGCCATTATTGCTCCTAGGACTGCAGGGGTGAGAGCGGGACGGTGTTACTGGAGCCCAGGGAGCTGTGGCTGGGGGAGGGGGACCTCCCAATGGGACAGTGACCTTGGGGGAGGGGCTGTGACCTGTCAGGGAAGGAACAGGGAGAGTGGTGAATTAATACTCTGACTGCTCTGCTCACACCCTCCCAGCCTCTGTCAGCGCTGGCTCTCAGTGCACCCAACCGGAAGCAGAGGGTGCGAGCAGGGGGCGGCAGTCTGCAGGGCGCGGTCACCTGGGCACAGAGCTCGGGGTCAGTGGAGAAGGGAATGGGGGCAAATGGAGAACATGCGCACACGTGAACTAGGACAGATATGAGGACGGAAGTAGGAAGATTCAAGAGCTGTCCTGCGGGATACAGCCCTGGACACACAGCAGACGCCAAAGGGACCTCTTGTTGGCTCAAGTGAGAGGCGGGACATTAGAGAAGGCCCAGGGTTCGGATCCACACGTGGTGGTCCGTGTTCTATGCACACGCTTAGGACGAATCACAGACGCTCTAGTTTGCCCGTCTGTGCGGTGGCATTTCGGATACGTCACTCACAGGGTTGTAAGTGTTGCCAAGCTAATAAAGGTAGAAGCCATTCATGCATGGCGTGCATGCCATAAACCACAGCATGATTTAACTATTACTAGAACTGAAAGTAATCACAGAAATGCTTTGGTTTTATCCCTTCACTTTGCAGGCGGGGAAACTGAGGCTCAGGGAGTTTAAGTGACTTGTACAAGGTGACCTTTCGTAAGTGGCAGGGACAGGATTTGAACCCAGTGTCCTGTCTCACTCAGCCTCATGCACTTTCCATGTTCCCACCCTGGCAGTGAATGAAGCGGGAGTTTGGTCAGACTGTGAATCATTCCACCCTCACGACCAAGGCTATGTCCTGGTGTTGGTTGGGGCAGGGGTGGCTTTTATTCCATCCTTCATTTGAAAAAAGACCATTCTCTACCCTCTCAAAAGACTTGAAAAGAACCAGACAAAAGACCATTTGAGTGCCCAAGACATCTGTCTTCACTCGTTTTTGTGTTGCCTGAAAGGAATATCTGAGGCTGGGTAACTTAGGAAGAAAAAAATGGCCTGGTGCAGTGGCTCACACCTAAATCCCAGCACTTTGGGAGGCCAAGGCAGGAGGATTGCTTGAGGCCAGGAGTTACAGACCAGCCTGGACAACACAGCAAGATCCCATCTCTACAAAATAAAAAAGCATTAGGCATGCACGGTGGTGCACACCTATAGTCCCAGCTACTAGGGAGGCTGAGGCAGGAGGATCACTTGAGCCCAGGATTCGAGTGAGTGGCAGTGAGCTGTGATGGCACCACTGCACTGCAGCCTGGGCGACAGAGCGAGACTGTGCCTCACGGGTTCTGGTGGCTGGAAAGTCCAAGTGTGGGCACCTGCATCTGGCAAGGTCCCCAGGCTGCTTCCTGTCATGGCGGAAGACAAAGGGCATCTGCACGTGCAGAGATCACACGGCGGGAGAGGAGGAAAGAGAGGGAAGAGGGAGGCGCCAGGCTCTTTTCAACAACCAGCTCTGAAAAGAACTAATAGAGCAAGAACACACTCCCTCCTCCCCCAACACAAAGGGGATTAATCTATTCCTAAGGGATCTGACCCCACGACCCAAATGCCTCCCACCTCCAAAACAGGGGATCAAATTTCAGCGTGAGGTTTGGAGGGGACAATCATCCAAACCACGGCCATGCCCAAAGACGCTCCCTTGCAATGTCCCCTGTGTGCCTTCCAGCTGTGAGAAGAACTGCGGGCCACTGAACGTCCATGAAGACATTCTGCTCAGGGTCACCATGGGCGATGACTCCCCGGGGGCCACGTTCAGCTGGTATTTAGACAGCACCCCGACAGAGAAGGTAAGGACCCGGACCACACTCAAACACGGGAACTCTCCCGCCCACTGGGATCACCCGGAAGACGGGGGTGTCCCACGCCCCGTGCGGAGCTGGGACTGGCCGACCCCACTCAGAGCCCGTGGAGTCAGGGACGGGGTGTGGCTGCAGAGGAGGGTCAGGGACTTGTCAGCAGGGAGGATGGACACAAGAGAGCGAAAACGTGGGAGAAACCCTGCAGCGAATGCCGCTGGCGCCCCAGCCCAGTCCCCTTCCCCGGCTGACGCACCTGTTCCAGTAGCTGTTGGCCCACAGGCGAGGGACGTGGGATGTGACAGCCACCCGGCTCCCCGCCCCCGAGGAAGGCAACGTCGGTGGCCACGAAGCTTATGCTCAGAGCTCCCCCGGGGGCCAGGCTGACGCCCCCTGAAGCCACTTCTCTGTCCCCCTTCCTTCTGCCCTGTTCCCTCCCAGGGGTTCCCCTGAGCGCCTCCCTCCATAGGTGACCTGCACACAGGTCCCCATCCCAGGCTGTGCTCCTGGGGACCTGGCCTCAGACAACCCCCCCCCCACGCGGATGGAGACTGGGCCTCCCAGGGCGGCCTCCCGGGAAGCCGCCGGGGCCTGCCCTCTACTCACCACAGATGAATCTGGAAGGCCCCCCGGCAGTCAGAAGCCACCGGCCTGCTGAGGCCCAGTGGCCCTGCGACAGCCTCAGGGGCCCTGCCGGGCGCTGCTGTCTTTCAGGCCGAGCCCCTGCCGGACGCCTGCGGGCTCGGAGGATTCTGGCCCAGCTCGCTGACCCCGCTGCAGAGCGACGCCTCCGCCTTGCGCCTGCGCAGTTCCCTCCTGCGCACCTGGGGCCAGGTCGTCAGGATCAGAGCCACAGGTGCGCAGCCCCCCCCCCCCTCACTTCCCGTCTGGGAACAAAGATGCACGGAAACACTGATATCTGGGGCACAGGCTCTGGCCACGTGAGTCCCGCCACAACCACGTTCTGCCCGGGACACGTCGGGTAAAGGATGTGACCTCTCTGTGCCTCAGTTTCCCCACACGAGGACTGGGGATCATCAAAACAGCTTCCTCGGAATTGTTGCCCTGCAGGATGAGGGAGAGGACACCAGTGGTACAAGCAGGTCATGCTGGGGTTGTGCCACCTGCGTGTCCTGCCAGGGGGTGACTCAGAGCTTGTCATTTAAAACAAGCCCAGGGGCCGGGCGTGGTGGCTCACGCCTGTAATCCTAGCACTCTGGGAGGCCGAGGCGGGCGGATTGCTCGAGGTCAGGAGTTCAAAACCAGCCTGAGCAAGAGCGAGACCCCGTTTCTACTATAAGTAGAAAGAAATTAATTGGCCAACTAATATATATAGAAAAAAATTAGCCGGGCATGGTGGCACATGCCTGTAGTTCCAGCTACTCAGGAGGCTGAGGCAGGAGGATCGCTTAAGCCCAGGAATTTGAGGTTGCTGAGAGCTGTGATCATGCCACTGTACTCCAGCCTGAGTGTCAGAGTGACCCTGTCTCAAAAAGAAAAAAAAGTATCCTATAAAGATATACAATTTTATTATGCACCCATAATAATTAAAAATAAAAAATTTTTAAAAATTAAAAAGCCAACCGACTAACCAAGTCTAAGGTCACTTGGTTAATAAATGGCAGAACTGAAATCCAAGCTTAGCTCTGATTGTCTTCCCCAACTCTGCCCAATTTCTCAAAGGGAGACCCTGGGGTGCCCTGCATCTGGGAGAGTTGTCAGACATGCAGATTTCTGGGCCTGCCCCAAAATCTCTGGAGCGGTCTGAGGGGCCCAGGAATCTGCATGGTTAACAAGCTCCTTGGTGATCCTGAAGCATGTTCGAGTTTGTAGAACCTACACAGGCCCCTAAGCGTGATCTGTCTTGACTGCAGCACTGACCAGGCATGCCTACGGGGAGGACACCTACGTGATCAGCACCCTGCCTCCCCCCAAGGCACCCACCTGCGCCATCGCCCCGGAGGAGGGCACCGTTCTGACAAGCTTCTCCATCCTCTGCAACGCCTCCACCGCCCCGGGCGGCCTGCAGTACTGCTTCTGCCTGGAGTCAGGTACCGCCTGAGGACTCTGCTCTCCCCTCAGCTCCTGGGCTCTTCCCTGCTGAGAACAGGGGCCCGTCTCGCTCTGGAAGCTGCTAAGAATGAGCTCTATGTCCGAGAGAGGTTGGCAGGAAAAGGGCACCCCCTAATCCTTGGGCCCCCACCCCCAAGGCGCTGACCCAGCCAGCACCCCACAGAGACCTGAGAAGCAGGTCTCATCAGTAGCTCCAAAATGCCCTCTGTCTTTGCATGGGGACATTGTAAGGGTGACATGAGCCAGGATGCCCACCAGTGTGACCATTAGGGGCCACTACAAGGACACCATCCCCGACACACACTCGGAGTAGCCAAGACCCCTGGGAAGGCTGGAGCTATTTGGGAAGACAGAGAGGGGTCTGGAGCATATAATCTTCAACGACGTTATTGATCCTGCCTTGCGGGTGGTGGCAGGGAATGGGTAATGGGACAGGACCAGCCGAGCTGGAAGGAGAAGGCTTTTTTGCAAAGGTTTACAGACGATGACTGTGGAAGACCCCGCCACCTTGCATAAGGCCCTGCACAGCCTCCCTCCCGTGGTCACGCGAACAACCCACACCCGGGGCAGCAGCGGGGCATCGGCCAGAGTGGCGGGAGAGCAGCCCACGTGGCCTTTGTTCCCCCATTTCGGTGGTGATTGGTGCTTGCAGGGTTCATCTGGTTCCTTGTCTCCTCCCAGTGGGCTTTGGCATTTTATGGCCCTCACATGGGCTCCGAAAATGTCCTAGGCAGACGGGAACTGTCCTCCAAACGTGGGCACAGGAGTGCCACCAGGATTCACCAGCATCAAACATGACAGTGATGTTAGCTCCACACCTTCCTTAGGGACAGGTGGACCTAAGCTAGTCACAGACCCAAGGGAGTGTAGTTTTCACGGGGTGCCCTGTCCGATAGATGTGGACGCTCAGGGCCATTAAGAGGGCTGTCACTCAGGCTGAGCCTGGAAGGAAAAAACCCAAGTATGGTAAGTAGATGTTATTTCAACCCTGAATCCCTGCAAAGGGAGAAGCCAGGACAGCCGCTCTAATTGCAACTGGTTATTCACTTTACTACCTCCCCCTGCCTTACACGGGTTAGCAAGAAGGCAGGGAAGTGTGGCCGAAGAAACAGGAGTTTCAATTGCAAGTTAATAGCTTCATGATTGATTATCTGCCTGCTATGGGATGATGAGTGAGGCCAGTGCTAGGCGGGTCCTATTTAAGGACACAAAGGCTATTCATTCATTCATTTTTACAGCAAATGGGGATCAAATGCTAGGCTCTGTTCCAGGTGCTAGATAAATATCAGGGGGCAAAAGAGTGAAAGTCCCTGACCTCATGGTCTAGCGGCATGGTCGAGACAACAGGTAAACAAAGGCACACATGACAGTAGGGGCGGCTGTTGTAGAGACAGCAGCCAGGGAAGGGCTTCATAAAGGAAGTGACATTTGGCCGGGCACAGTGGCTCACGCCTGTGATCCCAGCACTCTGGGAGGCCGAGGTGGGCGGATTGCTCAAGGTCAGGAGTTCGCGACCAGCCTGAGCAAGAGGGAGACCCCGTCTCTACTAAAAATAGAAAGAAATTAATTGGCCAGCTAAAAATATATAGAAAAAATGAGCCGGGTATGGTGGCACATGCCTGTAGTCCCAGCTACTTGGGAGGCTGAGGCAGGAGGATCGCTCGAGCCCAAGAGTTTGAGGTTGCTGTGAGCTAGGCTGATGCCACGACACTCTAACCGGGGCAACAGAGTGTGACTCTGTCTCAAAAACAACAACAACAAGAAGGAAGTGACATTTGAAGGAGCTTGCATACATTTTGAGCTCCCTCTCTCCCTCACCCCTACTCTTTCTCTTTCTTTTTCTTCTTTGTACCATTTGGTTTACCACTTTGAATTTTTTATTTTAAAAAAGTGGTAAATGGGAGGTTTTTTTCTGCAATTTTTCACCGATGTTAGTAAAGTTATTGCAAAGTTACAGTGACCTGCATTTAGTTAGAGAAGACAGTGGACCAGTGTATATGGCTGTCTACTCCCTGAATGCATGGAGTCTCCAAGTGCCTGCCATGCCTTCAAGAGTGGTGGCTGTTGTGGCCCGGTGACCTGGCTCTGCCTGGGTGGCTTGCAGTGTCCCTGTGGCCTGGAGATGCCCCTCTAACTGCTCAATTTTTATTTTTCCAGGTTCCTGCCTACACTGTGGCCCTGAACCTGTCCTCCCATCAGTTTATCTGCCACTTGGAAAAGAAAACAATGACTTTGTGCTGACAGTGGTCATTTCTGTCACCAATCACGCGGGGGACAGACAGCAGACCCATGCAGCAGTTAAGGTAGGTCGTGGCGGTGGCCATAGTTTGTTTACTGAGAAAACTTCCTGGGCCGTCTGAACCTCACCAAAAGGGTAGCCAGATGACAGGCAGCCAAAGGCATAGCCAAATTAGTCACTGATTCATTCATTCCTTCAACAAATATTGACCGAGCTTCTACTATGTGTCAAGTCCTGGAAATACAGCCATGGACATGACCGGAGTTGTCTCAACCTGTGCAGATCTTATGACTTAGTGGCCAGGGTGGGGGTAGGGTCTTGGGAGCCAGGGGCAGGGATGGCGCAGAAGGACCCTGGCATGAGTCAGGCCAGTGCCTCCAGAGAGCTCAGAGAAAAGAGGACAAGAGCAGCCAGCAGGGACACAAAGCAGGACCTGGATAAAGTCCCGAGAAGATTTCAGGGGTCAGAAGCAGGGTGGAGGGGATGGGATTTAGAATAAGATGAGGAGGGCAGGGGACCCATGAAGCGATGACTTGCCCAAGGCTTGAGTTGACCAAGGCTTGGTTTTGGTGGCCATCGGCTGCCCGGTACAAGTGGGTCCGGCTACCCTCCGGCCTCAGGAAGTGCCCTAGAGCCCCCGGGCCAGGTCGAAGGCATCCAGGCCTGCTCTGGCTCCCTACGTTAAGAACTGTGACTTCAGGCCCCAGATTTTTTTTTTTTTTTTGAGACAGAGTCTCAATCTGTTGCCTGGGCTATAGTGCTGTGGCATCAGCCTAGCTCACAGCAACCTCAAACTCCTGGGCTCAAGCCATCCTCCTGCCTCAGCCTCCCGAGTAGCTGGGACTACAGGCACGTGCCACTATGCCCGGCTCATTTTTCCTATATATTTTTAGTTGACCAATTAATTTCTTTCTATTTTTAGTAGAGATGGGGTCTCGCTCTTGCTCAGGCCGGCCTGGAACTCGTGACCTTGAGTGATCTGCCTGCCTCGGCCTCCCAGAGTGCTAGGATTACAGGCGTGAGCCACCGCGCCCAGCCAGGCCTTAGGTTCTTGAACAGGGACCACTGAGCACATTCCTGGCTTCCCGACAGGTGAGACTCGGAGACGCACGTGTTGCGGACGGGGCATTCCAGGCTGCCGTGTCAGAGAATATCGCCACCACTCTGCAAGGCGAGCGTGGCCCCGAGCGGCTCCTCCAGCTGGCCAAGTCCGTGTCCTCTGTGTTGAACCAGGAGCGCCAGGGCCAGGGCTCGGGGCCCCAGCTGGGAGTGGACGTCAGGCGGAAGGTGCTCGCAGTGGTTCCTTACACACCATTTCGCTGGGGTCCCAGGGTCTGTGTGCAGCCCCCTTTGGGCTTGGGGCTGGGATTCAGGGATCAGAGGAGAAGCCTGGAGTGTCTCCCAAGTGGCCAACATCGCCTCCTTCTGGGTCCCTGTGAGTGACACAAAGTGAAGAAAATGACTTCTCCATTGATAACCTGCTTTCTTGGCCTTCGTGGAGTCACGGGCTTCTGGGGCTGGGAGGAAGTCACACAGCGTCACTCCATACCTAGTGTCAAATATCCCTTCGTGTCAAAGACAACAAAATCAAGGCCTGGAGCAGAAAAGTGACTTGGCTTCGGTCATATGGGTCAGCATTTGGGGTTGGCCCTTAGATGTTGTCCCAGCTTTGTCACTTACCACCATCTGCATTGTCATGGGCCAAGGACTGAACCTCTCTAAGCCTCAGTTTCCCTATCTGGAAAAGAAGGAAAATAATACTATTTTCGGCATAAAGTGGTGGTCAGAGTTAAGTAAGAATTACAATCACTGCAACTAAAGGTTGAACTATAAAAAATTGACAACATTCAACCAGTTTTAATCCACAAGATGGCCATTTCCTATGTGACAACTTAACGGTATGGACAATTATTGCAGAACATACAATTACATCCACTCAGTGCATGTCACATGAATATGCATGTGTATGCACATGAATATGCACATGAATATGCATACAAGCATGCATGTACACACACAGACACTCCTGCTGGGCATGTAGAAGAGAAAAAAAAGGCATGTCCTGGTCCCTGGAGGGTTTGCAGGAAGGTACTATATAGCAGGGTGCTGGACACCATGTGCATATTCAAAACAAAAAGCAGCAGTTGTCATGGTTACTGCCAGACCCTGAATTAGGGCTTCATGGATGTGTAATCCCCCTACAGAGTAAAAGGGGAGGTCCCCATCTATGTTATGGATGAGGAAACAGAGGGCAAGAGACTGTGGTGGCTCACCCGGTCCACATCTGATGTTCTTAGGGTTTCCCTGACATGGCCAAAGCCAGCCCCTCGCTCGTGCTTTGTGTCCCCAGCGGCAGGACTGCCTGGCCTTCAGGCTCTTCAGTGATTCTGCCCAGCTGCCTTTTGCCACATGAGGTGACATGCTCACTGGTTTTGGGGATCAGAAAGTGGAAGGCCGTTGTCACTCTTACCATAGCAGCCATGCGGCAAACCAAAGCCACCAGGGCTTCAGAGAACCCCAGAGGAGCCTGGTCGCTCCTCTGACCCCACACCTTTCTGAAATGACTTCACGGAGCCACTGGGGTTACATTTCCTCTCCCCGCCTTTCTCGCCCCGTGCCAAGGTCAGAGAGCGTGTGCTGGGGTCGCTGTCTGCGGTCACCGCCAGCCTGGAGGACATGCAGCGGGTGCAGGGGCTGGCCGAGGCGCTGAGGGAGGTGACCTGCCACAGTGAGGAGCTCAGCCCCTTGGCCCAGGTGTGTAGCCCCCACCCGCCGAGCCCGCCATGGGACACGCTCCTCCATGGCGGTGGGTGACAGCCCAGCTGGGCATGGGCCGAAGGGGGCTCTCAGTCATGGGGCTCTTCCGATGCCACCAAGACCTCTGCCACCTTCTTTCCAGGGGTCCCGCGTGGGTGGTGCACGGGAGGGTGTCCCATGCTGGGTGCGAGGGCTGTCCGCCCACACCGTCTCCCCACCCACCGGTGAGCAACTTGAGAGGGTAACTGAGTCTAATTAATCTTTGGTGGCCAAGTTCACGTCCAGACACAGCTGCTGAGTGCCCGTGTCCCCCACCCCAGCACACACCGGATCCTGCCTTTCCTTGCCTGGGGGCCTTCCCCAACCCCCAGACACCCCCCTGTCCTCTATCTACCCACAGGGCAGGTAATTCATGCAGTGTCAGTGACTCATGGGGCTGGGGCACCTGTACCCTCTTGACCGGTAGTCCCAAGCAGGATTGAGCCCCAGGAAACGGGCGTGGCCACACCCCTGCCTCGCCTTCCACCCTTCCCTGTCTCACCCCCACCCCCAGTTTATTCCCAGGGTCCCCTCTGAATAAACGACCTGCTCTCAGATCTTTGCCTCGGGATCAGCTTCTTGGAGAGCTCGAATTCAGACCCCATGTTGGCAGGGTCCTGGCAGCTGAGGGTTAAAAAGGAAGACATGTAAACAGTTGGAGGGGAGAACGGCCTGGCTCTGCTCCATGCGCTCTGGCAGGAGGCCGAAACCTCAGATTCTCAGCCTGAAGCCAGCAAGGCTGGTCTCTATCTCAGGGGCCATGGGTGCCGCGGATATGACACTTTCCGTTTACACACCCACGAGCTCATCCAGCTATTTTATGTGCATACGCACTATATGCACGTGTACCTGTTAATACAGAATCCTCTCTCCATCCTTCTATTCACGTGTGCACGCATGTATTCATTCATCCAATGAGCGCTTCCTGAATGTCTAGTATGTGCCAGGTGCTGTGCAACTTGGTGAGAATTCAGCTGTGAATTACGCAGATGTGGCCTCTGCCCTTGTGGCACTTTCAGACGACTGGGACAGCCAGACATTAAACAAATAAATTCACAAATACTCCTTACAAAATTGGAAGAAGTGCTGTGTCCATCCATCCACCCATCTATCCATCCTTCATCCATACCCCCACCCACCCATCCATCCATCCACCTGCCCACCCATCCATCCATTTCCCCCCATCCATCCTTCATTCATTGTCATCCATCCACCCATCTATCCATCTTTCATCCATCTACCCACCCACCCATCCATCCATCTACCTGCCCACCTATCTATTCATCCATCCACCTACCCGCCCACCCTCCCATCTATCCATTTGCCCACCTGTTGATCCTTCATGCATCCTTCCATCCATCCATCGTCCATCCATTCATCCATCCAGTCTAATCATCGAGTGTCCCTGAAGGCCTGCTACGTGCTGGGCACTGTGCAGGGCGCTCTGGGAAGGACGCAGACAGAGGCAGACCGGGACACTCTGCTGAGGGAACTCCGAGTGCTGCAAGGAGGGAGGACCAGGCCTCTGGTCAGGGACGCAGGCAGCCGTGCGCCGGCTGCAGCCCAGCTCTTCCCTGGCGTGTGCCCCTCCAGGCCCCCTCCGCTGCAGCCTTGTCCCTTGGATGGCACGGAAGAGGGTCTACCCCAAGCAGGGGCTCACACTGCTTTTCCTTCTTTGGGTGAGCCCAGCGGGAGGCTAGCCGGGCTCTGCAGCGTGTCAGCGAGGCCCTGGTGACAGCGAGTGCCAAGGCCCGCCCTGAGGACCAGAGGCGCCAGGCAGCCACCAGGGACCTGTTCCAGGCTGTGGGCAGCGTGCTGGAAGCTTCCCTGAGCAGCAGACCGGAGGAGCCTGCGGAGGCCAAAGGCAGCCAGGTGGGTGCCTGGGACAGAGGCAGACCCCACACCCCGCGCATGCGCTGCTCACACTAGCGATTCTGGGTGGAGCTTCCTCCCCATCTTGCAGATGATGCAACTGAGGCACAGAGATTAAAGTATTGCCCAGGGAGCGGGAAGAAAAATCCCAGCGGGCAGAGCTTCTGGGAGGCAGTGCGGTGTGGGGCAGAGCGCAGGCTCTGGGACGAGGCAGCCTGAGTTTGAATCCTGCCCCTGTCGCCCGGGAGGCTGTGACTTGGGCAAGCTACACAGAGCTTCCTTAAGCTTTGTTTCCTTGTCCGTAAATCGAGGCGCTCGGCCTCATCCAGGTAAACGGGCAGCTGGAGAGGTCAGATGGATCCCGTTCCAGTCTGGGTAAACTCCTGGTTCATTTCTCCAAGGACACAGAGGACAGGCTGCTGCCCGGAGAAGGAGCAGGTGCGGCCCCGTCTCAAGTGGCCCCAGCACCCTGATGGGGACACGGCCTCCCAGACATCATTGAGACAGAGCTGCAGAGCCCATTCTTGCTGTTCCACGTTCTTCATTGCGTGGGGCCGTCACTCTAGCCAGGAAGAACTGAGAGGCACTCGACTCGTAGGAGCGCTTGGATGCACACGCTCACACGCTCAGACACACTCAAACACACTCACACCCCCACAAACACACAGACACATGGTCAGACAGACTCTCATGCTCACATGCAAACTCACACTCACTCATGCTCACACATAGCCTCAGGCACATGCTCTTGCACACACATGGTTGCATACTCCATAATCACAAAATCACACACACACACACACACACGTGTGCATGCTCACTTACACACACCCTCATGCCTACACTCACAATCACTCAGATACACACACACTCACACACACTCGCAGACTCACATACACACACACAATCTTATCTTCACACTTGCAGTGACATCACCCTCACACGCACATACGTGCACGCGCAATCTGTGCCCGCACAGGAATTCTGTGCAAACATGCAGCCCCTCCTGGGTCCCCACAGCAGCCTTGGTGGCAGCAAGGACACACCTCACCTGGGGGTTGGGGTGGGTGGGGAGCGGAGTCCGTGCCCAGGGGACCTCGTGAAATAGCCGTGCCCCCAGCTCTGCCATCCCCCTGGAATAAGCCGCAGGCCTCGAGTGGGTGTCAGCAGCACAGAGACCCGTGTCACAGCTCAGCGCATGGACTGTGGTCCCAGCTCTTCCCCTTAGCCATGTGTGACCTCTCCAAGTCTCCCACCCTCTCTGTGCCTCTGTTTCCCCATCTGCCGTATGATCGCGGTTAAGCACCTGCTGAGTAGAGTCGTAGTGAGGATGGAAATGGCTCACGTGAGTCAGGCACTGGAATCTTCCTAAGCGCCTGCTCCTCTCGCCGCCGACAGGCCTGTCTTTCCCCCTCGCTCCTCTGTCCTCGCCCCGTCCCTGCTGCCAGTCCCACTCTAGCCTGGTGACAGGAACCAAAGGTGATGTACAGGGATGCGACCGCAGCGGTATTCTCCCGCCTCCTTTCCCAGACTGCCACCGTGCCCCGGCTGCTGGGAGCCATGGAGCATGTGCAGACCGCCCTCCTGCTGGGCAAGCTGCCCGGGGGCCCGCCAGCCACCCTGGCCACCCCCTCCGTCGCCGTGTACACAGACAGGTAAGCGCTGCCCCGCGGGTCCCCGAGAAAGCTCATCCCCTAACCTCGCTCACTGCACACCCGCACCCCGGGAAGTGTGCTGGGCAGAGCCCGGGAGACCAGCCCTGGGGCAGGAGACATGGTGGCACCCAGAACTGCCAAGCACCTTGGAGACGGTCCCCGCTGCCAAGCTGGGCATTTGCACACGCAGCACAGGAAGGGAGGTGTTGAATGCGGAGCCCGGGGTCGGAGCTGCACGAAGGAGTCCTGAGAGGCAGGTCACTTCAGGGTGCCCTCCACTGCACCCTCCATTCCTCATGCGGAGAGCAGGCCTGCATGGTGCTGCGGGCACCTCGGGGACCCCTGCACCAAGCCCCAGTGCCAGGGTGGCCACTTGGGTCCCAGGGGCAGTTTCCAAAGCAGCATCCTGATCAGAGGTGGGGTCTGAAACCAGGTCCCCAATCTGACCAGAAAAGATGGGACCGGATGCCCATGGCATCCGAGGTCAAGGCAGGTTTGGAGGCAACTCTGGAGAAATGTCTGCATCCGAGCTCATCTATCCACTCATGGGAATACGTGCCCCTATCACGTGCCAGGCGCTATTAGGGGCATTGGGGGCACAGCAGTAAACAAAGCTGGCAGAGCCCAGTCCTCCTGGGGCCTCCGTCCCGGCACAGGGCTCGTGGGCTGCCTTTTATGCCGATTCTGCTGATCCAAACGCGCAGAACCATCGGGAGGAGGGACGATGCAGCCGGCCACTCTGCGGGGAAAGCCGGGCTCCCTGTAGCGCAGGGGTGGGGTTGGGGGGCTCCTCCTCCAACACTGACTCTCTCCTCTCTCCCCCACACCCCCGTCCTCACCCGTGGCCAGAGTACAGCCGTGGAGCTGGCGAGGCTCCTCTGTGCATGGCGCCGACGCTAACTCTGCGACCTTCACCCTGCCCACCGCCGCCTCCCTGGGCTATCTGGAGGACGGCCAGGAGCCTGTGGACATAAGGGTAACGACAGCAGTGACTTGGGGACAGCCCTGTATAGGCTGCAAAGCACTTTCGCACGGATTTGCTCACTTTAACAGCCGTGTTGATTACAGGGTATTATTGTGCCCATTTTACAGATGAGGTTCAATGACTTGCCCGAAGCCCCAAGTCAGTGGCCCCTCTGGACTTCCTGGCTCCCAGACGCATCCTCCTTCCTGCCACTGTGTTGCAAAATTTCTCTAGTGGCCTTAGTTCACTGGGAATCAAGCTCCGCTGGCTTAGTGCCATAGCTCAGAAATGGCACACCCAGGGCTCTGTTCTGTCCCCACATTGGAACATTTGACTGTCTACTCCTTGAGCCTTAATAAAAGTAGACAAATGTGTTTCTCTTGGACACGTATTGGCTCTTTGGGAAGAAAGACTGGAACGGTTTTATATTCCAGTAACTGCTCAGCCAAAGCAAGTCCAATTGGGGTTCCCCAGGGCCAGCTCTCTGAGGCCACAGCTTTGAGGGACCCCAGCAGCAGCTGAAGGCAGGGCTCCTGTCACGCCACAGGGCAAGGGCTACTCATCAGCACAGTCTTAGGACCTGATCATTCATCTAGAGGCGTATTTGCCTTCCAGCCCCTCGGGCGTCTTGGCCAACACTCCTCGTTCTTGGTTTCAGATGATGAGTTTCCCAAAGAGTCCATTCCAGGCCCAAAGTCACTTTGACGTCAGTGGAACCATTGGTGGCTTCCGTCTGACCAGCCCTAGTGGACGGCTCATACCTGTGAAGAATCTGTCGGAGAGTATCGAGGTAGGAGTTGGGGGTGTCATCACAAGTCGGGTGGCATTTCTTTCTTGTCTTTTGTTTTTTATTTGTTCTTTTTTTTTGAGACATAGTCTCATTTTGTTGGCCAGGCTAGAGTAAGTGCCGTGGCGTCAGCCTAGCTCACGGCAACCTCCAAATCCTGGGCTCAAGCAATCCTCCTGCCTCAGCCTCCTGAGTAGCTAGGACCACAGGCATGTGCCACCATGCACGACTAATTTTTTCTATATATATTTTAGAAACTTCTTTCTATTTCTAGTAGAGACAGGGTCTCAATCTTGCTCAGGCTGGTTTCAAACTCCTGACCTCGAGCAATCTGCCCGCCTCGGCCTCCCAGAGTGCTAGGATTACAGGCATGAGCCATCGCACCCGGCCCTGTCTTTCTTTTCAATTTAGTTGGGATCAAAAGTTGTTTGGTTATAAGAAAAGAATGGTTAAAGAAAAATATCATTCAGAATGATCCTTACACTCGCTCGAACATTGTATTTATCTTAAAAGTATAAATGTATGTTCATTTGTCAATTTCTAAGAAGCTTTCCTGGTTATGTAAATCTGTTGATGGATAGTTTAATCATCTTCATTGCATAAACCACCTTTGTAACAGCCTCCAAAACGTCTAGTGACATTTTGTTTAAAGTTGAGCAAAAATGTAAGCACACCATGGTGCAATGTGAGTGCAGTTTCTTTTAAGATTTTTTTTTTTGCTCACTCCCCTTCCCCACTCCCAGCCACCATGCCTACCTAATAACAGTTTTTAGTAATGTCCACGTCCTCATCCCTGGAGCCTGTGCCTACATTACCTTAAATGTACAAGGGACTTTGCAGATGTGCTTGAATTAAGGATCTTGTGGCCAGGCGTGGTGGCTCACGCCTTTAATCCTAGCACTCTGGGAGGCCGAGGTGGGTGGATCGCTCAAGATCAGGAGTTCAAAACCACCCTGAGCAACAGCGAGACCCTATCTCTACTAAAAATAGAAAGAAATTAATTGGTCAACCAAAAATATATAGAAAATATGAGCTGGGTATAGTGGCACATGCCTGTAGTCTCAGTTACTCGGGAGGCTGAGGCAGGAGGATCTCTTGAGCCCAAGAGTTTGAGGTTGCTGTGAGCTAGGCTGATGCCATGGCACTCGAGCCCAGGCAACAAAGTGAGACTGTCTCAAAAAAAACAAAAAACAAAGGATCTTGCAGCCAGGCACGGTGGCTCACGCCTGTAACCCCAGCACTCTGGGAGGCCAAGGTAGGAGGATTGCTTGAGCTCAGGAGTTTGAGACCTGCCTGAGCAAAAGCAAGACCCCTTCTCTACTAAAAATAGAAAGATTAGCCGGGCATGGTGGCGTGTGCCTGTAGTCCCAGCTACTCGGGAGGCTGAGGCAGGAAGATCGCTTGAGCCCAGGACTTGGAGGTTGCTGTGAGCTAGCTGTACTCTAGCAAGGGCAATAGAGTGTTTCAGAGAAGAAAAAAAAAAAAAAGGAATTTGAGGTGGGAGATTATCCTGGATTATCCAGTGGGCCCAAGGGAATCACAGGGTCCTTTTATGAGGGAGGCAGAGAGGGAGCTGGCTATAGAAGAGGAAAGGGTGATCTGATGACAGAGCAAGAGGCTGGGGTGGCGTCAGGAACCGTGAGCTGAGAGACCCAGAGGCCAGGAAGCAAATTCTCCCCAGAGTCCCCTGCAGGGAGGCAGCCCTGAGAAACTCATCGCCTCCTCCAGCACTGACAGATTCGTATTGTTTCAAGCCACCCGGTGTGGTCGTTTGTGATAGAAGCCACGGGAAGCCAATGCAGTAGCAAAGCCCAGTGTGGCCCCCAAGCTGCAGGGCTCTGTACGGCAGCCCGGTGGCCCTGGCCGGCATCGTCTTCTCGGCACAGCCTTGACGTGGTTGTTTCTGGTGGCAGATCCTGCTGCCCCGGCCTTCGGAGGGACACCGCGAGCCGACCGTGCTGCACCTGACCAGGCCGGAGGCTTTGCGGGTGAATGTGACCTCGGGGGAGGCGGCTTTGGGGATCCAGCTGCACTGGGGACCCGGCGTCCCACTCACACTCAGCCTGGGCTACGGCTACCACCCCAACGCCACCAGCTACGACGCCCAGACGCGCCTCCTGCCGGCAGCGGCTCCGGGTAGGCCTCGTGGTCGCGTCTTTGTGACCAGCTTCACCTGACAATCAGAGGCCATAAGGAAAAAAAGAAAACAAAACCAAAAAAACCCTCCCTGGCATGTTCAGTGGCTTATTTCTGTTGGTGTTATTATTATTAGCCAATATTAGGTGAGCACTTACTATATACCCTGAAGAAGCAGCTGTCAAGCACTTCCAGAACTGACTATGTTACAGTCCTCATGACAACCCTCCACTTTCCAGATAAGAACAGAGAGGTTAAGTAACTGGTCTGAGATCACACAGCCAATGAGGAGCAGAATCAGCACTTGAGCCCTTGTCCGTCTGACTTGGCTCTGCACACTGACCTGGAGTGTCCCTTCTTCTGTGCTCCTGGTCTCAGGGGGAGATGGAACTACTAGGACATGGGACTGGGTGGGGGAACCAGCAGAGTCTGCTCCCCTGCCAAGCTGCCTCGGTTCCCCTCTCCCCTGCTGTTAGCCCCCATGTCAGTGAGGCTTCAGGCTGACCCGGAGCCCTGCGTCCTGCAGATGAGCCGCCCACGTGGATCCTGGGCCCGCAGGACCTGCACTTTGGAGAAGGCATCTACTACTTGACGGTGGTCCCCGAGTCCGGCCTGGAGCCAGCCCCCGGCAGGGACCTCACGGTTGGCATCACCACCTTCCTGTCCCACTGTGTGTTCTGGGATGAGGTCCAGGAGACTTGGGACAACGCAGGCTGCCAGGTGAGGAGAGAGGAGTGAAGAAGGGGGCAAGGTGGCTTGGTAGGCCATGTCCAGCTCACGTGGGTCTCCTTCTAGTGCCTCCACGGGGCCTCTGCATATGCTGTTCCCTGTGCCAGGAACACCTGACCCCCCCCAAGAAAACTGAGCTTCAGTCCCTGCCTAGGTCACACGTCCCATCCTAAGCTCCAGAGCACACACCCCTCACCCCCAGCCCTAAACAGCGTCATTTTACATCCACCTATGAGATCATTCAAATGACATCATTCTCCCCTGGAGCACCGGGAGCCCCAGGAGACAGGTTCGCCCCTGGGAACAAATGATCATTGAACCAGTGGACCAGTGACTCAGGAAGCCCTGCTGACGCTGGGTCACAGAGGGAGGCCAGGGTGTCATTTCCAAGGAAATGCGCTCAGAGCTGCGTCTTTGATTCCACGCCAGGTGCCGCCTTCCACACTCCGCTTGCATTAGCTCATCAGGCTCCACAGTGATCTCCAAGGTAGTCGCTATTCCCATCTTACAGGTGGTAAAACAAAGGCTCAGGAAACTCACCTAACTTGCCCCCAAATCCCACTCCTCCTAAGTGGAGCAGCCGGGACTCGAACCCAGGTCTGACTGCAGGTCACGATTTAGCAATAGGTGGCTCTGTCTCCCCAGGGCTTGGCCAGGCCCGCTGAGCCCCCGGGGGAAACTTTGCTTTGTTAATTTAAATAAAATCCCTGTCTCAGCTCAGCCCTGTGCCCCCTGGAGCCCAGGCCAGTGACAGCGTCCCGTGGGCAGATGCTGGCTTTGGGGCCATCAGAGCAGTGTCTGGGGCACAACTCTTTCCTGTCCCCTCTCATGCCTTGGCTTGTGGCGCCCCCTCCCCGAAAACCCTTCTCACCTACCCCTGCCTGGAAAACTCCCGTTCACCCTTTAGCCCCTGGCTCCCGGCCACCTCCTCGAGGAGCCTTCCAGACGCCTCCCCCAGTTGGGTTTCCGCAGCATTCCACCCCCTCTCGAGAAGGGCACTCTGTGTCAGGTTGACATTTACCGCACGTGTGTCTCCATCCACCAGGACTTTCTTTCACTCATTCAGCAAACACCCACCGGGCACCCAGTGGTGGGGACACGATGGTAAGAAAAACCAGGGAGCTTTAGGCTGAGCAGAGGACGCAAACGAGGCAAATGGCACACACATGTCAAATGACAATGGTCACAAGAACCATAGGAAGCCGTGTCCCACCAGAGCCATGGGAGGAGGAGACTGGGATCGAGCTCCTCCTGGTTTGTTTCTGCCGCACGCAGGGAGTTCTCCAAAGCACCAAGGAGAAACTGAGGCACGTGCAGATGTCTGAGAGACAGCGGTTCCCCAGGCTCCTAGCACAGACCTTTGTGCCTTAGGAGCAAGCCCCAGGTGTGACGACGTACTCTGGAGTTCCCAGGCGACATGGGCTGTGCCATCAGACAGATGTAGGCTCAGTCCCACTGCTGGGTGATCTTGGACTAGTCGCCCCACCTCTCTGAGCCTTCCCATCCCAAATCAGAAATAAAGGATGGCTACCACGTAGAGCTGGGGTGGGGCTTGGATGAGATTAGGGTTATAAAGCACTTAGTGTGGCGCCTGGCACATGGTGAGCGCTCCGTAGATTAGGGCGACTGCTCCATTGAACCCTCTGACTATGGGGAAGACGACACAGCGTGCGAATGGAAATCCCAGCAACAGTGCTCGTGGGCTCAGGCTCGGTCCAGCATGGGGACAGATTAGGGGAGGACCACTTAGCTGAACCTAAGTTTTGGGGAAGTTTCCAGCTTTTGAGTACAGCGATGGCTTCTCAGGTGCTTGTTATATTATTAAAAATATGTACCTGCTAATGCGTCCATACATAAATAAGGGACATGCAGAGGTCAGGTGTGCAGGTGTGTCATGGGACAGAAATTATAACTAATCCACTGTTGTATACTTGAGGCTCATAATAGGTGCAGACACACATGTATACATTCAGACGTAGGTTTAGGCTGAGATATAGAAATGTAGCCTTTAGCACTCTGGGAGGCCGAGGCGGGTGGATCGCTCGAGGTCAGGAGTTCGAAACCAGCCTGAGCAAGAGCGAGACCCCCCATCTCTATTATAAATAGAAAGAAAATTAATTGGCCAACTAATATATATAGAAAAAATTAGCCGGGCATGGTGGCGCAGGCCTGTAGTCCCAGCTACTCGGGAGGCTGAGGCAGGAGGACTGTTTGAATCCGTGAGTTTGAGGTTGCTGTGAGCTAGGCAGACGCCACGGCACTCACTCTAGCCTGGGCAACAAAGCAAGACTCTGTCTCAAAAACAAAATATATATATATGTAGCGATCACCACAGAGAGTTTGATGAGGAGCCATACATAAGTAAATGGTCACCAAGTTTGGGTGGAAACCACGACCAAATTCTCTAACTAGCCAAAGAAAGTTCTACCTCTCTGCACTGAGACCTTATCGGGGGTCAAGGCAGAATTATTGCCAGGGGTCTGAGAACCGGTCTCCTCGCATATGCGTTTTCTCAAAGGTACTAAAAGTGCAGCTGCTGCCACAGGGGTCACCAGGTTAATTTGCACTGGTCAAAGGGCCCCTCATGGTGAAGGTGACGGAGGCCGCTGGCCTCAGGGTGTGAGCGCTGAGGTCACCTGCTGGGGCGTCTTCTCTGAACCAGCCCCTCCCCTCCCAGTGGGCCAGGTGTTCCCATAGGCTCGGCAGCTGTGCCAAATGCTGTCCAGGGTTGGGAAACAGTGACAAAAACAAGGAAGCAAACATGGAATGAAGACCCACCTGAAATTCCTAAGAAGCGGCTGGCACCGGGCGCGTGGAGGAGGTGGGAGCCTGTGCCCGGAGGTGCATGACGGGAAACAGACAAAGCTGCCTGCTGGGGCAGGACTGGGCTGCAGGAGGCTCCTCCTCCCCAGGTGCTTGAGCAGAGAACATTCTGGATGCCAGTTCTGTGCCCTCCCTCACTGCCTCCTGGTGGAGCCGGGGAGGCGGAGGCAGGGCTGCGTTGTGCGGTTGAGTTAAAGCTTCTTTTTTTTTTTTTTTTTTTTTAAGACAGAGTCTCACTTTGTTGCCCAGGCTAGAGTGAGTGCCGTGGCATCAGCCTCGCTCACAGTAACCTCAATCTCCTGGGCTCAAGCGATCCTCCTGCCTCAGCCTCCCGAGTAGCTGGGACTACAGGCATGCGCCACCATGCCCGGCTCATTTTTTGTATATATATTTTTAGTTGGTCAATTAATTTCTTTCTATTTTTGGTAGAGACGGGGTCTCGCTCAGGCTGGTTTCGAACTCCTGACCTTGAGCAATCTGCCCGCCTCAGCCTCCCAAAGTGCTAGGATTACAGGCGTGAGCCACGGCGCCCGGCAGAGTTAAAGCTTCTTTATCCACCAGAAGGCCCCAGAGGGTAATTGAGAGGTGGCCAAGGGGCCTGGGGCGGCAGTGAAGGGTGTGAAGCAGGAGCACAGGTGGCCGCCCCTGCCCCGACCCCTCCTGTGTCCTCCCTGCCCGGCTGTCCCACACCTCGAGGGACCACACGCCCAAGCTCCACCCACACCTTCCTGGTGCTGAATGTCACCTTAGGATTCAAACACTTGTCCCTCCCTTTTCTTCCCCTAGTTTCCCCAATCCTTTTGCTCTTCAGTAGAGGCTGACCAACCGTCCCAGCTTGCCCGGGACGGAGGGAATTCCCATTTGAAAAGCAAGAAAGTCCTGGAAAAACTGAGACGAGTTGGTCACTGTGATGTCCTCTCAGTGCCCAGCCCATCATGGGGCCCCAGGTGGCACAGGGGACTGGAGGGGAACACACTACATTTGTGACAATGGTTGCTTAAGAGGGGGGTGGGGTGAGGGACAAAGGGGACCCCAACTTGACCTGCAATTCTTCTTACCTGAAAAAAGCAAAGCAGACTGGCAAAATGCACACAGCTGCCCTTTGAGAAGGATGAATGCAAAGTTATCTGTTATAAATAATATTCTCTGCATTTGAAAATGAGTTTTTAATTAAAAACTAAAAAGCCCGAGGGGCCATCCTGAAGCTGGTGTTTCCTCAGTGCCCCCCAGCCCCGCCCCGCCCTAGCGTCCACTGCTCAAGGTGAATGTCATCCCCTCCCTGGGGCTGCAGGGAGCCGGGGGCGAGCCCCCCAGCGCTTCCAACCTCTGCGGGGTTGCAGGTGGGGCCGCGGAGCAGCCCCTCCCAGGCGCACTGCCTCTGCGACCACCTCACCTTCTTCGGAAGCACCTTCCTGGTGCTGCCCAATGCCATCGACGTCCGCCAGGCCGCTGAGCTCTTCGCCACCTTCGAGGACAACCCTGTGGTGGTGAGCACCGTGGGCTGCCTCTGCGTGGTCTACGTGCTGGTGGTGATCTGGGCGAGGCGGAAGGACGCCCAGGATCAGGCCAAGGTGAGGTTGTGCGGTCCCGGGGAACGGGAGGGAGGAGCAGGGGGTGTCCCCTTGCAGGGGCTCCGGGGGATGGAGCCCAGGCGGTGAGCTGAGAGGTCAGCTGCTGGCCCAGCCTGGACCCCCGGGGCTGTCTCAGGCAAACTGGCCCCTCAGCCTCTTTATGTACAAAACGGCCTTTCTCATCAAGTTACGCAGAGCGAGACTCTCTCTCAAAAACAAGAAAAAAGAAGAATGCACTTGTGCTTTTTTTATCTTCCCAATATTTTTTACTAAAATCCTGCTTTTGTAAAAACCAGCTCTCTGGCTGGCCGGGTGCAGTGGCTCACACCTATAATCCTAGCACTCTGAGAGGCCAAAGCTGGTGGATAGCTCAAGGTCAAAAGTTCGAAACCAGCCTGAACAACAGCGAGACCCCCGTCTCTACTAAAAATAGAAAGAAATTAATTGGCCAACTAAAAATACATAGAAAAAATGAGCTGGGCATGGTGGCGCGTGCCTGTAGTCCCAGCTACTCGGGAGGCTGAGGCAGGAGAATCCCTTGAGCCCAGGAGTTGGAGGTTGCTGTGAGCTTGGCTGACGCCACGGCACTCACTGTAGCCTGGGCAACAAAGTGAGACTCTGTCTCAAAAAAGAAAATAAAGCAGCTCTCACTTGATGGTGTGAATAAGTAGCACTCATAATGAAGGGGTCTGGCCCTTTTATTGTCACCAACGAATGCCCAGCTCCTTCTCGTGTGGGGTGCAATGGACGAGCCCATGAGCAGGGCTCTTCTAATGCTGTCCTCTGTCCAGGTGAAGGTCACGGTGCTGGAGGACAACGATCCCTTTGCCCAGTACCACTACCTGGTGACAGTCTACACTGGACACCGGCGAGGGGCAGCCACATCCTCGAAGGTACCCGACGGTGCGATTCTCAGTGCCAGCCACGCTGAGGGACACTGGGAATGTCATTATTGGGACGGAGGAACCAGGGACTGCCCTATAGCCCTTGCAAATAAATACATGGGGAGTGTGGAAAGGTCTCTGAAAACCATTTTATGAGTTCGAATGATCTAGAAGATGCGAATGCAGATAGTGTCACCCAAATCTGCATACAACTGGAAAACGAACTTGAGCAGGTCCAGCGTGGGAGGAGAGGGTAAACGGGCTTCGTAGGTTTGTGGCCACTTCCAATGAAGCAAGGCCAGTGAGGCCCGATTACCAAGGGGAGCTGACTCTGATTTCAGGTGACTGTCACCCTGTATGGCCTGGACGGAGAGAGTGAGCCCCACCACTTGTCTGACCCTGACACACCGGTTTTTGAGCGAGGAGGAGTGGACGCCTTCCTACTGTCCACCCTGTTCCCGCTGGGGGAACTGCAGAGCCTCAGGCTGTGGCATGACAACTCAGGGGAGCGGCCATCCTGGTGAGTAGTCTTGGGCAGGCAAACCACCAGGACCTACACAGCACTGGACCCAGGGCTGGGCACTCTACATTTGCCGCCTTCCTGATCCTCACAAGCCTCTGCAAGACACATAGAATGGATCTCCATTTCACGGATGAGGAAACCGAGGGTCAGAGAGGCCCACTGTATTTCGTGGTCTACACAAACTGGGTCAGTACTAGAAGGAGAAAGACTGGAAGTTGCAGCCCTGGGGTCTGGTGCCAGCCTCACTCTTGGCCCTTCTGTGCAACAACCTGTGACTCGCCCAACGTCACACAGTTAGCAGGTTCAGAGCAAGGTCTTCCCTATTCTGTCTGAGGCCAAAACTAGTGACCCAGATGAATGGTGTCCAGTCTGACCACCCATCAGCAGCTGGTAGCTTTAGAAAGACACAGCATTTATGCTGCTGTCTTTAGTTCACCCAAGGGATTAAAGTTAACACATTAAGTGCCTCAGCCATAGGTCAGTTCTTAGCAAGTGGACTCCAAGATGGAACTGAGCAGGCAGGGCGTTTATTGAGGGGCACCTGGGGAGGGAGGGAGGGAGGCAGGGTGGGCAGAGGGAGAGGTCAGGCCGTGATGCAGCCCAATGACAGTCCATCTGACCTCTGGAACTGTCCCTAGTTGGACATAAATGCCCAGGTCCCGATAATAGCAGGCACCTCATCACTGGATGGTGGCCACCTCGGGACAGCATGTGACCTTAACAGAGGTGACCTTTGCATCCTTGATGGGGCTGTGCTCCCTGAGATGAGAAAATGCATGGCAAGGGTATCTTAGCCTCGTCCCCATCAGGTAGCAAACAATAAAGCGTGGCTATTGCTGCCATTACTATTCTTACTGGCTGTACCGCTTCCTGACATCCCAGGACAGGCGAGACGATTTCCATTCTTCCCCGGGCCTCCGAGACCCAAATCAGGTCAGATGATGCCCTTGCAGTCCTGAGCCCCAGATCGATGGTGGACTCGCTCTCCGGTTAGACACACGCGCGAGGACCATGTTTTGTGCACTCCAGTATCCAACTTGGCTTTGCTCAATCGTGCCTGGACGCTGGCCCTGGGCTTGGTGCCATGTGGAGGGGTTAATAGTTTCAAAGACGCCCTCTTGCATCGTATTTGCGACATTGTGGCAGCTTCCCAGAGATAGCTCTCTATACTAGCTGCACTTCCTGCCTGGGGCCAATTTTGATCCAGGCACCAAGAACAATCAAGGAAAAATACAGTATTTTTCCAGGAGCTCTTGTTCTTGGGTTTTGCAAAGGGGTTGCCTTTATGGTGTACAAGGAAGTCTCATCCCCCTGCCACCCCCACCCCATCACACACACCTTATCCTCAAATCTGTGGGTCCCTTTTCCAGGTATGTGAGCCGGGTACTGGTCCATGACCTGGCAATGGACCAGAAGTGGTATTTCCTCTGCAATTCGTGGCTGTCCATTGATGTTGGAGACTGTGTCCTCGACAAAGTATTTCCAGTGGCCACAGAGCAGGACAGGAAACAATTCAGGTACTTTAAAAAAAAAAAAAAAGCAAATTTTCATTACTTTGTTCTTTCATCTCAAGGGAAGTTGCATCGTAATCCAAATAAAAGTACACTTCAGGCCAGGCGAGGTGGCTCCGGTGGGAGGCCGAGGCAGGTGGATTGCTCGAGGTCAGGAGTTCGAAACCAGCCTGAACAGGAGCGAGAACCCATCTCTACTATAAATAGAAAGAAATTAATTGGCCAACTAATATATATAGAAAAAATTAGCCGGGCATGGTGGCGCATGCCTGTAATCCCAGCTACTGGGGAGGCTGAGGCAGGAGGATTGCTTGAGCCCAGGAGTTGGGGTTGCTGTGAGCTAGGCTGACGCCACGGCACTCACTCTCGCCTGGGCAACAGAGTGAGACTCTGTCTCAAAAAAAAAAAAAAAAAAAAAAATAAGTACATTTCAGCTAGCGGGCCTGGGTGGGTTTGAGTGTGTGACAGTAATGATCAATCAGTTTCTCCTATTGGGGATGAGGGCCTGGAGGGGCGTGGGTCCCCCAAAACAAAATTGTCTTCCATGTGGTGAGAACAGTAGGCACATTATCCTCATTTCCTTACGGATTTTGCTGAACAAAATATTTCATATTAGTGAACAGACTGATCTGCATGGTGATTCAATATCTGGCCATTTGGGGCTCCTTTTTGGTGGTGTTTTACCCTAGATGGACCTTTCAGCATGTGCTTCCCTTGCTTACTCACTTCCCCTTCCATCCCCTCTGCTGCCGTGTTCCCGCTTTCCACATTGGTCTCCAAACACGCATTAGCGGGTACAAGTGTGCACTCACAGTCAGCACCACAGACAGCTGTTCATTCTGTACCATTTTAAGTGGCATATTACTCCAAAAGTGTTGCCTTTTCCTTTAGGAATATATCACGAGCATCCTTTGGGGACAATATGTTTGGGTCAAACTGTTACTGGGAAGCAACGGGTTTGCTTCCTGACACACAGAGAAGCCAACACCATGGCACTGGCTTTTGAGAAAAGAAAATCTTTGCTGTGAGTTGAATGCGGAGGAGACAGGAGGCAATGCCCAAATGTCTCCCTGAGCTGGGGCAGGTTTTATAGGGAGAGGGTAATGGGGAATAATTTTATTGGATCTTGCAATGAGGCGATACAGGAGATGTGATCTGATTGGCTCATGCCAAGAGGTGATGCAGGAAGGTATGATCTGATTGGCTCATGCCAAGAGGTGATGCAGGAAGGTATGATCTGATTGGCTCATGCCAAGAGGTGATGCTGATGCTGGTGTCTTCATTTGGTCCCTGTTCCCTGATGCGAGCACTTTGGTTCTGGTTGTAGCTGACTCTCTAGTTCCTGCTGGCCCCGGGGTAACACATTGGGCACACTTGGTTCATCTGGGCACACTCAGATTATGTGACCTGCAACTGAAGTGCTCATGGCAACTGAAAAACAACTCACCATTTTATTATGCCAAAGTTAACTAGATTGGGCTGGTTCTATGGTTACAGAATGGTTTCCTTATTGCTTCCATAGATTGGACATTCCATGACAAATTGACCCATTCTCATATTGCTGGGCATTTTGAGAGGCGCTGGCCCTGGGCTTGGTGCCATGTGGAGGGGTTAATAGTTTCAAAGGCGCCCTCTTGCAGGGTATTTGTGACAACATGGCAGCTTCCCAGAGATAGCTCTCTATGCTAGCTGCACTTCCTGCCTGAAGTCTTGCTCTGTCGCCTGGGCTAGAGTGCTGTGGTGTCAGCCTAGCTCACAGCAACCTCAAACTCTCGGGCTCAAGCAATCTTCCTGCCTCAGCCTCCCAAATAGTATAAACTACAGGTGCTACACCACCATGCCTGGCTAATTTTTTCTATATATATATTTTTAGTTGGTCAATTAGTTTCTTTCTATTTTTAGTAGAGACGGAGTCTTGCTCTTGCTCAGGCTGGTTTCGAACTCCTGACCTTGAGCAACCCACCCGCCTCAGCCTCCCAGAGTGCTAGGATTACAGGCGTGAGCCACCGTGCCAGGCCTAAGCCTGGGATTTTTAACCACTATACTCTAATGCTCTAATTATAACAAAACCAATTATATTAAGAATTATTCTATTAAAATTACAGCAAAAATAATAATGCTAATATTGATTGGACGATCACCAATATGCCAGCCACTGTCGCAAATGCTTTACAACAATTGTCTGTTTGATCCTTGTAACAATCCCGTGAGATGGATTCTGTTATTATCCCCATTTTACAGGCAAGTAATTGGAGGTGCAAAGAGGAAAGTAACTTGCCTGAGGCCGCGCAGCTGGTAAAAGGGGAGTCTAGGGCTCCAATCCAGCTCTTTCTGGAGTCTCCACCCTGCACTCTAAGTGACACTGCTGTCATGTGTATTTCTTCTGTGACAAATCTTAGAAACAAATCCCTCCTTTTCATCCCAGGACTGCTCCAAAGAGACCGGCCTCTCCCCATTCCGGTCTCCCTAAATGCCTGTCCCTCTCTCTGCCTGCCGCAGCCACCTGTTTTTCATGAAGACGTCCGCGGGCTTCCGGGAGGGACACATCTGGTACTCGGTCTTCAGCAGCTCGGCCCGGAGCAACTTCACCCGCGTGCAGAGGGCGTCCTGCTGCCTGTCGCTGCTGCTCTGCACCATGCTCACCAGCATCATGTTCTGGGGCGTCCCCCAGCACCCGGCTGAGCAAAAGATGGACTTGGGTAATACCCAGCGTCGTGGCTCGCAGGGCCAGTGGCTGGTGGACGTGAGCCTTCGCCACGCCAGCAATGGCAGGGTGACTCCAGTCCCCGAACCACTCTCAGCTTCCATGATTCACACGGAGGACTCACAGAACTCAGAAAAGCCACTGCGATCACAGTTAGAGTTTACGGCAGCAGCAGAACGCAGGTTAAAATTAGTAAAGGGAAGAGACGCAGGGAACGGGGCTAGGAGAGACCAGGCGTGAGCTTCCAGCGGTCCTTCCCAGGGGGGTTGTGGATAGCACTAACTTCTCCCAACGCTGATGTGTGACAATGCACATTCATCGCTGCCAGCCAGGGGAGCTCCCCCAGCCTTGGTGTCCACAGTCTTCACTGGGGCTTGGTCACATAGACGTGGTTGATCACCCACAGGGCTGACCTTAGCCCCCACCCTGCAGGGGTCGAGCTGACGCCAGGTGGCCCAGGCCCTACCATAAATCACACCCTTAGCACAGACTGTCCGGCCTGGCCCAAGGCCCCGGTAAACAGAGACACCCTTGCCAGGCAGGACACCTGAGGGCTTGCAGGTGACCTCCCAGGCGCTAGGCAAGGCGAACACTGCACAGCCACCTCTGGAAGGGACAGAGGGGACTGGGCCTGGGGGATGGCCTCTCCCCTTTGACCCCTTCCCTCCCTGTCCCCAGGTAAAGTTGAATTCACGTGGCAGGAGGTGATGATTGGCCTAGAGAGCTCCATCCTCATGTTCCCCATCAACCTCCTCATCGTTCAGATCTTCCGAAACGCCCGGCCTCGGGCCGTGAAGGAGCGGGACTCTGGGAAAGGGGACAGGGGGTCCCCCAGCGTGACCCCCTCACCGCAGCCCATAGAGGATGGCCTCCTGACACCTGAAGCGGTGACCAAGGCATGACTTCAACCACAGCTAGCCTTGGGAGCGTGCTGCAGCAGAGGCGGGGGATTGGGTGGGGCTTGGGGGCTGGCAGCCCTGTGTGGTCCGACAGCGTCAGTTGTCAACATGCATCAACTGGATATATATATACAAACGCACGTACATGCACATGCATACACACATGTACACATACATAGAGACACACAGACACACACATGTATACATGTACCAAGGCACATATATACAGACACATAGACACAGAAATACACATGCACACATGTACCCATACATGCACGTGCATGCATATCCACTCACACACACACACATACTTAAGAGTACCTACTATGTGCAAAATATTCCAGCCCATAGAAGAGACTGCTTACTCTGCATTCATGCACTTGATGAGCTCTTATTAAGCACCTACTATGTGCCACAGGAATATAGCCCAGAATGAGTTCAGACCCCAGAAGAGGGATGTTGGAGGTGACGGAGGGAAGCTCAGGGAAGGCAATCTCAGGGCTCGGTGGGCAGTGCGGGCTCCCGTGCAGACTGCACTGCACCCCTGACCTGCGGCTCACACCCCTTACCCCCTGGCTGCCTCGCAGGACGTATGGAGACTTGTCAACTCCCTGTTCAAAGCCCTGAAGGTGCCGCCCCCTGCCTCGGGCTGGGACCCGGTGGACCTGATGGACATCAACTACCTCCTGGCCTTGGTGGAAGACATTGTTTGTCCACAGAGCACAGCAGGGCAGGTGTTCTGGGAGGGGCCCATGGACAGAGAGGACCCTGTGACATTCACCGTTGGGGCCTTCCGAGCGAACGGTGAGTCCCGGACATTTGTGTGCATTTTGCACAGAGAAGTGGCACTTTGGGGCCAGGTGGAGACCGGGCGAGCGGCCGTGTCTATCACTAGGGGGCCAAGAAGCCAGACCCGAGTGTCCCTCACCAGCCCCTGCTGGGACCACTGGCCGCCACCGCCTCCTCTGTGCCACAGCTGTCTTCCACTAACGGCCTGCACACATGCTGGTCCTTGAGTCTAGAATGTTCTTTCTCCTCGCTTCACCTGGCCAGGTCCTACTCAATCATTAGTCTTGGCTTAAAGTGTCCCTTCCCCAGGGGAGCAGCCTGAACCTCCCAGCCTACAGCAGGGGCCCTGGTCACACACTGTCTAGCATCTGAGCTCCTCCTTGCATCCTACCTGCTTGTGGCCAAAGGATGAATCACGCGGAGAGTTGTTCGAAGCCTACACCTCCCTTCCTGGAGCGTGGGCTCCGTGGGATGGGAACCGTCCATCCCTCTCAGAAGAACCTCCGAGGGAAAAAAAGAAAAGTTATTCCTTTCTCTATTTTCTCCTAATGAAGGCAAGACGTCAAGGGGGAAGTCCCAGATTGGTGCTATTGTGTCGTTAACACTCTCTTAACACTCCTTAATCTCTCTGTTTGGCAGAGACAGCAGGTCTCAAATTCAGAGCCTTATGCAACAATATCCAGTAGAATACAGTAACACTGTTTCATTTTTATCAAGTTCTGGTCTGAACTAGTGTCCTGACTCCCCTCTTGCCCCTTCCTGGGCCCATTTAGAAAATTCCCACTGGGGGCAGCACCATCCCATAGAACTGTTCCATAGAAATGTTCCATGGCCTCTTGGCCAGTGGTGTAGGTTTAGAACGCTACCATTTTTAACACGCAAGGCTGGTCACTGTCTAAGCCTTGCTTAGAGCACCGAGGTCTACAGAATGGGCAATCCTTTATTGCCCAATTGTCCAATTCAAATGGGAATTTGTTAACTCTTGGTCCCACCCTGATAGAGTGAATTAAATTTCCTGGGGTGAGGCCAGGTCTCTGCATTTTAAACTGGTCACTTTGGTGATTTTTATGGACAATGAATTTTGAGGGTAGCTGCCATCAAGATGAAGTCCCAGCCCTTCCTGCAGCACTCAAGCCTGTGCTGGCCCCGGGGTCTTGTCTCTTTCGCTCCACTCCACCTGACCCCTGTGCTCTAGCCGCTCTGAAGGATTTGCACAGACACCCAGCACGGGCTGCCTGTGAAGGTCGTCCCTGCAGGTCTCTGCCTGCACTTGGCCTGAGTCTGGGGGCGTTGGCATTCACAGCTGCACATGGTGGCATGTGCTGTGGACCTTCAGAACAAGAGCTCTGGACCTGGCCAGGTCCTTGGGATCTTCCAGTTGCAGTAGCCACTGTGCAACTTCAGACAAGTTGCTCAACCTCTCTGAGACTTCGTTTCTTCCCCTATAAAATAGGGGTATCGATCCACCTGGCTTCTTGGCTTATTGTGAGGACTGAGTCAGATCATGAGATATGTAGAGGCCGGGTATGGTGGCTCACACCTGTAATCCTAGCACTCTGGGAGGCTGAGGCGGGAGGATTGCTTGAGGTCAGGAGTTCGAGATCAGTCTGAGCAAGACTGAGACCCCATCTCTACTATAAAAATAGAAAGAAATTAATCGGCCAACTGAAAAATATATTTAGGGTATAGGATTCTCCTCTCCAGGTGTGAGCACATTTCGAGCATGTTCCTGATAAAAATCTAAAAGAGAAACATTCATATCCTAACTGGCCATGTGACCCTAGAACTTACCTTGGCACGTATGTAGTGTTTGGTGTCCGAAAGCTGCTACTATTCCTGTTGTTGTTTTTAGTGCAGCTGGTTTGCTCTGCAATTCAGCACAAGCTGATTATTTTCTCCCTTGTCCCCCAGAGAAAATGCAGTGCCCCGAGCCCAACGTGACCCCCAGTGGCCTTTGGAAGGACAGCGTCTACAGGCAGTGCCTCTATCTTCAGCTGGAGCGCATGGAGCAAGAGCTGCGGCTGGTGGGACCCCGAGGGTTCCCGCAGCACCACAGCCACGCCCGGGCCCTCAGGCAGCTGCAGGCCCTGAAGGGCTGCCTCGGGGGACAGCTGGGCACCCTGGCCCCAGTGCACACCAGGTAATCCTCTGCCCTGGGTGCTGAGTGGGCACCTGCCCTCCCCAGCCTGGGGCCCGCCAGAAAACCCATCCTGAGCAACCTTGGAAGGACGTCCACCCAGACCTCCCCCATCCTGCAGAAATGGTGCAGGATTCCTGCAAACGTTCAGGGAGACCAGGTGTGAACAGGGGTATTTTCTGGAAGGCACCGGTAGCCCTTCGTTCAGCATGTCACAGTTCATAACCATGTTCGTGTGGGCTGTGTCCTGGCTGGGACCACTGGGACCACTCCCCCTCAGTTTCCTCATCTGCAAAATGGGAATAATAGTGCCTATCTCCTGATTCAAACTTCAACTATAATTTTTTTCAATAACCAGCTAAATTTGAAGACAGTCAGGTTATGAGATGACATTAAGGGATTATTGTTAATTTTAGGTGACAACAGGATTGTAATTTAATAAGAAAATGACCATTTTTGTGATGAAGTAATTAGGAATGATTTTGTATTATGTCTGGAATTTATTTTTTAAGTATTTCAGTCCCTCTCCCTAGGGAAAAAAAAAAACAGATATTGAGGGCAGGTGAAATAAGTGTGAAAGTATGACAAGGTGATGACGGCTATTGAAACTGGTTGTCGAACGCCTGGGAGTTTGTTGTGCTTACTAATTTTTGTATGATGAGAAATTTTGATAGTAAAAACCTTGTAAAAATGGCACAGTGCCAGCCTTCTAGGCTTGCCATGAGCAATAACACAGCCAATCTGTGTAAAGCAGCTAGCACCGAGCCAATCTGTACAATGCAGCTAGCACAGGGACAGGCCCCTAGCAAGCACGGAACAAATATGACTGCTTTTGCAGTCAGTAGATTATAGAATTGTCCTTCGAGGTAGGTCCAGGTTCCAGAGGAGAAAACAGAGGGTCTGAGAGGCCCAGGAGATTGGCCAAGATCAAGGCGCTGGTTGGGGCAGAGTGGGATCTGACCTCAAGCCTGCTGGGACCACGCTGACTACGTCTGTCCGTCCACCTTCCTTTGCAGTGTCCCGCGGGTGAGCAGGCCCCCTGGCGGCCTGCCCTGGTGGTGCGTCCTGGTGGGCTGGCTCCTGGTGGCGGCCACCAGTGGCGTGGCGGCCTTCTTCACCATGCTCTATGGCCTGCACTACGGGCGGGCCAGCTCCCGCAGGTGGCTCCTCTCCATGGCCGTCTCCTTCGTGGAGAGCGTGTTCGTCACCCAGCCCCTAAAGGTCAGAACCCCACCCCATGTGGCTGCCCTTCCCTTCCCACTAACAGTCTCGTCCTTGGCCTTTGGCCATTCATTCACTTATTCATTCAACAAACGTACTGAAGCGCCACCTCTGTGTAGCCCCTGTGGCCAGGAAGTAGAGTGAAGCCAGTTGCTCTAATAACCCAAGCTTAATGTTTTACTGGGATGCTGGCATTTCACGGTCACCATGACCCTTAGGATTCTCACCTCCATTTTATAGGTGAGAAAACTTGAGGTTAAAAAGTTACGGTCGAGGCCGGGCGCGGTGGCTCACGCCTGTAATCCTAGCACTCTGGGAGGCCGAGGCGGGCGGATTGCTCGAGGTCAGGAGTTCCAGGCTGCAGTGAGCTAGGATGACACCACTGCATTCTAGCCCCAGTGACAGAGCAAGACTCTGTCAATCAATCAGTCAATAAATCTTGATGCTTATGAGATGTCACCAAATCCCCTTGGTCCCCCATTTTACCCTGAATAGCCTTTATCATGAGACCCCAAAAACTTCTGATACCTCCCGCCAACACCAGGCTGGGAGAATATTAAGAACAGGGGCGTAGGCTGAGTCTTTCCCTCCCCCTGCCAAACCACCGGATCTGCCAGTGCTTTCTAACAATTACTAATACAGAAGCAGAACAAAACCAGGGGACGGGCAGGAGCCCAAGGCAGGGGTAGGGGTAGGAGTGGGGCTGGGGGTGGGGATGCTCCCGGCTGAGAGAGGGGGGACCTCGGTCAGGTGAGCAGCAGATGGAGGGGCTCTGGGACGTCAAGGACTCACTGGCCCCTCTGTCTGGGCAGTGGCCCAGCAGCACGCAAGGGGCTTGGTGCTCACTGCCTTCGGAGCAGGCGGTGACAGTCACCAGCGTGGGCGTGGGGTCCCTCTGGGTCTTTTTCAGGTGCTGGGATTCGCTGCTTTCTTTGCACTGGTCTTCAAGAAAGTGGACGATGAGGAGGAGACTGCGGCCCCCCTGCCAGGATGTCTGTCCGGCCCAGGTACTGTGCCCCACCTGGCGGGCAGGGACAGGGCCTGGCCAGCTGGCAGCCCTGAAGAAGAGTCCAGACTGGGGGGTGGGGGTTCTGGGCCTGAGGCTGGATCCCCAGACCTGCACTCCACATCAGCCTGTCACCCCAAACAGCCAGAAAAAGGGACTTTGGGCCGGGCGCGATGGCTCACGCCTGTAATCCTAGCACTCTGGGAGGCCGAGGCGGACGGATTGCTCCAGGTCAGGAGTTCGAAACCAGCCTGAGCAAGAGCGAGACCCCGTCTCTACTATAAATAGAAAGAAATTAATTGGCCAACTAATATATATAGAAAAAATTAGCCGGGCAAGGTGGCGCATGCCTGTAGTCCCAGCTACTCAGGAGGCTGAGGTAGCAGGATCGCTTGAGCCCAGGAGTTAGAGGTTGCTGTGGGCTAGGCTGATGCCACGGCACTCACTCCAGCCTGGGCAACAAAATAAGACCCTATCTCACACACACACACACAAAAAAAATACATGTCCACACAAACGCCTGTATGTAAATGTTCATAGCAGCATTGGTCACAATGGACAAAACTAAAACCATCCAGAAACGTCTGTCCACTGGTGAATGGATAAATGGAATGTAGTCCATCCCCCCCCCACGATACACCTCAGCAATACGTAGGAACTGACCACAAAGACACGCAAGGGCAACAAAGTGAGACTCTGTCTCAAAAATAAATAAATAAAATAAATAAAAAATAAAGAAAAAGGGACTTTGTCATTGTCTCCCAGCAGCCTTGTCCCTTCCGTCCCCAGCGTTTCTCCCTGACACCCATGCATGACCCTTCAGCCAGAAGTACCATTGAGCCGAGCTGTTCACATGGGTTGTCCTGTCTTCTCCATGGAATTCCAAGCAAGCGGCTCTCTCCTCCGGGACTCAGGGCCCTGGGCTTTAGAATAAAAACCAAAAAAAGAATCAGGTTGCAAGTGAGCTGCAAAAAGTGGCTGTAAATAAGACTTTCAGGTCAAAGGTCTGCAAACTACAGCCAGTGGGCCAAATCTCACCTGCTGCCTGTTTTTGTAAATAAAGTTTTATTGGAGCACAGTCGTGCTGTCAGCTCCAGCCAGTACCCTTCTTCCCAACCTGACTTCTCATTTTCCAACCCAAATTCCCAAGGGTGCCGATGATAAGAGAATTATAAAAACAAACAAGCCAACAAAACAGAATCAGTAGTCTGATAATCGAAGATGCACAGGTCTTGACTTTCAGGGAAAATAAAACAGGAAGAAACGAGACAAAGCCCATGCACATACGTGGCTATGCAGTGGGGTTACCTCTCCTGGGCCTGTATTCTTCCATGCTAGGACAGCGTTTTGGATTTGCAGACCCAAGAGGTCCATTAACATCTTCTCAAGACAAAAGAGTAATGTTTCTCTAAAGAGATGCCAGCCTCCTGACCAATTAAATATTCATTCAGTCTTTCCTTTGGCAATTCTTCAGGGCTGGGTGCCAGGCAGTGTGATGGCTTGGGAATGTAATTTACATAAAACTCACCCCACTGTAAGTGCACAATTTGCTGATTTTAGTAAATTTATAGGTTATGTGACGATCACCACAATTCAGATTTAGAATAGCTTCATCATCCCAAAAGGTTGGCTCTTACCTATTTGAAGTCAATCCCTGTTCACACCCCCAGCCTCGGGCAACACAGCACAGACTGGATGGAACAGGTCACTGCCCTTGGGATGAACAGCCCATTTGGGGAAATGACATTAAGCAAGGAAACCCACAAGTAGACAGAAAAGCATGAATTGTGATGAGCGTGGTTGGGGAACAACAAGAGAGTGCAGGCCCCTGCAGAGGCGGAACCTAAGCTGTCTCCTGAAGGAGTGGGAAGGGAAGGAGGCATGTGCAAAGGCCCTGGGGTGGGAATTTGTCATTTGACAACAATTACTGACAGTGTGGCTGGAGCATGGTGAATTGGAGAGGGGGAGAATGGTTCAAGGTGAAGGTGAAGAGGTGGGTGGGAAACAGACCACTCAGGGCAGTGAAAGAGAGGGGACAATGCTGGGATTTTAGAGGGCTTTAAGTAGGAGAGTGGTGTGATCTGTTTTTGTTTTTTTTTTTCTTTATTTTTCTTCTTTTTTTTTTACTTTTACTTCTCACACTGGATGTTTTGTGATTTTAGAGAGGTTACTGTGGCTGATGTTGGAGACCAGAGGTTCTGGGTCAAAAGTGGCAATGAAGAGGCCAGTAGGGAAGTGATTGCAATGGTCCAGGCAGGAGGTGACAAATGCTAGTGTGGACAGGGTTGCGTAGACAGAAGGGCATGGATCCCAAAGAGGGTTGGGTCAACACACGTGTCCAAATGGATAAGGAGAAAAACAGTGGCAATACCGGTGCTGGCAGAGACGTGGAGAAACTGGAGTATTCATATATTATTGGTGGCAGGAATGTAAATGGTACAGCCACTCTGAAAAATTGTTGGGTAGTTCCTAGTTCCTTTCAAAATAACAAATGGACTCACCCTAAGACTCAGACATTGCACTGTTGAGCATTTATCCCAGAGAAATAAAAACTTATCTTTGGCCGGATGCCGTGGCTCATGCCTCTAATCCTAGCAACTCTGGGAGGCTGAGGTGGGTGGATCACTCGAGGTCAGGAGTTCAAAACCAGCCTGAGCAAGAGCAAGACCCCGTCTCTACTATAAATAGAAAGAAATTAATTGGCCAACTAATATATACAGAAAAAATTAGCCGGGCATGGTGGCACATGCCTGTAGTCCCAGCTACTCGGGAGGCTGAGGCAGGAGGATCACTTGAGCCCAGGAGTTTGAGGTAGCTGTGGGCTAGGCTGATGCCACGGCACTCCAGCCTGGGCAACAGAGCAAGACTCTGTCTCAAAAACAAAACAAACAAACAAAAAACCAATTTTCATGCAAGAATTTGTACACGAATGTTCATAGCAGCTTCCTTTGCAATAGCCAAAAAGATATTTGGCAATTCCTAGTTATGTACCAACAAAAATGAAAAATACATGTCCAGGCCGGGCGCAGTGGCTCATGCCTGTCATCCTAGCACTCTGGGAGGCCGAGGTGGGTGGATCACTCGAGGTCAGGAGTTCAAAACCAACCTGAGCAAGAGCGAGACCCCATCTCTACTAAAAATAGAAAGAAATTAATTGGCCAACTAATATATATAGAAAAAATTAGCCGAGCATGGTGGCGCGTGCCTGTAGTCCCAGCTACTCGGGAGGCTGAGGCAGGAGGATTGCTTGAGCCCAGGAGTTTGAGGTTGCTGTGAGCTAGGCTGACGCCACGGCACTCACTCTAGCCTGGGCAACAAAGTAAGACCCTATCTCACAAAAAAAAAAAAAAATACATGTCCACACAAACGCCTGTATGTAAATGTTCATAGCAGCATTGGTCACAATGGACAAAACTAAAACCATCCAGAAACGTCTGTCCACTGGTGAATGGATAAACGGAATGTAGTCCATCCCCCCCCCACGATACTCCTCAGCAATACGTAGGAACTGACCACAAAGACACGCAACGACGTGGACAAACTCCAAAGCACTGTGCTGAGAGGAGCCAGACACGAGACACTGCCCACTGCGAGATCCCACTTGCTGCAAATCTACGAGGTGCAGGGGCAGAGGCAGCTGTGCGGGCTGGGGTGGGGTGGGCGGGGAGTGGTCACTGGCTTCACCAGGGCACGGGGGAACCCTCTGGGCTGATGAAAACCTCCTAAGACTGAACGGTGGTGACACCACTTTACTAAAATCATTGCACTGGAGACTGCCAATGGATGAGTTTTATGAAAATGATAACTCGATAAAATGGATAGGAAAGGAAGATAGTTGGAAATAAATATGACAGGACTCTGAGACATTTGTCACCCTCGTCCTTGAATCCGTCAAAGTTTTGGAAGTGTCAGGGAGGACATGAGGGGGCTCAGTGAGATTCGGGGGAGGGGAGGGCGCTTGTGGCTGGGTATGGGAGAACCACGGTGGGGACAGGGCACGGGACTCTGCGCCTGGGATGGCAGGGCAGGGGTGCGGAGGGTAGGGCTGGGAACTGACCCTCAGGCAAGGGGAAGGTGGAGCCCGCTGCACCTGGGGACAGAGGGGTCTTCTGGTGGCGGAGCCTGGTTCCCCCGCGCCCCTGGGGGGACTGCCCTGGTGTCCTCGCTTCCACAGACCCCTACGCCGTGTTCCGCGCACGAAGAAACAGCAGCAGGGACGTCTACCGGCCCCCGCTGCCCGCCGCCATGGAGAAGATGAAAACCACCCGCCTCAAGGAGCAGAAGGCGTTTGCCCTGGTCAGAGAGATCCTGGGTATGTCGCCTTCCCGCCCACTGTGCTCAGCACAGCTGGGGACAGATGCTCACTGCGCGATCTTCCACAAGTCCCCACACCACTCTGGGCCTCAGTTTCCCTAGATGTCAACACACCCCAGTATCTCCCCTACACGTGAAATCTTTCAGTGGCCCCTCCTGGCCCTTAGGACAAATGCCACCATGGCTCTAGTAGTTCCAGCCACCCCGGCCCGCTCCTGACCCCAGGCCTCTGCCCAGGATGTGCTCACCCCTCTCCCGACCTCCCCTTCTGGCTAATTCCTCTGATTTTTTAAATCTCAGCCCAAACATGGTGTCTTCAGAGAGGCTTCCCCTGGCCCTCTGCCCAGAAACGTGCGTCTGAGTCTGGGTCTCCCAGGAGCAGATCTGGGTGCAGGCAGCTGATTTGGGGGGTGACACTGGGATGCGTTGCGGGGAAGGGAACCAATACAAGGTGACAGGTGGGTGCTAGGTGGGCAACAGTGACTGAAAGAGAGCGTGTAGTGCACACCCCCAAGATGTCCTGCTCCTTGGCGTCCATGCAAGGCCTCAGCGGGAGGGGGTGGGGGGCGGTCCTTGGAATGCAGATTCCCAGGCCCCAGGCCCAGAGGTTCTGGTTCAGTAGCAACCTGCATCCCCCATGTGATTTGTGATGTCCAGCTCCCTGCTCTAAATCTTTGCACCTGCCAGTCCCTTATGTCACACTCACCTGTCTCTAGCAGGAAGGTGAGCATCACAGGGACAGGAAACATGTCTGTTTCATGACTGTATCCTCAGCAATGCAACATGGCAAATGCCCCTTTTTTTTTTTTTTTTTAATTCTACTTAAGAAACTGACATGGCCCACGAGCTGTGCGGGCACTGTTTTAAGTGCTTATAAGGGGGATGTTAACTAATCCCTCCGCCACAAGCCCATGTCCTAGAGCTACTGTGTGGCCATTTCACAGATGCAGAGAGTGAGGCTCGGAGGGTTGGAGGCACTTGCAAAGGGCACTTGGATACACAGGGGCAGAGCCAGGATTTGCACCCGAGCAGGAGGTCCCGTGGTCTGTGACTTTATGCCTCTCTGCTGCCTCCATAAGCATTGGTTCCATTGTCACCAGAGTGGCCAGGGCTGGTCTGGGTGGCCTCGACTGTCCTGAGCCCAGGCACAGTTGCATTTCCTGCCCCGGACTGGGTGGAAGGCGGGGGCCCTGCCTGACGGGGCTGTGCCTGCCCCCGCAGCGTACCTGGGCTTCCTGTGGATGCTGCTGCTGGTGGCCTACGGGCAGAGGGACCCCAGCACCTACCACTTCCACCGGCACCTCGAGCGCAGCTTCACCACAGGCTTCTCCGCCGTGCTGAGCTTCAGAGAGTTCTTTGAATGGGCCAACACCACCCTCGTGAGCAACCTGTACAGTCCTCTCCCAGGTACAGTCCCCCGGCCCTGGGACCATGTGCCAGCCTCCTTGCACGTGCGTCTGCCGATGGACAGGCGTGGGGCAACATCAAGGCAATGCTACGAGGTTGATGTCAACCGCGGCCTCGTAAGAAAACCAACCACGGCCGGGCGTGGTGGCTCACGCCTGTAATCCTAGCTCTCTGGGAGGCCGAGGCGGGAGGATCGCTCGAGGTCAGGAGTTCGAAACCAGCCTGAGCAAGAGTGAGACCCCGTCTCTCTATAAATAGAAAGAAATTAATTGGCCAACTAATATATATACAAAAATTAGCCGGGCATGGTGGTACATGCCTGTAGTCCCAGCTACTCGGGAGGCAGAGGCAGGAGGATCGCTTGAGCCCAGGAGTTTGAGGTTGCTGTGAGCTAGGCTGACACCAGGGCACTCACTCTAGCCTGGGCAACAGAGTGAGACTCTGTCTCAATAAAAAGAAAGAAAAAGAAAACCAACCACCGCAGGACCCCATGCTTTGAAGGGGAGACCCTCAGAAGGCTGTGCTTGCACAGGGAGGGTCCTTTTCCCCTCCCCGTCCCCCTCCCTGTCATCCCCCCCCATGCAGAGTGGAGAAGGTGCTCAGTTCTAAATGAGAGATAACTGAGCGTGGATCAGCCAGGCAAAAACAATGTGCCGGACAGAAGGAGCAACTGAGGACAGTCCAGCCTGACACGGTGGCACGTTCCCGGCACTACAGGGAGCGAGTGTGCCTGCCATGTAGGATTGAGGCTAAGGAGCAGTGAGAAGCAAAGCAGGGCGGATAAACAGGGCCCAGATCACAAGGGACCTCGGAAGCGCCTGTTTTATCTTCAAGGAAACGGGCGCCACTGAAGGTTTCCCCACGAGCGACCAGCGTCGATCTCATGCGGCGTAAGAAGGATTGTTCTGGAAGCACGGGGAGCCGCAGCAGAGCGTGGCCAAGTTAGGAAGCTGGGGAGACCCGCAGGGGCTGTGTAGGGACAAGGGCCAGTGCTGAGGGAGAGAAGGGGATGGCGCACGAAACGCGGAAGAAGTAGAGCTGATGGGACGTGCTAGGTTCACCCACCTGGTTTTCATCTTCAGGCTTTGTCACCGACGGGAACTCCAAGCTGGTTGGCGGCGCCCAGATTCGCCAAGTGAGGGTCCGGCAAAGCTCTTGCCCTCTTGCCCGGCAGCTGCAGGCTTCTCTTGACGGATGCCGTGCGCCATATTCCCTGGATGTCGAAGACCTGGCAGACTACGGGGAAGGCTGGAATGCCTCCGCCCTCAATAGCAGCGATGGCTTTCCCCAGGCTTGGCAATACCAGAGCCAGAGCCAACGTCGAGGGTATCCCATGTGGGGCAAACTCACTGTGTACCGGGGAGGAGGCTACGTGGTCCCCTTGGGGACCGATCGCCAAAGTGCATTAAGGTAAGGCCGCCTCGATTCCTCTGCTGCCGAGCGAAGCCTTTTGCAAGAGTCCATGTCTCACTGGGGGATGCAGCCTTCAAAACAAGGCTAAGCCAAGTTCATTCATGTCCTGGTAGGAGGGGTTGGGGGGTTCAGAATCATTCAGGGTCATATTTTCAGGCCCCTAGAAACTATACCATCTCAGAGTTGGAAGGGAAGTCCATCTCCAGCATGCTCAGCCTGATTGCCTCTGCTAGAATCAGTCCAGAGACGGGGAGCTCACTACCACGCAATGCAGTCCACTGTTAGACAAGAAGAAAGTGGTTAACGCTCTGTCGAGAATCATGCAAAGTGTGAGATTTTTATCCTACTTGTAAGCCAACAAGCTAGTCTGTTACCATTTCATGCCTGCTGGAAGAAGACACAAGACTCCCGGGTCAGAGACAAAAGATTTTGATTCAGCAAAAGCAGCAACAGAACATCACATTGGGTTGAGTGAGCCTCTGCATAAGGCCATGCCTGCATGTGCCAAAACACTGAGCTTGGGGCATTCATTGTTTTTCTAGCAGCAAAACCAAGCCTGCTGTTTGTTCAAAGGAAGACATCCCCTCATCCCTGAAGGTCGCTCACTGCAAACACAGCCCTGAGAAATGGCCTAGGAAAAGCCCAGCCAGGGTGTGCATTCCTGGAATGCCCAGTAAGAACGCGCAGTGACGCCCCATGTCCAGGCAGACTGACTCTCTCAACACGCCCTAGATCAGGCGTCCTCAAACTACGGCCCGTGGGCCACGTGCAGGCCACCTAGCACATTTGTCCAGCCCGCCAGGTGTTTTTGCCCCCGCTGCCTGTCCTGCTTAGCAGCCGACTCGCACCCAGCCCACAGGGCGCACTCTCCAACCGTCTGAGGGACAGTGAACTGGCCCCCTGTTTAAAAAGTTTGAGGACCCCTGCCCTAGATGCAGAGAGCCCTGGATTTGGAACCCCCGCACTGTTCCTTCTAGCTGTGTAGCCCAGGAAAACTAGTAGACCTGTGTGGACGTCAGTTTCCTCCACTGTATGCGTGTAGTACCTGGGGCGTTTGTGACAGCTGAGCCTGTGTCCTGCCCACAGACACAGTAATGGGTCTCCCAGGGTTCAGGAGTAAGTCTACTTCAGGACTGAAGACATCTTCTCTCTCTGCTTCTGTGTACCAAGCATGCAGACCCGCTGGGGGCACAATGTCACTGGAATAATAATCCCCCCTCTCCCTACCCACAACACACATGCGCACAAACTATTCGACTTTTCTCTCCTCCCAATGATCTGGAACACACCTTCAAAGGTGAAGAAACCGAGGCCTGCACAAGTTATTAGCTTGCCCAAGAGGCATCCAGGATTTGAACCCAGGTGCCTCCACCACCTCTGGGCATGTGCTCTTCCTGCCACACCAACCTAACAGAGCCCCAGGAACTGGTGTCACAGGGGCTGCCTGCCCAGCGGGACCCCCACAGCTGCAGCTGCTGCCTGCCTAACCCCTGGTGTTTCACGTGATTTCTCTAACACCAGCGCTCTCAAGCTTAAAAAAGCATCAGAAGGCCAGGAGTGGTGGCTCACGCCTATAATATTAGCACTCTGGGAGGCCAAGGCGGGCAGATCACTCAAGGTCAGGAGTTCAAAACCAGCCTGAGCAAGAGCGAGACCCCGTCTCTCCTATAAATAGAAAGAAATTAATTGGCCAACTAAAAATATATAGAAAAAAATTAGCCGGGCGTGGTGGCGCATGCCTGTAGTCCCAGCTACTCGGGAGGTTCAGGCAGGAGGATCACTTGAGCCCAGGAGTTTGAGGTTGCTGTGAGCTAGGCTGATGCCACGGCACTCTAGCCCAGGCAACAGAGTGAGACTATGTCTCAAAAAAAAAAAAAAATTAAAAAGCATTGGAAGTGCCTGGCGGGGCGCCTCAAAGCTCCCATCCCAGGCTCTACCCCAGAGCTTCGGACTCAGAAGTCTGGGATGGGCCCGAGAATCTGCATTTCCCAGATAATGCCGATATGCTGGGCTGGGGACCACACTTTGAGAACCTCGCCATTGGCTGCAAACTGTGACCACTCCCAGTGGCAGCCCCAGTGGCCCCGTGGCCCAGGGAGCGGATTGGAAGCAGAGAGAGAAGTTCAGACAGGAAGCCCCAGCGCCATCAAGGGGCAGAGGGGACAGGGAGACCCTGCAGGGAGGAGACGCTCCAAATGCCCCTCTTCCCCACAGAGTCCTCCGGTATCTCTTTGACAACACCTGGCTGGACACGCTGACCAGAGCCGTGTTCGTGGAGTTCACCGTCTACAATGCCAACGTCAACCTGTTCTGCATCGTCACGCTGATGTTGGAGACAAGTGCGCTGGGTGGGCAGCCGCGCCCGGGACCCCGCTGCAGCGTCCCCGAAGATGGGCACCCCTGCCCCCGGGCGAGGGCTCCTGACCCCTCCGCCCGCCCACCCCAGGGCCAGAGCTCCGGGGCAAATTGTTGTTTGGGAAATTTGGGGGTGGGTCTTTGTTCTCCCCGCAGTTGTGGATCACCGGGCCCCCAAAGGCAGCACATTCGGGCTTCTCCAGTTTAATTCCCCACTTCTGTCTGGCCTGGTCTCCCAAATTGTCCCAAAGGAGCTCAGTTGGGGTCTGAAAGCCACTTATCCCATGGCCTATTCCTGAGCTTCCCACTCTACTGGGTGGGGTCAGGGAACTGGCAGTGAGGGCTGGGGAGAGAGAGGGTAACCTGGTAACAGATAACATCAACTAAAATAATATTTTCCAACTGGTACATCAATCTATAATGCAAAGTACATTTTATATCATAATCTAACACACACACACACACACACACTCGGCTGAGACAAAGGATCACAATTAACATTTACCTTAACTGCATGTGATGAACTCTTATATTTTGTGTTCTGTTCTATTTCTTTCTCCTCCTCCCTTCTACCCCTTTTTAAAATGCTAACCTCAATCTACTAGAAAATATCAACCTAAACCCTGTTCAGCTAATGATCAATTTGCCTAAAACCGAACCTCCTCTCCATTAACAACCAAAACTTTTAAAAAATGTTAAATTACATTTTTAATTGCAAAAGTGATACATTTTTGTGCTTCTGATTGATTGATTGATTGAGACAGAGTCTCACTCTGTTGCCCAGGTGAGTGCCGTGGCATCAGCCTAGCTCACAGCAACCTCTAATCCTGGGTTCAAGCGATCTCCTGCCCCAGCTTCCCCAGTAGCTGGGACTACAGGTACATGCCACTATGTCCGGCTAATATTTTCTATTTTTAGTAGAGACGAGGTCTCACTCTTGCTGAGGCTGGTCTTAAACCCCTGAGCTCAAGCGATCCTCCCTCCTCGGCCTCCCAGAGTGCTAGGATTACAGGTGTGAGCCACCTCTCCCGTACTGTTTTTGCTTTCTTAAAAAAACATACAGAAGTGTATAAAGTGGCCCAGCGTGGTGGCTCACACCTGTAATCCTAGCACTCTGGGAGGTAGAGGCGGGAGGATCACTCAAGGTCAGGAGTTCAAAACCAGCCTGAGCAAGAGCGAGACCCAGTCTCTAAAAAAATAGAAAGAAATTAATTGGCCAACTAAAAATATATAGAAAAAATTAGCCGGGCATGGTGGCTCATGCCTGTAGTCCCAGCTACTCGGGAGGCTGAGGCAGGAGGATTGCTTGAGCCCGGGGCAGTTTGAGGTTGCTGTGAGCTAGGCTGATGCCACGGCACTCTAGCCCCAAGCAAAAAAGAAAAAAAAAAAAAAAGAAGTGTGTAAAGTGAAAAGTGAAAGGATTTCATCTTCCATTATCATTCCCCACTGCCCATAATTTCTTTGAAATCCTTTTTTGGGGCTTATTTGTATGTCTTTTGTTCTCCTATCTTTTTGCTACCTTTTTGGCTTTAAATAACTTAATCTCTTAAACAACTTACCCAAAACCATACCTGAATGAATTATGCATTTCAAGTATGAGGTGGGCTTTTTGGGTCTGGCGGATTCAGCAGGTCACTAATATGGTCAAGGACTCGATTGTTTCCGTCTCTTTGTTGTCATCCTTGGGGCTGGCTTTGTCTTCATAGGCTTTACCCTTACTAGTCACATTGGTTTAAAACATCATTACCAAAAAATCGTTACAAAACAAAAATGACAAAAACAAAACCAAAAATAAATAAATAAGAAAAAGACACTCGAATGGATGAAAATGATCCAAAAGAAGGCTGACTTTTCAGGCCTATTGGCCACTAGGTGAACTGATCTTCAGTGAAGTGTCTTTAGATGAAACAGCTTTAAATGAGCCACCTTGGAGTGACTTGTCATTAAGTGGGTGCTTTGGCTGGAGGGGACTATGTGCCCAAATGGTGACACCCAATGCAGAGAGTAGGGGTGGACCTTCCACTCCAGTGTCCTCTGTTCTTTCTGGTGTGTCTACTGTCTTTGGCATCCACCACCCAGGTCTTTGGGTTTGAAGGACCATCATCTTCTCCTTTGCCCCGCCAGCCCTCCAAAGGGTCTCAGCATGAGACATCCCACCTGATGGCCTCTAGGCAGAAGCCACTGCTCTGACCGGGCAGATGGCCAGGCAAGAGCAGAATGCACTTTGCTTCCTAGGTACCTTCTTTGCACACTCGGCCCTGCAGACGCTCCGCCTGTACCCCTTCACCAATGGCTGGCACCCCTTCGTGGTGGCAGCAGAGCTTATCTACTTCCTCTTCCTCCTCTACTACATGGTGGTGCAGGTAAGGGGTGTGCTCGTGGCTCCACGGGCAGGGCTGGAGGTGGGGGTGTGCCTGGCACCTCTCCATCACCCCTTTCCTCTTCCATGGGGAGGGTCCAGGGAAGGGAGGGAAAAGGCTTTGCCTTAGGCATTTGCCCTGGTGACCTTTGGTCCCGTTGGTCTCCAGGGTTAATCCAGGCTGCCATCTGCAGCCTCACGGGAAGGACCCAAGGCGGGCACTTCTCAGGAACTGAAGACTCAGCATGTTCCTTCCTGGGTGGGGACGGGGAGGATCATTGGTCCTGTTTCCGCTGAACCTAGACCTTCCAAAAAGCCAGAGTAGGGGGATAGAAGAGGGAGGGGTGGCTGTCCCCACAGAGCTGGGGGACCTCTGGACTGAGATTGTGGGGGCTCTCTTAGCATCTTTTGTTCTCGCCCATGATCCATGGGAATTAGGCAACATCCTCTTTATCACCTTTATGGCCACGTTGCACCACGAGGGTGCAGGTGTTGGTAACACTGAAGGCTAGAAGATGCTGGGAACACACCTAAAGCTGGTTATATGGCCCCTGCCTCCTCCCACCAAAAATGCAAACCAGATCCCTTAAAGGGGCACCTTGGCCATCCATCCCTCACTCCAGCAACTTCTCTAAAGCAAGGATGATATTTTTGAGTGCTGACTGTGTGGCTTCCCTCCTTTAACAACAAGAGGAGAAAGGTCCTATTGGCTCCAATTTGCAGTATAGGAAACAAAAGTCCAGAGACATTAAGTAATTGATCCAAGGTCAGAATTTGAACCCAGAGATCCTGACCCTTGACCTTCACACTCCAGGCGTGGGCCACACCATCAGGTTTCAGAAAGCAGGCTCCCACGTGGGCTGTGGGCACCGCCGATGCAAGCCCCACCGCCAACAGCTATCCAAGAGCAAGGCAAGTCTCATGTCTCTAAGAACCTCAGAGGAGACCAGGGTACTGCCCACCTCCACACTCTGCCTGCAGCTGCTTTGCAAACTCAGTCTCCAAACCACACAGATCTGTCTCACAATACTGCTTGAGCAGTTTAAGAACTCTTCCCCTCTCTCCATCCCTTTCTTATGGAGGCAAACTTGGCCTCTCACTAAACACAAATCCTCCCTCCTTAAGAGAGGGTAGGACGAGGGGAATGGAATAAGCAACGAGAGATTCTCTGGAGTGGAAGAGAAGAAAGAGAAGGGGAGGCAGGGAGGCTGGGAACATGTACAGGACAATCCTTTTTGACCTGTGACATCTGTTGGGGAAGAATTAAAAACAAAGTCTCCTGCCAATCCAGAAAACCTCTCCAAAAGAGTAGAAAAGAGGCCGGGCGTGGTGGCTGACGCCTGTAATCCTAGCACTCTGGGAGGCCGAGGCGGGTGAATCGCTCAAAGTCAGGAGTTCGAAACCAGCCTGAGCAAAAGTGAGACACCCCCCCCCCAGTCTCTATTAAAAATAAAAAGAAATTAATTGGACAACTACAAATATATGGAAAAAAATTGCCCAGGCATGGTGGCACACTCCTGTATTCCCAGCTACTCGGGAGACTGAGGCAGAAGGATTGCTTGAGCCCAGGGGTTTGAGGTTGCTGTGAGCCTGGGCAATAAAGTGAGACTCTGTCTCAGAAAAAAAAAAAAGAGTAGAAAAGGAAGAAAATAACCTTTCTTTTCATCTTGCAAAACTGAAACCACACCCCTCAAACAATAACTCCCATTTCTCCTTAAGAAAACAACTTTCATCATTGAATAAGCATCACAGCAGAATGTGATGGGCATCATACACAATCCAATAAAGAGATTGCAAAGACAAGAAGAAATCTCACCCTTTAATATAGCCAGGAAGACAAAACACGTTACATGCATGTTCTCAGGATAAATGATAAGGAATCCTCAGGTGAGAAGACTTGGCTGTGCCATTTGTCACCTTAGTCCATCCTAAGGTATTGGATTGCCACCTGTGTTTGTTAATTGCCTTTATCAAAAGGAAGAATAAACAATTGTTATGACAGGAGGTAGTCTTGCAACTTCATGGGGAAACTGGGAGATGGGGTGCTCTTGTCCTTGACAATTACATTGCCAAGAGGGGGGCCCCAAGTCCTCGAGAAAGATGTTCCTGTGCTGTAAAACTGGCAAGAGCCCTTGTTTCACTTTTAAGAAGATTTACCTACATCTGAAAGGGGCAGAGAAATAACTGACAATGGCACATTTTCTAAAGTCAATGCTCTATGAAAAAGGAGGGGTTGGGGGAGTCTCTCCCCCCTTTTTTGCACCAGAGAGAATTAGGGAATCGTATTTACTCTTACAAGTCCCGCCGCTGGGGTTAGTGATGGGTGCAGATGGGTCTGTGCACAAGGCTGGGGACAGTCTCCCGGGGCACTCTGCCTGTGCCTGTGGGGCTAGGGCTTGGGGACCTCCCCCACCGTCCTCCTGGGCAGTCAGAGAGCGGCCGCAGGGGAGGGGACAGACGTGGCTACATCCTTGGGCTCATTTTTCAGGGCAAGCTCATGAGGAGGCAGAAGTGGGGCTACTTCCGCAGCAAATGGAACCTTCTGGAACTGGCCATCATCTTGGCCAGTTGGAGCGCCCTGGCGGTGTTTGTGAAGAGGGCCATCCTGGCGGAGCGCGACATCCAGCGCTGCCGGACCCACCGGGAGGAGTAAGTGGCTATCTCCTCAGCCCCAGGTCCCTCCCCTGGCCGCCTTCCTCCAGCTCTGAGGCCCAGGGTTCCCAGCAAGGCTTTGGAATGCCGGGACCCTAGCGGAAATCACTGTGGCTGCCACCTAGATTCAGGTTTGGTGCCTGAAGCATGTACAGTTGGAGAGGATGCTTTTAATGTACCATCTTACTTCTGCAAATCTTACCAAAACGCAGGACCGTGTGGCATCCTGCCTAGGTCCCTGGCAGCCCTTTGGGGAGGGTCTTTGCGAATGATCATGCCCAGGAAAGTCGCCTCTGCTCCCATTTACTGAGTGTCCACTGTGTGCCCTGCAGGTTGTATTCACAACTGACAAAGATAGCGGTAATCATTGCCCCATGTAACAAAGACATTGAGGCTCAGAGACGTAATGTGACATCCTAAAGCTAAACCACACAGCTAAAATGTGTCACAGAAGAAATTTAAACCTAGCTCGTACGGCTCCAGGATTCTCTACCTTACTTGGAATCATTACGTTTCTTTCTGAGAGACAGAGTGTCGCTCTCTTGCCCAGGCTGGGTACAGTGCCATGTCATAGCTCGCTGTAACCTCAAACTCCTGGGCTCAATTGATCCTTCCGCCTCAGCCTCCTAAGCAGTTGGGACTATAGGTGCGGACCACCATGCCTGGCTAATTTAAAAATTTTTTGTAGCCGGGCGCGGTGGCTCACGCCTGTAATCCTAGCTCTTGGGAGGCTGAGGCGGGCGGATTGCTCAAGGTCAGGAGTTCGAAACCAGCCTGATCAAGAGCGAGACCCCATCTCTACTATAAATACAAAGAAATTAATTGGCCAACTGATATATATATATAAAAAAAAAAATTAGCTGGGCATGGTGGCGCATGCCTGTAGTCCCAGCTACTTGGGAGGCTGAGGCAGAAGGATCGCTCGAGCCCAGGAGTTTGAGGTTGTTGTGAGCTAGGCTGACGCCACGGCACTCACTCTCTGTCTCAAAAAAAAAAAAAAATTTTTTTTGTAGAGGACAGGTGAGGTGGTTCATGTCTGTAATCCTAGAACTCTGGAAGGGGAAGGTGGGAGGATCAGTCGAGGTCAGGAGTTCGAGACAAGCCTGAGCAAGAGCGAGATCCCCATCTCTACTAAAAGAGAAAAAAAATTACCTGAGCAACTAAAAACAAACAAAAAAGATTAGCCAGGCATGGTGGCGCATGCCTGTAGTCCCAGCTACGTGAGAGGCTGAGGCAGGAGGATCGCATGAGCCCAGGAGTTGGAGGTTGCTGTGAGCTAGGCTGACACCTGGCACTCTAGCCTGGGCAACGGAGTGAGAATCTGTCTCAAAAATTAAATTAAATTAAATTAAAAAAATAAAAGAAGACTGCTAGGTAATGGCCCCAAGAACTAGCTCCTGAGTCCCTGTGACCATATTATAATCTTTATCGCCATCACCATCATCGTCACCATCAACATAAACATCCTCATCACTTTCATCCCCATCATCATCATCATCACCATCATCGTCACCAGCCCCACCATCATCATCACTCTTGTCCCCATCATCACCACCACTATCACCGTCATCACCACCTGGCTGGGGGAAGTGGGACACCATGTCTCCCAGACCTATTTCTGCACATGATGGCCTCTGAGGCCATGGTGAGTCTCATCCTGCACCCTAGATGGTGATAAGCCTACTCTTGCATCCCGCTGAGGTCTGGCTGACCTGCTCACAGTCCCTGAGACCCAGCCTTCCCACCTTGTCCCCCAGGGGAGTCAGTTTCAGCGAGACAGCAGCAGCGGACGCTGCCCTTGGCTACATCATTGCCTTCCTGGTGCTCCTGTCCACGGTGAAGCTCTGGCATCTGCTCAGGCTGAATCCCAAAATGAACATGATCACAGCAGCCCTACGCCGTGCCTGGGGTGACATTTCAGGCTTTGTTGTTGTCATCCTCACCATGCTCCTGGCATACTCCATTGCAGTGAGTGGCTCCTTTGGGAAAACCTCGGGGCTGGTCTCCGTGGAAGCCAAGGCTACTGGGTGGTGGTGGAGCAGGGGCTGCAGGGACATTGCAGCATCCTCTGGGACCAGAAGTCACCAACTCAGAGCCAGGCGATGCCGGGCCTCCTTTTGACACCACAGCCCTGAGAGAGTCTCAGGGGAGGGGTGCTGTAAAGTAGGGGAACCCCCACTATCCATCCAGCCCAAATTCCCCAGAGTCCAGTTTCATTGCTGAGTCTTCGGGGAGCCATTTGGGGAACGCAGCAGTGGCTTAGCAGGTGGTTGCACGAGCACCCTCTCGTGTGGTAGCTGCAGCCCAGGACAGGCTGGGAACATAGCAGAGGGCCCGGATGAGGTCATCTGGGTAGGCACTTCCAGAACACAACAGACGCACGCACACGCGCACACACACACAAGTGCACGTATGCAGGCGCTGATGCCCACACAAGTACACATGCACACTTGCACATCAGCACACGCATGCGACTTTGCACACACGCATCCCACGCAGAACGGGCTGGCTGTGTACACACACCCACTCGTGCGCCACCGCGGACGGTTTTGTCAGGCCAGGCCAAAGGGGTGGCTGACACAGACCACCGACTCTACTGTCCAACACCAGGCTTTGGGGGGCTTCACGGCTCCTTTCCCTATTCATGAGTACTCTTTCCATGACAGTCAAACTTAATATTTGGTTGGAAACTCCGCTCCTACAAAACCCTCTTCGATGCGGCCGAAACGCTGATCAGCCTTCAGCTAGGAATCTTCAACTACGAGGAGGTAACGGGGTGGTGCGTGGACCCCCCCATGCCATGCCCGGGCTCTGTCCCCCTTCGCTAGACAGACAGCCCCATGCTGCAGCCCATAGGGGCGCTGGGACCCTGACCACAGGTGCCCGCACCTCTGCACCCAGCCCTTCCCGCTCCAGGCTTGCGGACTGAGGGCCAGTGGGGGGAGGTGGCCTCCAGGACACAGGACACCGGATGGCCCTAGCTCTCCTCCTGGCAGGTCCTGGACTACAGCCCCGTGCTCGGCTCCTTCCTCATTGGGTCCTGCATTGTTTTCATGACTTTTGTCGTGCTGAATCTCTTTATCTCTGTCATCCTGGTGGCCTTCAGCGAAGAACAAAAATGCCATCAGGTGAGTCCCTCAGGGCTGTTCTTCCTCAGCCATTAACCTTCAACGAGGAAGAGGCCTCAGACTTTAGAGGGACTTGACAGACCGCTGTAGCTCAAAGCCCTCATTTCACAGGAGGGGAAACTGAGGCACTGAAGGAGGATATGAATGCCCCCAAGATCGCAAGCAAGTGAGTGGGAGAGCTGGGACCAGATTCCCAGTTCAGGACTCTGTTCACTACCCCAGTGGTCCCTGCAGGCCTTTTGGAAACCGCTGCTGCCCCACCCGAGGCCAATACAAACAGAATCTCTGGGAGGAATGATCCAGGCATTGGTATTTTTGGAATCTCCCCAGGTGATTTTAATGTACAGCCAAGGTCAAGGGCCCCTAAGGCATTATGTTCTGAAACCTCAACCCTTGTCGGGTGGCGCTCAGACAGGAGCAAGTTGGCACCCCACCGTCAACCTTCCACCCACCAGGCTCCCTGCAGGAAGGAGGAAATGCAAACTGGACTGTGGATTTTTTTTTTTTTTTTTTTGAGACAGAGTCTCATGCTGTCACCCGGGCTAACATGTCATGGTGTCAGCCTGGCTCACAGCAACCTCAAACCCCTGGGCTCAAGCAATCCTCCTGCCTCAGCTTCCTGAGTAGCTGGAACTACTGGCACTTGCCACCACACCTAAATAATTTTTTGTTTCTATTTTTATTTGCTCGGTTAATTTTTTCTACTTTTAGTAGAGCTAGGATGTCATTCTTGCTCAGGCTGGTCTTGAACTCCTGAACTCAAGCGATCCTCCTGCTTCAGCCTCCCAGCTGGTAGGATTATAGCGTGAGCCACCACACCCGGCCTTGACTGTGGATTAATAACAACCACTGGCTTACAGAAGGCTGTCTCCACATGGGAGTTGTGCTAAAGGCTTCCCACATATTATTTTATTTGATTCCCAAAACAGCTCAGTGAAATAGATATAATTACCCACAGTTTACAGAGAAGCAAACTGAGGCTCAGAGAGTTGAAATCACGGACCTAGGGCCACAGAGCTAGGAAGTAGTGAAGGTGGGATCCGAACCTGGGTCTGTCCCACTTGGACGTACTTTTTGTCCCTGCCCTTCCAGAGGTGCGGCTGTGTTAAGGGTGCCCTTGTCCTCAGCTCACCCTTCTCTTCCCAGCTGGAAGACTTCTGAAATCTGCACATCTAACAAAGAAACACTCATGACTCTGTCCTTCGATTTGTTCATTTCTGTCCAAGCGCCGTGATTTGGTGGTGGTGTATTTCAAAATTGCAAAACATTACAGAAAGGTGCTGTACTCCACAATGTTAAAGGATCATTTTAAAGAGAGAGGGACTTTTCTGGAAGCCAGGAAATTATTGACCTCAGGATGAAAGAATGACAGCCCCTCACCTTGTCCCCTCGTCTGTCACTGCTGGTCACTGGCACACCTGTAATGTGTCCTGGGTCTGTGCCTGAAAGGGAAAATGGAAACCGGTTTGTTCTTTTTTTCTACCCTACTCTCATTCAGCACAGAACACTTCTGTGACCAGATTTGTGGGGATTTTTCCCCTGTGCACCAAGCGGTTCTCCAGTGGAGACCAGCTGGGTGTCCTACACAGGTTGGGTATCCCCAATTTGAAAATCAGAAATCCAAAATGCTCCAAAATCCAAAAATTTTTGAGTGTCTGTGTGCCAACATGAGGCTAGAGGCTGGGAGTTCAAGACTAGCCTAGACAACATAGTGTGACCTCCATCTCTTTTTTTTTTTTTTTTTATTCCCTTGAAAATGTTAGGTGGAAAGTGTGACCCCCCATCTCTACAAAAATGGTGGTGCATGCCTACAGTCCCAGCTACTTGGAAGGCTCAGGCAGGAGGCACACTTGAGGCCAGGATTTGAGTGAACTATGTGAACTATGATTGCAGCACTGTACTTTGTCTCTAAAAATAACAACAATAAATAAATAAACAAATAGGAGGGTGGTTTAGATAATATGCAAATACTACACTATTTTATATCAGGGACTTGAGTATCTGAGAATCTTTTGGTGACCAGCCACACCCTGAGACCCTCTTGGAGCCCCACCCTAAGTTACCTCATTAGCATAATGTCTGGTGGGATAAAAAATGACTCATTAGGTAAAAGGTACTCCTGACATTCAGGAAATTTCAAGGAACCTGGGACAAAAATCAAATACATTTTTTTTTTTTTTTTTGAGACAGAGTCTCACTTTGTTGCCCAGGCTAGAGTGAGTGCCGTGGCGTCAGCCTGGCTCACAGCAACCTCAATCTCCGGGGCTCAGCGATCCTACTGCCTCAGCCTCCCGAGTAGCTGGGACTACAGGCATGTGCCACCATGCCCGGCTAATTTTTTGTATATATATTTTTAGTTGGTCAATTAATTTATTTCTATTTTTGGTAGAGACGGGGTCTCGCTCAGGCTGGTTTCGAACTCCTGACCTTGAGCAATCCGCCCGCCTCGGCCTCCCAAAGTGCTAGGATTACAGGCGTGAGCCACCGCGCCCGGCCCAAATACATTTTATATTATGCCACAGTGCACCTGCCCTGCCAAGTTCTGACTTGTTGAAACGATTTTGTAGTGTTTGGGAAACTTTTTCATTCTAGCGGGGAAGCAGACAGCATTATGAGGTCTGATATCCACACTCAAACTGTACCTTAATTTGGAGGTGTTGTCACAGGCAATTAGATGGACACTGTTAATGGAAATTACTTTTACAGAGTGGGTTCCTTGTGGTTGAAGACTGAACTCATCCGTTTTGCATAAATTCTTTCTTAAAATGAAGATATAATTCACATACTATAAAATGAGCCATTTTGAACTATCCAATTCAGTGTTCTTTAGTGTATTCCCAGAGTTGTACAGCCATCACTATCTAATTCCAGAACATTTTAATCACCCCAAAATGAAGTGTGATACCCATTAACAGTCACGCCCCATACTCCATGTCTGGACATTTCCTATAAAGGAAACCATACGATACGTGGCCTGTGTCTAGCTTCTTGCACCTATTGTCATGTTTTCAAGACACATCCAGGCCATAGCATGTATCAGCATGTCATTCTTTTTTATGGCTGAATAATATTCCACTGTGAGGGTATAACACAAATGTGTTTATCAGGTGACAGGCATTTGGATGGTTTCCATATTTGGCCCATTATAAATAGTGCTGCTATGGACATTCATGTACAGGCTTTTGAGTGGACACATGTTTTTACTTCTCTTGGGCATATACCTAGAAGTGAAATTTTTGGGCCATATGGTGACTCTACATTTGTTTGAGAAACTGCCATGTCATCTTCCAAGGCAGCTGCACTGTTTTAGATTCCCTGAAGCGAGGTGCAAGGGCTTTTGTACATAAATTCTTTTTTTTGAGACAGAGTCTCGCTTTGTTGCCCAGGCTAGAGTGAGTGCCGTGGCGTCAGCCTAGCTCACAGCAACCTCAAACTCCTGGGCTCAAGCGATCCTCCTGCCTCAGCCTCCCGAGTAGCTGGGACTACAGGCATGCGCCACCATGCCTGGCTAATTCTTTTTTCTATTTTTAGTTGTTTGGCTAATTTCTTTCTATTTATAGTAGAGAGCAATCCTCCTGCCTCGGCCTCCCAGAGTGCTAGGATTATAGGTGTGAGTTACCTCGCCTGGCCTTATTCTTCACTTTAAATCTTTCTATCTATCTATGGTTGAGCAGCGTGGGAAAGCTGGAGAGAAACATCTATTTAATTTTAAACTCCCCAGGGGCTAGGCCAGAAGGCAAACAGGGAAAGCAGAAGGAATAACATGAAAGAACAAAAGAAAGAGCCACTAGCAACACCCTAGAGGGAAATGGGGGCAGTCATCTCAGAAGTGGTTTCCCACTGCCTACGTTCAGATTCAGTAGCCCAGCCAAAGCTCTGGGAATGTAAGTGTTGCCCCCAAACCCCAGGCATCCCGGGCAGAGAGGAACAGGAAGCCACTGAGGATAAAGGAGGAAGCACACACCTTTGGGGTTCCTAGGAGGCCATCCCAACCCAAAATGACTCTGAACAGTGGAGTGACCTTAGGCTGGGACCAAATTGGACAAGAAAACCATGATTTCCCCTTAGAAAAGCCCCAAGAAAGGAGGGTTCTACATTCAGCCCTTGATTCTTTCTTTCTTGCAGCTGTCGGAAGACGGAGAGATTGCAGACTTGCTGCTGATGAAAATACTCAGTTTCCTGGGCATTAAATATAAAAGAGAAGAGCCTCAAAGCAGCAGTGAGCAGCCCGAGTCGCTGTCCCAGGCTCGGCCCCCTCAACCCCCACGAGCTTTGCCCAAGGTCTAAGCTGTCCGTACACCACCACCACCTCCGGGTGGGGAAGGCCACAGCCTCCTGCCTACGCTCACCAGTGATTCTATAGTCTCTCCAGGTCGCATGTCTTGTGTCTGCATTAGAGTTACCAAGCCCAGCAAGTAAAACAATGAGAATAACACAGACATACTTAGAATCGCCACTACCGTGAGAGTCTGTTTGTTCAAATGTCTCTCCTCCTAGAAATAAAACAAATACTGTACAGAACTTGGGAAAAAAAAAATCTCTACAGACTTAATTATTTCATCTTTTTTGTTGGTCAGGAGTTGCTTTTAAATTATTCTAATCCAAGGCTTCTCGAATTGCATCTGACAGATGCTAATGGGTGGTATGTTAGCTTCCCTGGAACAAAGTATCAAGAACTGGGTGGCTTAAAACAAGAGAAGTTTATTCTGTCCCAGTTCTGGAGCCTGGAAGTCTGAAATCACCATGTTGGCAGGGCCAGGTGCCCTCCGAGGACTCTAGGGAGGGTTCCTTCTTGCCTCTTTCAGCTCTGGGCGACCGCCAGCAAGCCTCGGTGTTCCTCGGCTAGCAGACACGTCACTCTCATCTTGCCGCGTGTCTTTCTCCTCCCTGTCTCTTCTCTTCTTACGAGGACACCAGTCCTGCTGGACTAGGGCCCAGCCTACTCCAGTATGGCCTCATCTTAACTGGTTACATCTGCAAGAACTCTATTTCCCAAATATAGTCATATTCTAAAGCACTAGGGCTTAGGACTTTGACATATCTCTTTCTGGGACACAATTCAATCCCCTAAACATGTCATCCTCCCAAAAAAAGTTTCTGAATCAAATAAAGGTAGGGAATATCAGGTTATAAAGGTTGCTTACACAGGTTCCTTAGCATGAAATTGTCAGAGGTTTTAATATGCTCAGTGTGTGGGGTGTACTATAGTCTCCCCCGAGCATGAGAGATGAAGCGAGTAATGATTCCCAAACTCCTCTGACCAAGGTATCTGGTACTGAAGCACCCTGCTCAGGGCTAGGGTTCCTTAGATGATACTTTGGGAACTGTCAATCTCCACCAGTGGTTTTCAACCTTGGAGTCACCAGACTTCATCCCAATACATCAGAATCTCTGGGCTTGAGCCCCAGGTGTTGTTTAAGTGCCTCAGGTGATTCCAGGTGCAGTCAGACTTGATAGCCATGGTCTAAATTCAGAGAGCCACAAGTCTAGACAATAAATGGCTTCCAAGTGTCAGTGCAGATGAGTGTACAGGGGAAAGGTTCCAGCATCTTTTCCAGCTCACCCTGTCTTGTCCCTCCTCCTCATATGCCCATTGTAGCAGATACTATAGGTTCCCGGCCCCTAATCCATTCTATGCTATTCTCTTTGCTATGAGAAACCCAACCTTGTTCAGGTAGCCACCTGCCCCTCCCCCACACGACCCAGGAAGGCCATCACAAGGTAAATCCTGTTGTGTCTTAGTAATGGTAATCCATTTCCATTATATAAAATCATTTGTTTTGGCCAAGCGTGGTGGCTCACGCCTGTAATCCTAGCACTCTGGGAGGCCGAGGTGATTGGATTACTCAAGGTCAGAAGTTGGAAACCAGCCTGAGCGAGACCACGTCTCTACTAAAAATAGAAAGAAATTAATTGACCAACTAAAACTATATATACAAAAAATTAGCCAAGCATAGTGGCGCATGCCTGTAGTCCCAGCTACTCGGGAGGCTGAGGCAGGAGGATCACTTGGACCAAGGAGATTGAGGTTGCTGTGAGCTAGGCTGATGCCATGGCACTCACTCTAGCCTGGGCAACAAAGTGAGACTCTGTCTCAAAAAAAAAAAAAGACTCTGTCTCAAAAAATAAAATAAAATAAAAAATTCATTTGTTTTATATAATTGTGATATTATAGAAGTAGTGACATTATAGAAAGTAGCCAAGATCTGGAGTTTAGGGTAGACCAGTGTAATCCAGTCAGCATCCCAGACAGGAAAGGACAGAGTTTAAGAGCAGCTGCTTTGTCAGCCTGGAGGTTAAGTCCTGCTACTGCCATCTAGGAGCTACTTAAGGTGTAAAATGTCTCCTCCATTCCTCTCCTGGGCAAGTTCCTCAACCTTTCTGAGCCTTATGAGATAAGTGTAATGCCCACCAGAATGGATTTTGGAGAGGATTAAAAAGATAAGGTGGGCAAGTGCCAGGCACATAGCAAGGGCTCAACAGATTGGTGATTATCTACTGAAAGGACAATGGTGTATGACAGCCCTTGCGAGCCGCTGCACAGATGTGCTGGCAATCCTAAATTTATAAGCAGGACGAAGCTCAGTGCAACAACATATGGGACCCCCAAACACACACACTCCAAGGTACCCGCGCTGTGGTACTGAAGGGGCAGAGTTTGAGGTGTTTTCCACACCAGTGTTTCCTTGCTGACCCATGCCCGATCCATAAAATCTGTATAGAAGGTGAGGTCTTCCCAGAACTTAATTTTCCTTCTGATTTCTTGGAGCAGGATGACAACTTTGACTTTTCTCGGAAGGCTGGTCACGGGGCTGGCTGATTAAGCAAGGAATTGTCCAGGCTGGGTCTCAACTCTCCGCCTTTTGAACACTCATGCATTAGAGACTGGCTCTGGTCCAGTGTCCATCAAGCCACTCCTGACCCTTGGATAAGCCTTTTCCTCTCTATGAGCTTCTTGATTCTGTCTGTCCCCTTCTGTAAAGTAATAAAGTGAGCTCCTGGGCTGTTTTCAGCAATTCAAAAAGTCAGAAGAACTGCATGTGGGTCTGCGCGACCTTGGCAACGCCCAACGACCCGGCCGTAGTGATTCTGGCTGGACTTGGCTGTGAGTCCAGGCCTGGGTGACCTCGATTCTCTGCAGCAGGGCTGCATCCTTTAACTGGACTGGGGCACCTTGCCTCCCCAGCACCCCAAAGCTCCCTGGCAAGACAATGTGCCGGCCCAGCAAAGCCGTGCCTGCCTGGAGCCACCCTCCCGGCGACGGTGACGACGCAGCCCTCGGCACACCCCGCGGGCCGGGCGGACCCCGGAGCTGCTGACCCCGCGCTTGCACTTGCCCAGAAGCGACGCCCAGGGCAAGGCCCCGCCCCCTTCTCCCGGCGGCCCGCCGCGCTAGTCTCCGCCCCGCGGCGCCGCTGCATCCGGGCTTCAGGCTCGTCCAAATGTCCACGCCCCTCTCGCCCGTCGCCCTATCAGCCATAGCGCCAGGCCAGGGAGTCCCCGGCCCCCCCGAGCGCTGCCCAATCAGGCTCCGCAAGGCCCCGCCCCCTGCGCAGGCCCCGCCCCCTGGCCGGGCCCCGTACTAACCCTGCGGTCCGGGTGGCCGAGGCACTGCGCGGCGACCCTCCAGTACCCTGTGAACATGGCGCTGCGAGCGGCGCGGAGCGTGCGACCTGTGCTCTGCAGCCTGCGCTCGGCCTCGGCGACCGCCACGCCCTGCCCGCCGCGGCCTTGGCGGCTGGCTGCGGGCGCTGTCCGGACGCTGCGTACGGGACCCGCTCTGCTCTCAGGTGAGCACAGCAGGCACGTGGGCGAGCCGGCCCCTCCCTCGCGCCGCGGCCCGCTCTGCCCGGGCGCGGCCGGCTGTCGAGAGGGAGAGGGTCGAGTTCCCACGCCGGAGCCACCCGTGCGGGGCGAGCGCGAGCCCTGCCCCACGCTGCTGGGATATGTGGCCGCTCCCCCCGCCGGAGCAGGCGTGCGGAGACCTGAGCGGTCTTTATACGTGGAGCGGGAGGAGGAGGCCCGCAGGACCCCGGGCGGTGGTGTGCGGGCTGCACACGCAGGGAAGACTGGCCGCTCGCGCTGGAGTAGCCAGGCCGGCGCACCAAGCTTCTCAGGAACCTTAGGTCATCTTGCATTTGTGTGCATCGTGAAACCCTAAATGTGTTGGTGTTTATTTAGTTTGCTAAATTGACCACTAATAAGAACACCGAAGTAAAATTAAAGCAGAAGCACTGATTAAAATTAAAGCACTGCATCTAGATTTTTACTAGTTAAAACAAGCATAACGTTGGAGACTCAGCCATTATCATAAAAACAGATTAAAGTCTTGTGGACTCTACAGAAGTTCTGCTAAAGTTTATATTGAGTCATTCATGTGTGTTGGAGCCGACGTGAGGCCTGACTTAAACGGACTTGAAATAACTGGGAGACCTGCCCATAACTGTCTTGTCCATTTGTGCTACTTTAGCACAATTAGCGCAGCAGAAAAAGTTTTCTTTCTTTATGGGCAAATACTTCACACAGATTGCTCCTTGTAAGAACTAAGGCTTCTTAGCTCATTGACCTGTGATGGCTGTTGTCTCATTTATTTTATTTTATTTTTTTTATTTTTATTTTTATTTTTTTTTTGAGACAGAGTCTCACTTTGTTGCCCAGGCTAGAGTGAGTGCCGTGGCGTCAGCCTAGCTCACAGCAACCTCAAACTCCTGGGCTCGAGTGATCCTTCTGCCTCAGCCTCCTGGGTAGCTGGGACTACAGGCATGCACCACCATGCCCGGCTAATTTTTTTTTTTATATATATATCAGTTGGCCAATTAATTTCTTTCTATTTATAGTAGAGACGGGGTCTCGCTCTTGCTCAGGCTGGTTTTGAACTCCTGACCTTGAGCAATCCGCCCCCCTCGTTCTCCCAAGAGCTAGGATTACAGGCGTGAGCCACAGCGCCCGGCCTGTTGTCTCATTTAAAAAGTTGTTTTAGAAACCTGTTTGAACTGGAATTGTTAATTTATTGCAAAGCTTGATGCATAAAGATTTGCTTCTCTCTTGTTAATATTCCCTCAGCTCTGTTTGTGATACATATTAGTATCAGTACATTACCAATTTGAATACAAGGGTAAAAGCATTTCCCTGATATGAATTCCAAATCTGTGGGTTTTGTTTTATTTTTACTGAGTGTTGCACTATCTCTAGCTGTTCGCATTCTCTAGTTATCTAGTTAAATATTGACCAAAATATCAATGTCCATGATCTGGTTAAGCAACTAGGTTTTTAAGAGCAGACAAACCCCACTAACAGTTCTATTTCTTCCTCTTATGAGCTCTGTGATCTTAGAAAGAAGAGTGGTTATAATACCTCACAGAGTTGTTGGGAGGATGAAATGAAACAATGTAACTGGTGTATATATAGCATGGCACATAAGCACTTGATAAATGTTACTGGTTATTAAATATTAGTGTATACAAAGAAAACATTGACTGATATTAATATAAAATATATTTTATCTGACTAGGGACCTTGAAAGGAAAATGCAAAATTTTCATGAATCCCTCCCTCACAACTTTCTAGGGCCCAAAACAAGGTTGTCAAGGCCCAGTTAAGAAGTAATTATTTACCTAATCTCCTGTCCACTTTTTCCTGTTTGGTCAGGGTTAAAGGACAATTGTACAATTCATTGTCTTTAGCTTAAATAATAGCATGCCTAGTAAAAAAAAAAAATGGGGGACTTGGAAGTCAAGTGGACATAGATGCCCTGAACTTAGTAATGTTGCTGGCTTCTGTAAACTTGTGGTTGCTCAGTTGCTAAAGTGTCAGAACAACCATACTCCTAGGCTTAGGCAAGGTGGCAAGATCAAAGTCAGGACAGTAGTCTCAGAGAGGTCATAATATTTATAATTGTCTAGCCTTTACTTTCAAAAGGTATATTAGACTTAAACTGCTCATAAGTGGTAACGTGATTGGACAGCTCTAGCATTGAAAGAGAATGAGAAGGAGAATTGAGTGTTGTAGCCAAATAACTATACCATCTATTTTTCTCAGAATCTGCTCTTCTTAAACTTTAAAAAATTATTTCACTCCAACTTTTGAATGCTTACTATGTGCCAAGCACTCTGTTTAGGATGGGAATACAAATGAAAATGAGATCATTTGCTTTAACATTTTGGCTTTGTACTCACAATCTACTTCCTGGGGGAAACTGACAAATGGACTATATTAATAGCACCTAAAGTGCTGTTAGTGTTTGGGGTGGGTGTGATGGGGAGACAGTGGTACAAGGTGCTCGTGAGAGCACGTTGAATGGCCCAAAAACCCAGACCTGGTTAGACAAGTCTTTGGGCAGGAAAAGGCTTCTAAATTGAGACCTCAAGTAGTTAGAATAGGTGGTAGGGAGAATGTTTCAGTCAGAACTTTATGGGCCTGGCATGATGGCTCACACCTATAATCCTAACACTCTGGGAGGTTGAGGTGGGAGGATCACTTGAGCCCAGGAGTTTGAGGTTGCAGTGAGCTATGATGATACCACTCTACTCTAGCTAGGGTGACAGGGAGACCCTGTCTCCAAAACAAGAACATTATGGCTGGGTGTGGTGGCTCACGCCTGTAATCCTAGCACTCTGGGAGGCTGAGGCAGGCGGATCACTCAAGGTCAGGAGTTTGAGACCAGCCAGAGCAAGCAAGAGCGAGACCCGTCTCTACTATAAATAGAAATAAATTGGCCAACTAAAACTATATAGAGAAAAAATTAGCCAGGAATGGTGGCACATGCTTGTAGTCCCAGCTACTTGGGAGGCTGAGGCAGGAGGATCTCCTGAACCCGGGAGTCTGAGGTTGCTGTGAGCAAGGCTAACACCATGGCACTCTAGCCCAGGCAATAGAGTGAGACTCTGTCTCAAAACAAAAGAACATTACGTACAAAACAACCTTTCTTACCTAAACACCAGATTGACCTGAGGCATTCAGTTATTAGTGCAGTGAAGCAAAGTAAATTTCTTTGTGACAGACATTGTAACTTCTTCCACTGAGGGGTACAGAATTTAGAAAGTTTTGTAATGGTTAGGGGAAAAAGTCATAAATAATAATTTATACACTTACATTGTGCTGCATGTCAGCTGTGTAATCAAAGCAACTTAATGCTGTTTTAAGTACAACTTTCTTTTGGGTAAAAGGTAAGAACCAATCAGCAAGGCTTTAAAGTACTATTTGAATTAATGAACCGTTTACTATGGTAAACCATGAACCTGTTAACTTCTGTTGCATTGTTTTTAGAAAAATATCTGGCTTTAGAACATGAAAGATTAATACATTTAAGAATATAGCATATGCTTTTTTGAAGAAAAAAATCATTAAAGCAAGTACTTTTAAGTCCTAAATAACTTTTTTTATATCTCTTGAACATTGGCAGTCTTTATTCCAGGAATCCCTGAATAGTTTGACCATTTCTTTATTTATTTATTTTAGTTGGGTTTTTTTTTTCACTTTGTTGTCCAGGCTAGAGTGAGTGCCATGGTGTCAGCCTAGCTCACAGCAACCTCAAACTCGTGGGCTCAAGCAATCCTCCTGCCTCAACCTCCTGAGTAGCTGGGACTACAGGCACGTGCCACGATGCCTGGCTCATTTTTTCTGTTTTTTAGTAGACAAGGGGCGTTTGCTCAGGCTGGTCTCGAACTCCTGACCTCAAGGAGTCCTCCCGCCTCGGCCTCCCAGAGTGCCAGGATTACAGGTGTGAGCCACCTTGCCCAGGCCAGCCCAGTAATAGTTAAGTGTGCATTTGAAATGTGGTCCAAATTTTTTGTGATTTAGGCTAAGTAATGTTAAAGCAAATGATCTCCAAAAAACGCCCAAGGTACTCAAATCGAGCCAACTTTGCCTAAATGACACTACTGTTAAGATGTGCCATCTTTACACATGATCTTTGTGCTTTCCTGGGCAGTGAGTGTACTATTGAAAGGCAGTGTCAACAAATCAAACACAAATACTGGGAAAGTCAGCAATGATAATGAAAAGTGCTTTTTAAGATGGGATGCCACTGCTTTTCTGAAATATCTGTCTTCTGTTTTAGTGCGTAAATTTACAGAGAAACATGAATGGGTAACAACAGAAAATGGTGTTGGAACAGTGGGAATCAGCAATTTTGCACAGGTATTGGGTTGTCTTAACATATTTGTGAGTGCTCTGAAATAACCTGGATTGTCTATACCTTTTGAAATTGTTTAATCTACCCTTTAATCTGTTTACTCTGTACTTTGGGCCCCTTAAAGACCCTCAGAAGAAAAGAAATCAGAGGTAAAACAAGTAAAACATAATTTAGTTAGGGCATTATGTGCTATTTTAAGACTTGTTGAAAGGTTAATACTTAAAGTAGGAAATGCAGCTCATTCAAGAAAGAAATGTTTGTTTTATACCTGGCAGTTAAAGAAGGAAGAAAAGAGCAAGCCACAGGGCTGTAGTGTCACCAGCATTTTGTGGGTACAGTGATACGTGCATGCTGGATCAGGGGGACATGAAGGAATTTTAAATAGGCCATATTTCACGAAGAGAAACCTTTTATTTAGCCTATCTTTTCTCTATTAATTCCCCTATCTCTCCACTGATTCCATACTGAGATGTTTAAAAGAAAATGAGAAGCCAGATTAATATCCTGGGTCAGTGATTTTCAACTGGATATATGTATTGGGTGAGGCAGAAGGGCAAAAGGGGATGTTAACTGATGGGAATACAGCCATGTGTCACTATATGACAGGGATATGTTCTGAGAAAAGTGCATCATTAGGTGATTTCATCTTTGTGTGAACATCAGTGTACTTAAACAAACCTAGATGGGGTAACCTACTACACACCTAGCCTACATGGTATATAGCCTATTGCTCCTAGGCTACAGACCTGTATAGCATGTTACTAAATACTGTAGGCCATTATGACACAATGGTAAGTGTCTGTGTATTTGAACACATTTAAACATAGAAAAGGAACAGTAACAATATGATACAGGTTGAGCATCCGTAATCTAAAAATCTGAAAGTCTAAACCTTTTTGAGCACTGACATGATGCTCCAAGGTCATGCCCAAAGGAAATGTTTAGATTTTTGCACTGTACTATACTCAACTCAGCCAATTGCGTATAGTACAAGTATTCCAAAATCCAAAATCTGAAACACTTCTCATCCCAGTCATTTTGGATAAGGGATATTTAACCCTAATATAATCTTAGGGGACCACTGTTGTATTTGTGGTCTGTCATTGACCAAAACATCATTATGGAATACATGATTGTGCACGCAATTCCTGAGAAATGTTAGATTCTTGAGTATTGAGAATCTCTGACAATTGTCTGTTCATTGGTGTATCTGTGTACCTACTATGAGGTGCAGTACAGGGCAGGGTAGTTTGTGAAATATCATATAAGATGTCATGCTTACCTCCTGGACTTGAGGGGCTCAGATGTCACCTGAGTGGTACGAGGGCCTGTAATTCACTCACCTGATACACCACTTCTTTCTGAAGTCAAGATCTTCAGGGACTACAAGGCATGAGGGCTGTGATTTGTAGGATGAGTAGGATTTCAGCAAATGCAGTAGGGTTGATCATATAAGGTAGAACTGCAGAGGTGGAAAAGCACACAGTGTGTTTGTGCTCAGAAAGCCTTGTTACCTTGTTTGGGGAATATGGTTTGTGACAGGGGTCACTATAGCTTATGGGCCAAATGTGGCTGGCAGCCTGTGTCTTGCAGCTTCTGAGTTAAGAATAGTTTTTACATTTTTAAAGGGGTATAAGGAAAACAAATGGCTGTGGCCCCTCATATATAAGATAATGCAGTGCTGTCTTAATTACAGGGGATTCAGTGTTTGACATTAAAGATGTCAAATCTTTAATTTGACATCTTAAAGATTTTTGGTTTTGTTTTGTCTTGTTTTATTTAGGAATCTTTGGGAGATGTTGTTTACTGTAGTCTGCCCGAAGTTGGGACAAAATTAAACAAACAAGGTGAGTGTTTTTCTCGTCTTAGAATGTCATGATTCATGCCATGAATTTTCTTTACCTGACCTTTACCTTGAATGATAACTTATTTGCACCCAGGATCAATTAGAGTGCTTTTGACTCATGTAACAGAATATTCAAATAAAAGTAGTTTAACTATGGGGGTTTGTTATTATCTCACTCAGGCAGTCCAGAGATAGGTAGATGGATATAGGGTTATCAAGGACACAACTTCTTTTTGTTCTTTTTCTCCTTCAGTGTGTCAGAGGTCACAAGATGGTGGCAAAATCTGCAATAATCACATTCTCAAATGATAATATCGAAGGGGAAGGGCAAGCTCTCTTGTCTATTGAGAAGGAACCAGTCAACCAGCAGTCTCTTGGCAGATGTTTTCTTACATTCCATTAGCCAGGTCTGGGCTGTATTGCTTTCCCTAGCTGTTAGGGATGATGGTGAAGGAGAATGAGCAGTATTTTCAGACTTTGCAATGGAAGGTAGGAAGTAGAAGAAAATGGCTCTTAACAGCTCCTTGTACATACAGTTGAGGTCTATTAGGTTTAAAGAAGTAAAATCAGCCTTTTTTTGGAGGCAGTAGACAGTATCCAGAAACAACATGGGCTCAGGAATCAGAACTTGGTTCTGATCCTGACCCCACATCTTATCAGTTGTATGACTTTGGGGGAAATTACTTAATTTAGGTATTATCTATAAATTAGGATACTTAACGCAGAGTGGTTATAAGGATTAAATGAGTAGAAGGTCCTGCATGACAAAGTGCTTGACAAATGTTAGCTGGTAGTATCAGGAATATTATTCATGAGTTCCTTGACATGTATAAGATAGTCCTACAGAATTTAAGTATCTGTTTTCTAAATATCTTTGTCAGTATTGGCTGTATCTTTTTCTGCTTAGTTTTTTCCCCATTGTGTATCTTGAACTTTTTCAGCTTCCTAGCTCTGAGTGTCCTGTTTGGCCATTATATAATAAAGGTCATATTTCTTTGTGGGTCTTCCTAGTTTCTGATTTCTTAAGACCTTTGTTGTGATTGATAATCTTTGTCTTTTTTTACATCACAGAGCAAAACTTGTTTTTTTCTTTTTTTTTTTTAAACTTTAGTTGTTGAGACAGAGTCTGTTGCCTGTGGCGTCAGCCTCATAATAACCTCAAACTCCTGAGCTCAAGGGATCCTCCTACCTCAGCCTCCCAAGTAGCTGGGACTACAGGCATGCGCCACTACTACCTGCTGATTTTTTTCTATTCTTAGTAGAGATGGGGTTTTGTTTTTGCTCAGGCTCACTTGTGTTTTATTTAGTGTCTATCCATTCTGCTCTTCTCAAGCAGATAAGTTTCTGAACATCTCTTTATAGCAAGTGAGCAGCATGAACATTTTTGTGCTTAAAAAATTCTATGAATATAAATCTTAGATAATACCCTTAAATTAATGAATGCCCTTTTAATACTTTCTGCTAAAGGTGTTTTTTTTTACTAGATATAAAATCTACATGCCAGTGAAATGCATGGATCTTAAGTGTACATTGAGTTTTGAAATATGTGTACACCTGTGTAAATCTCCCCAATCAAAACTCTTTTGAATAGACAGTCTCTGCCGGGCATGGTCCTAGCACTCTGGGAGGCTGAGGCAGACGGATAGCTCGAGGTCAAGAGTTCGAAACAAGCCTGAGCAAGAGCGAGACCCTGTCTCTACTAAAAAAATAGAGAGAAATTAATTGACCGACTAAAAATATATAGAAAAAATTAGCCAGGCATGGTGGCACATGCCTGTAGTCCCAGATACTCGGGAGAATGAGGCGTAAGGATCACTTGAGCCCAGGAGTCTGAGGTTGCTGTGAGCTACCTCAGACGTTGACACCACGGCACTCCAGCCCAAGCAACACAGTAAGACACTGTCTCAAAAAAAAAATCTATTCTCTGATTTCTACACCATAGATTAATATTGCCTGTTCTTTAGCTTCATTTAAAAGGAATCACACAGTATATATTATGTCTGGCTGCTTTTGTCTAATATCATTTTTATATCCATTCATGTTGAGTGATCAGTAATTCATTCTTTTTGATTACTGAATGGTGTTCCATCATGAATATAACACTTTTATCCATTCTCCTGTTGATGAACTTCTGTACTGTTGCAAATTTTGGCTATTATGAATAAAACTACTATAAACATTCTTGTAGAAGTCTTTTCTTTGCGTGTATGTCTTCAGTTTTCTTGGGTAAATATATGTGGGGACATGTTTTTCCAAACTGGTTGTACCATTTTATGTTCTTACCAGCAATAGGAGAGTTCCAGCTGCACAGTCAGTCTCAAGAAAGTTGAGTTTCACTGAACTTACACACAGCTATTATTAGGACACATAACCTTTGTTATTCACTATGTCTAGGACAGATAGGTCTACTTTATTGAGGCTGTTTTATACCTTTCTAATAGGTTAGTATAAGCATGACAAAACCTATTCTATTTTTAATTAAAGAAATTTGGAATTTTTTATTATGACTATATCAGAGGTAACCGTGTCTCCATATTTCATATTTTCAAGTCATTGATTTTTAACATTTAATATTTTCTTTAATTTTTCCATTTAGAGGAGTTTGGTGCTTTGGAAAGTGTGAAAGCTGCTAGTGAACTCTATTCTCCTTTATCAGGAGAAGTAACTGAAATTAATGGAGCTCTGACAGAAAACCCTGGACTTGTTAACAAATCTTGTTACGAAGATGGTAAGTTGTTGCCAGAAATTTTTCAAGGGATTACTGCTACAGTTAACATTTACTCTAGAGTTTAAAGTAAGTTTAGTTGATTGTGACTTCATCTTTCCCTACTTCTTAGCATTAAATAGAGATGTTCTGCTTTAAAAAGGAAAAAAAAGATTAGCTGAATACATAAGGTTATATTTAAGATCTCTGACAATAAAAATATTTCCTTATTTTGCAACTGATACTTGTTTTTACTGTCAGTTGTCGATTCTTGGTTGTTATGGTGTAAACACCTGCAAAGTATTTACCTCTTCAAACTATCCACACATTGTTTGATGTAGGTAAACATAAAACATCAAATATATTGCATTAATTTTTAGCCTTCTCACACTTTCATTTTTATATAATAATAACGTAGTGAGTAAGTTAACAGCAATGTTCTCCATTTTATAGATGAATAGAGGCTCTAAAGGATTTATGTGTCTGTATCACATGGCCAGTAAATGGCAAAGTTAGGATTAGGTTGTGGTTCTCTTCCCTATCACCTAACCCTTATAAATTTTCTACTACTGATTTCTAATGCCCTTAACCTCAGTAATTAGTGTTGGTTTTCCTTTTGTTAAAGAAAGATATATCTGGCCTTGTATATTTGAATTACTTTAAGATTTAAATGTCAATTGTTGATGCTTATTATAACCCAAGAGTTTTTAATCCATTATAGCTATAATTCTATTTAGCTGCCATATATATAATTCTGAAGGCTAAAATTTAAAAGTTCCATGAACAAATACTATATGTGATTGATGTAAAGAATACTAGGCACACAGAAATTTACTTTACACTTTGGACGATTATGACTTTTTAAAAAGTTAATTTGGAATATAAGATTATTTTTTGGTTGCAGGTTGGCTGATCAAGATGACACTGAGTAATCCTTCAGAACTAGATGAACTAATGAGTGAAGAAGCATATGAGAAATACGTAAAATCTATTGAGGAGTGAAAATGGAACCCCTAAATAAACTAGTGTGAAATAACTTAACCCAGCATAGTTGTCTTAAATTAGTGGTGGACAGATGACTTAAAATAGCAACTACTCTCAAAACTGCTAATGGAAGAAAATACTCCTTAACTTTCTAATAATTTAGATAAACAAAATATGGATCTTTTTCACAATACTCTATGATTTTTAGACTAGGCTCTAGTGTTCAGAATTCACAATTAACCATGGTTGAAAACCAGTTATAAAAATCATGTAATTCAAGGGTAACATTGTTATCTTAAGCCTTATATAATACTGTAACTTGCTTACATCCATACCAGGATTTGGGCTGAAATACTTAATGGTCTTTCCATTGGAAATGATGGGGAGTGTTGAAGTTTTTTCTTGGTTGTACAGTATCAAATGAAACAATATTATCTTAATTTTGCATATACTGCATTTGCTGGTGCTATTTTTATACAGTGAGCAACAGCTTTGCAGCAAAATAATAAAATATTCAACTTCATTAATCATGTTGTTTTGATGTTAATATTTTATTTAGTGACTATGTTAGTATTTCTGAAAATGCTAACTTAGCTTATGGAAAGTTTTTTTTTAAAGGGAAATTTAAGCCATAACAATGAAAGGTTCCAAGAAAATGTTTCCTTTCAGTCACAAACCTGATTTTTCTTAAGCAAAGATCTAATGGCCTGATGGCATTGAGTACTTTTTGTCATCTTTAATAAAAAATGTACCACTTGCTATTTTCCTGTCATGCTACGTTAGAAGAGAAGAGAAAAAACAAGGAAAGGTGAAACTTTTGATCAGCATAGCACACAGTATTCTTAAGAAGTTAAACCACAGTCAGACTGCTACTTAAATAATGAGAGAAATGGACACAGTGAGGCTTTATGAGCTCAGATACTGACTTGGTGAATATTCTTTGAATATGTTAAAGCATATTTACAGTGCCCAAAACTAAAATAGCAGACTCTCTAATTTAACCAACTGTAATATGCTTATATTTTGGGGGTGGGGTGATATACACACAAAGCAAGAGGAGATATTCCTCTATCATTTTCCTATCTTTTTCCTATATGAAAGAGAAGTATTCAGATACTACCACCTTCTGGTGGTGACTAAATAGCAAATATGAGAACTTAGAGTAAGTAGATAAATAACATTCAAATCTTTACTGTTCCTCAGCAGAAGAAACTATTCTTTCTAGGACTCTGCTGAAATATGTCTGCTTTGGAAATAGACAGGGATGAGTAATTATCACATAGATTTAAAGATTTAACCTTTTGTTTTGAAGGTGCTCTCATATAGTACCATCTTTAATCTTCACAACAGCTAGAGTTAGGCAGGACAAACCCACTACTACAACCATTTCACAGATTAGGTGATGGGGAGAGGACAAGAAATGTGCTACATAGTTGGGAACATGGTAAGGATTTTTACATTTCCTGGTCTCTATCAGTCCCTTAGCAAGTGTTACTATAAAAATACTTAAATGGACCAGGCTTGGTGGTGTTTGCCTGTGATCCCAGCTACTCAGGAGGCTGAAGTGGAAGGTTTGCTTGAGCCCAGGAATTTGAATCCAGCCTTGGGCACCATAACAAAACTTCATTTCTTAAAAAAAAATTCTTTTAAGTACATAAATGGTAAATTTTTTTTTTTGAGACAGAGTCTCACTTTGTTGCCCAGGCTAGAGTGAGTGCCGTGGTGTCAGCCTAGCTCACAGCAACCTCAGACTCCTGGACTCAGGCGATCCTCCTGCCTCAGCCTCCCAGGTAGCTGGGACTACAGGCACACACCACCATGCCAGGCTAATTTTTTCCTATTTTTAGTTTGGCTAATTTCTTTCTATTTATAGTATAGACAGGGTCTGCTCTTGCTCAGGCTTGTCTACAATTCCTGAGCTCAAGCAATCCTCCCGCATTGGCCTCCCACAGTACTAGGGTTACAGGCCTGAGCCACCATGCTAGGCCCATAAATGATAATCTTGGCAGGGGTGGGTTGGGGAGAAATGAGTGATCTAAAGGTGGGAAGCAGAAATGGCCATTCTAGAGTGAAAGTACATCAGTGATTATAGTCTCTAGAAAAGGTGGGCAGTTTATTTTCCCTTCCCAGAGACACACACACTCTGTCAGAGTGGTCTAACAACCACTCTGAACAGAACACATGGCATCTTGCTCTTTTACTTTAGAATACAGGGCCAAGTTCACTGCCATTTCTGTCACAGTACTGCCAAAAAGGCTTTCAATGTCCCTCCAAAGTGACTGGCTCAATAGCATTTGATTTCTTCTATCTCACATATTCCTTTTGAATGGTTATGGCCTTAAGAGAATCGCTTAATAAAATTTTTGAAGAATGCTAATACTTCAGAAATGGAATAGGTTACCCTTTGTTCCCATGTCACCTTCCAGGTAATTTGAAGTATTTAACAGTTGATGGCTTTAGGTTCTTAATAAAAGAAACCACTAGAGGGCTCTCAGCATAGGCATGCCAGGATGAAAAATGAGGCTAGTTTGAAAATGAGGCTAGCATTTCAGATCAATTCCTCAGTAAATCAGAATTTCTGGAATTTTCTGCAGTATTTCTGAGGCTACAAGAATACAGCCCACGTTATGTTTTGGAAATTACGCTAACTATAAGTATGCCCTTTTTAGTGTATTCTTTCAGACCGAATCACTTGCTTTCCATCCTCGGAGAGGGACCTTTCGTTACAGGGATTAAATTCCTCTTTCTTCCCTTCAACAGGGCTTTTACTACTGACCACCTACCCTGGTCAGTCTTTCCTTTCTCTTATTTTTTCATTGAATAGATTTTATTTTTTAAAGAGCAGCTTTTAGGTTCACAGCAAAACTGAGCAGAAAGTACAGTTCCATATATTCCCTGCCCCCTACTTTCTCTCTTCTTGAAACATCCCTTTTGCTATTTGGGATCTTATTCCTCTAGTTTCTGGTACCTTGTCTCAATCTCTGTGTTGGCATTTTATAAGCTTGACTAGCCAAACACTTGTCCCTTAACGTTTCTGCTCAATCATGCTATCAGGCTTTTTATCTGCTAAATATAAAAAGTGATCCCCAGCAGATTTCACATTGGGGTATGCAGACACAATTAGCACGTAGGAAACCGGTTTCCAGATCTTCCAACTTCCACATGTACTTACGAGAATGTGCTTTAGTCAAGTTGTTTAATATTCATTTAGTAAACTTCAGTTAAGCTACTCCCCAGAAACTGAGAAAGTAGCTTTATAAGTTGCGTGACAAATTCAAATCCTTATCTTAATTGGGTAGCTTCAAACTGTGTTGAACAGAATTAAAGGAGAAGCAAACCAAATTATCAACTGATAGGACATGAAATTCAACCTTAGTACTGTCCCAGTTAAGTGAGGGATGCTGCCATGAAGTTTTGGGCCTTTGAAGTTTGCGCTACTGGGAAACCAGCAGGGCAGTTCTCAATGCGGGCAGGGGCGACTCTGCCCTAGGGGTCAGCTGGCAAAATTTGGGGGCATTTTTGGCCGTGTAGCATCTGCTAGGGGTCCCAGAAGGCACGGGAGAGTCCCCCACAGAGCTTGCGCGCCTAGACGCCGGCGGTACGAGGTTGGGACGGCTGCCCCAGCAGCTGCAGTTCGCGCCTCCAGCCCCACCGTCCCCGTCCCTGGCCTGACGTCACGGCTAAGCGTACCTCTTCAAGTTGCCCGCGGCTTCCAGGAGCTGCGGAGAAGTGCGAGGCCGGGGATCCGCCTCCACCTCGCCCCGCCTCCACAGTCCCCGACACCAGCCTCCGGCGCTCGGCTTTGTGGCGCGGCGCTGCTCACGTCACTTCCGCCGCAAAGCCCGCGGCCCCGCCCCCAGCGCGGCCGTAACCCAGGCAACGGCCGGCCGGCAGCCGTCTGCTCTTAGTGCTAGCCCGCCGGCCGGGACTAGCTGGCGCGGGGCCTTCCACCTCGCCCAGACCCACATGCGGGTGTGAGCGGCCGCTTCCCCGCGCCCGGGGCAAGGCCCTCGGCCACTGCGCGGGCGACAGAGCGAAAGGCCTTGCGCCGTTTGGAAGGAAGCGACCCTCTGACGTGTGGAAGCAAAGGGGACGCGGTAGTGAGGACCAGGGGCTGCACCAAGGTGGGCGGGGCGGCGGGAGGAACCGTTGGGGGCGGGGCTCTTGGTCGTGGGGGCGTGGTCAATGGAGGAAGGGGAAGAGATTGGTGGGACCAGCGGGGACGTTTTCCCGAATGGAATAGCTGTTGGAAGAAGGGCTGTGTGGCACGGTAGGAACTGCTGGAGGAAGGAGAGGAGCTGGATGAGGAAGAAATAGGACCACGGAAGGAGGGGAGGAGCCTGATGGGAAAACGGGGGGTCGTGTGGGGAGGGGGCGGGGCTGTGGGAAGAGGAGGAGGAGCAGCCAGGTGTGCTTTAGGCGCTACAGGTGGAGTGTATGTGGTTGATGATTTACACGTTCCTGGAGAGACCGTAAGCTGTGTGAGAGCTGAGAAGACGGGCGTTACTTTTTATTTTATTCCCAGTGCTAGGCACTTAGTGAATTAATTAGTCTGAGTTGAAAAGGGGGAGGAGTGGAAGACTGGGATCGGAGCAGACCTGGTCTCACCTGAAAGGATGGTTTAGAAACCGTGCTCCTAGGGATCGTTCTATGAACACTTAATCAAAGTGGCTGTGCCCTCTGGGCATGTCGTAAGCAAGGCACGAATAATTTAACATGGGAAGATGACATACACTTGAAAATGTGAACAGATTGTGCAAGTTGGTTGTGCGTGTGCTTGACTTGGAAGCAAAGATACAGCTTGTCTAGTGTGTTCCAAAACTGTCAGTTAAATAGGACTTCCAGCGAGATTTTCTTGTAGAAACTATGTTGCCAGTGATCAGCATTCCCAGGCTGATCTTTAACACCCATCTAACTAGTTCATATGAGTGACGATTAGCTGTGTATTAAGAAACTTAATTTCCACCATGGGTATCAGTGTTTCTATTTATTTATTTCTTCATTCAACACATATTGTTAAGGACACATATTGTTAAGGACTCTGTTGAAGTCGTTCCAACTCCAACAGAGGGTGCCAGAAACCCATCTTACCCTGGCTGAAATTCTCTTCCCCCACACACAAGAGAATACGGCCCTGGCTGAAATTTTAACAACATATTGAAGATACCTTTAAACCTGTAGCTTCTAGGAAGATGAGGGTGTGGGTACAGCATAGAGCCAATGAGAAGTTGGGGCAAGGTAATAAGGGGTTTTCAGGAATTACAACCTGCTTTTGACATAAACAGGGTGTGAAAGCTGGCTGGGCTTTGGTCTCTTGTGGCCCATCAACATTCGTCCCACCATTAATAGATTGGGAATGTGTCGGCCAGGTGCAGGAATCTAGGGTAAGGTGTTTGTGACCTGACTGTATAGACAGACAATGGCAAAAATATGTTACTTGTGCCACTACTCTTATTTATTTCCTGGCAGACACCATTAATCAAGCACAGAACTTTTTCCTGCAGTGGTCAGGTTTTAAGATCCTTTTCCACATACCACTCTAGGTAGCCACACTGCTTGTTTGGAATTCACAATTTGGAACCTATTCTTTTATACTTGATATATAGAAAATGTAAAGAAATTGAGACATCAATGTTAATGTAAACTTCCATAACTCTTTGTAGGTTCCTTGTCTTTTTAAATTAGGATTACCTAAATGGATGGATCTGGACTCCTGTAGATGAGAATTAGAAATGTAGGCCAAATAATTGTAGAGTGAGGTTAATTTGCAGCTTGTTGAATAATTAGTAAGTGTCCCAGTGGAAGGGATATCCACAGGACATTTTCCTTTGCCCTGTTCTCTTTAATATTTTTGTTAGTGATATAGATGAAGATACAGCACATATGCTCATGGCATTAATGGAGTCTTAAAGCAGGAAGGAATGGCCAAACTGAAGGTTTTCAGAGTCAGATTCTGAATGATCTAAGCAGGTTAGATGATAGTCCAAAACCAAGAAGGGGAAATTTTATAAGGATCTTATATGTTTGTGGGTCTAATTAGCTAAAACAAAATGAATAAAGAAAAAGAAGCAAATTTGGTGTAAACAAGGTCTAAAGAAAAAGAAACAAAAAGGAAAATCAACAGCATGGAGGATATGGACTGCAGACGACAAGGACTTCTAGCCATTCCTGTAGGAAAAATGTCTAGAAGTTATAGTTGACCTCAACCTCAGTTTTAATCGAGATTGGGTTATAGCTTTTTTTTTAGACAGAATCTTGCTCTGTCGCCCTGGGTAGAGTGCAGTGGTGTCATCATAGCTCACTGCAACCTCAAACTCCTGGCCTCAAGGGATCCTCCTGCCTCAGCCCTCTGGAGTAGCTGGGTCTATAGGCTTGTGCCATCATGCCTGGCTAATTTTTATATTTTTGGTATAGATGGCGTCTTGCTCTTGCTCAGGCTGGTTTCAGACTCCTCAGTTCAAGTCATCCTCCTGCCTTGGCCTTCCAGAGTGCTGGGATTATAGGCGTGAGCCTCTGTGCACAGGCCTTTTTCTGTGTTTCTTGGCAGTTCAGTAAATTCCATCAGGAGGCCTTATGTACTGACTTACAAATAATTGGACAATTATTTATGGAGTTCCTCTAAATTACCTTCATGAACACTCATATCTGGTTTATTATGCCTTTGTTGCACACCTGGTTTTTTGTTCAGTAAGTCCTTGTTCAAAATCTTTACTCCAACTTAAACTATGTTATCCATCCTTTGATATATTTCAGTTTGCTCAAGGTCAAATTTCATGGTACCCTGGCTTCCACATTTCATTTCTCGAACCCCTCTGACTTAAATGGCTTAAATGACTTTTAATGGCTTAAAAATTTATTATGAAAAGTTTCACACACATAAAAGAAGAGACAATAGTACAATTAATCTCTAATAGTACAGTTAATCTGCAATTACATGTCCTCAGGTCCATCTACAACAAACAGAACTCATGGCACTTATGTTTCATTATTCCCTGCCTAATCAAAACCTCACACCCTACCTAGCAGGATTATTTTGAAGCAAATCATAATAGCGTATGTTACTGGTAAAATAAAGTAAACCATCTAACACTTCTTTGGCTAATAATTACCATTGTATTTCTGTCTTTAAATGCTACTAGAAAGGGTATCTTCTGGATCATGGTGAATTTCCATAGGCTGTATTTCTCAGACTCTCATTCACTTCCTTTATTTCATTCCCAAATATCTTAAGTTCTTTGATGAGTTTTTCTTTGGGTTTATTCTTGTTTATCCATGTACTTTGGGGGCTTAGAGATCAGTCAACAATTTCTTTGCACATTTTGGTTCTAGTCACTTCAATAGCTTGTATAATCGAGTTTAATGCCATCTGGCTTACATCTGTGAGCTTTCCTGCTTTGTACTTCAAATCCATTTTTATGGTTGGCTTCTGCAAATGCATTTCCCATGGCAGCATTTTGACTGTAATCTTTGTGTTTTCTTTTCTTTTTTTTTTTTTTTTATTTCGGCATATTATGGGGGTACAGATTTTAGGGTTTCAAGAAATGCCCATTTCCCCCCTCCCCCCAAAAGTCTGAGTTCATAATGATAAGTGACCCAAATCTCCTCCTATAGTCTGACCAAGGTTTGGCATGAAGGTGTAGACAGATACGAGGTAGCTATCAAGTTTAATAAATATTTTGACAATAAAATATCTCACCTTGTCAGTCAATCCCTATTTAATAGGATACATGGGGCTAGTTTTAATTGCCTTATAGCTGATGAATCTACTCCCCACCCTTGCTGTTGTTCCACTGCACGCAATTCATCACTCGCCACCGCTCGGCGCGGCCTGATTGGTGCCACCGACTGCTCATATCACATTGGACTCCATCTTGAGCCCGTTGGTGCTCCTGCGGGAATATAGGTACACTCTAAGATATCCTGCACAAGTTGCTGAGATATCCATGCACATGTGCCTTGTTTTTCCATTGTTGGGATTCTGTAAGACACAGAAATACACTTGTATCAGTAGTCCATTACCTCCTCCAGCTCTGTACACGCAGGGTTGAAAAATTATCAGTGAGACAATGTGGCGTCTTTAGATCTAGTACGCAGAAAACATGGCCACAGTGAGTACTCAGGGAGAAGAGCAGTCTAACCGTTTTACAGTACTGAGTGGGGAGAGGCGGTGCCAGCGTATTATCTTGCTGGGCGAATTGTATAACATAATGGCTTAAGAGACCACCATTCACACATTTCATCAGTCTAGATGTTACTTTCGAGGCGCTGAGCTTCAAATGCCAGTGTGCGGGCGTCACATACATGGTCCACACACTGGGTGCTGCCTTATTGAACATTCACATGTGCAGTGCCGATCTGGATGTCTGCTAGTGTTTTGATCATGGCATGGTGTGACATCTAAAGGATGCAACTAGAGCCAGGATTCATTTTTTGGGTTGGGTTAGCATTTTAGACGCTCATCCACTTAATTTGCAGTGTAATAAAAGGTAGATGTTCAACTTCTTTTAGCCAACCTCTCCTGTATCTGTTGTCAGAGACGTAATTCTGGTCCAAGTATTCTTTTATCAGAGAGCATTGAAACTATACTTGTAAAAAAATCAGACCAGTTCTGCCACAGGCCTGTGTCGTGTGTTTTTGAGTTGCGCTTTTCTTCTTTACCTTCTTTTTTTACTACCGTTTATATTTTTTGTTAAGTTTTATTTCATCAAATTCTTCTGCCATTATAATTATGATGTTGCCTAAGACATCATCTTCAATGAATGAAACATTTTTTGATAACTACTCGCCTAAGATCAGTACTTCACCACAGCGCATCCTATAACCTATCTGATTAAATAAAGGCAATGGTTTAGGAAGGATTTTCAAGTTTTACCGATATTATCCCATTGTCTCACAGGGGTTGACTTAATTAAAGTAAGTTATACTCTCTCTGTTAGGCCTTCTGGATGAGATTCATTGCAAGATGGTTTGCATGAAAATTAATAGAATATACGAGAAATAAGTAGGCGTCCTTCTTGTACCTTGAGAAGATATGTCCTTTATGTAAGGGCCATTCACTCTTCTCGGTTAACTACATTAGAGACTTTCTGTTATCTCAAACCAAATATTAAGTCAGCGGACAGGT